TCCCAGTTGAAGTGATTCAGCAGAATACGGATCGTGGTCCGCGGCAGCTGCGGGGGACAGGTGGCGTCATGACACGGTGACACATCTCCCGGCTAAGGCACAGACGCTCAGTTGTGGTGGGCACTGCCACTGATATTTCATACCCAACATACTGAGCCACCCGCACTAACTCCGTAACCTACCCAGGAGACTGGGCAACACTCACTTACATCCCCTAATCTACCCTGGATAACAACCCAGTTTTATTATCACCTCCATAATCTCCCCGGGATACCGAGTCTCTACCACCACTTACGTAATCTACCCGGGATACCGAGACACGCCCACCAACACCTCCGTTATCTAAGCGGAATATCAAGCCATTCAGAGGCCGTTTACCCTCAGCTGCTGTACCATCACCACTGTCACCGCCGCTACTCACCTGGGCCACCTCGTTGACCTCATTGATCTCGACCACCATGAAGTCGACAATCTCCTGCACAGAGAGCACCTGAAACGGTGCGTCTTCGGCGGCCAGCTCCACCTCGTGGGCTGTCGACGGGCCCGGACGGTGCTCGTCAAAGTCAACCTCGTCGCCGCTCGACTCGTTTCCCGAGTCGTTGTCGTACACCATGTCGTCGTCAGCAGAGTCCTCATCGTACTGGAGGTCGCCGTCAGAGTCCATGGCGAGACAAGGGTGCTGCAGACCTGGCGAGCATCACAATACAGGAGCTGGGTCATCAGAGAGCAGTGGACACAGCCACTGTGTCATTACTCATCAATGAGCACGGAGCAGTGCAGTCACTGAACACCGGATCATCAGTGAGAAGTGCAGCCATTGAACACTGGATAATCAGTGAGTAAAGCAGTCACTAAACACTAGGTCATCAGCGAAAAGTGCAGCCATTGAACACTGGATTGGATCATCAGCCAGTGTAGTGATGAGTGCAGGGTCATCCGTGAGCAGTGCACACAGCCACTGAGTACTGGGTTATCAGCGAGCAGTGCACTGGGTCATAGTGAGCAGTGCACACTGCACACAGCACCTACTGAGCCTGTGTTAAGGAAGAGTGACAGCTGACACACAGCATGTGATGCATAGAGATCCTACATATTTCAAGGACTGTTAATTCATAAAATGTTTTATTCAAGCTTTTTTTGCTACATAACTTCAGCCACTTTTTTAGTCAGCTGGTTCACACAACCATAAAACAACTTACACAATAATATTTAAGCATCAAAGCCAACCAAGTGCTATAACTGCCAAGTCCAGCATGATGAATGAAAATCTTGCATATTTTTTGCTGACCCACCTCACAGTTAAAAACAAAATGGTATGTAGTCAAGTAGTAGTATTCACAATGCCACCTGGTCCAGTGATGTATGTACTATGAAGCATGTAATAAGAAATAGTTTACCAATACATAGCTGATTTGATCTTATCTGGTTGAAAAGTACCGTAAAATGGGGTGTTAAGGGACAGTGGGGTGTTAAGGGACAGTTGCATGGGAAAAACTTTGAGTCATATTAACTTCCTAATTTGAGAAGCTTCAATAAAAACTTCAGTGTGGTAGTTGACACTGTTTTGCTCTTGACCATAGGAGAAAATGGTATGGTTTTTCATGCAAGTGATTTGGTTCAAAAATGGATTTGAAAATCATGCTACATTTTCACAAAATTGAAACATCTCCAAAACTTTGTGTGTACCACATAAACTAGTGGGTGTACAGGAAAAATGAATGCATAGGTGTATTGTCACATGTATTGCACATGTTTCCTGAAAAACTTGTGCAAATCCACCCATTCATTTATCATCCTCTTCCTCTTTTCCGGATACATGCATATTTTGAGGTGGACGTGGGGTGCTAAGGGACAGGGAAGAAAAAATAAAAAATAATATCTAAATACAATTTAATTAAGTAGGCATGGAAAACACCAAATTCCACATAAAATGCTGGCAAGTTCATGCTTTTATCTCTAACACATCTTAAGTTATGTAACAAAACATCTCAACACTCTCTTTTACAATGATGGGTCAATGGAGACTGATGTAGGTAAATGTGATGTCATCATAAAAAGGCTAAAACAAAGAGGGCAACATAATGACAAGTGACTAGCTTCAACATGGGTTTTTATTGATGACAGAAGGGTACTTTTTGGTTCTGTTTACCTTATAATTAGCACTTCTTCCACAAGCGTAAACTGCATTACACGTAATTGGCTAAAAAGGTCATTAGTGGTTAATGAACCTGACTTGTTTTGTGACAGAATATGCAAAACATTTCAATAAATAAATTGTGTGTCCTTCCACACCCCAATTGTGGGCATTTGATAACCATTTCTTGGAATAATATAGGTGTCCCTTAACACCCCACATTGGGGTGCTAAGGGACAGTGATGAAAAATAATAAAAAATATATGCAGGTATAAATCTTAAAAACTTTAACGTGGCAGGCATGTAAAGCACCAAATTCCACATAAAATGCTGACAATTTGATGCTTCTTTCTCCAACCCTTCTTGAGTTATATAACAAAACACCTCAAAACTGTCCCTTAACACCCCGTTTTACGGTAAGCATTTTTCACACTCAAATCTTGAAAGGATAACTTAGTTGGTAGTTGGTATATTGCAGGTTAATTGGTACATAACCTAATTAATACTGATATCAATATTAGACCTCTTTCATTACCCTGTCCTTAATAAAAAAAATGTTAAATTGTTTGTTAAAAAAGGAAATATACAGTTCTAACAAAAAGTGCTTTTAAGCTATTGCACACAAACCATTAGTTAGGTGATTTGGTAGGTAGGTACCTAATCCTAGCCCATGGTGCCCACCTGTCACCACCAATAATGTCCATTGGCATTTAGGCCTGGTAGGAAATGCAGTAATGATTATTGCTAAAACTATCTTAATTTACAGAATGAAAACTAACAGACAAAATTAAAATTTCAGTTGGGCACTGTGGTCCACAGTGCAAGAGACAGTTCACATCAAGCTCTATTGTTGTTGCCTACAGTTATTCGGTAGCAGTAAAGCAGGCGTCACACTTATTTTTTGCAACCAAAGAGAGGCGCTGTAGGATAGGTTGTACATTGTAGGTTTTTGTTTTTGGGTGGTAGGTAGGTAGGCGGTAGGTTAAAGGTTGTAGGTTGTACAGGTAAGATTAGGTTTGGTTTGGTTTGATAGATTAGAAATGATCCTGATTCCTGGGTACAGTGCTTCTCCTTGGTAGCAAAAAAACAAGTGTGGCAACTGCTTTAGAACTACTCAGGTATTTTGCACGCAGTAGGTACACTCGAGAGTCTGGGGAGTGGGGCAGATTGATGTTCCACCACTCCCTAGTTACCCATCGGGCTCCCATGGCTCAGCACCAGCACTGGCTGCTGCCATTCACAGTTGCCTGCCCTCAGCACTGCTCAGCACTGCCTGCCAGTGCCAGTGCTGCCACTGGCAGCACTGGTCTTACCTCCCATGCTGAGCCATGGGAGCACGATGAGTAGGGACTAGGGAGTGGTGGAACATCAATCTGCCCCCGAGTGTAGGTACTCCGTACTGGTACTGATCACTGAATTCAGCGGAGCGCCGGAGCCTCAGGCAGGATCTGAGAAAAGAAGCTGAACAATGCAACATTCAACAGAAAACCAAAAACATAAATCCATTTCAACTGATATTAAATGAAAATAAATGAATAAATGGTACCTACCTTGAATTCACAAACAATACTGACAGAACAGCCACTTCAAATTTCAGCTTGCATCAGAACTGGAGCCGAGCTCATACAGCTTCTTATTCTAAGTGAAAATTTTTGCAATAATTTATAAACGTACCACCCTATCCAAAGTTCAAATCCAAAATCACCCTCACGAATCAAAAAACAAAAATAATGCAATTCTTGCTTTGACCTTGCGCAATGATTAGTAATAGCAAAACAAGCAGCTATGATGGCGCAGCTGTGACGATCAACACCTAGCATTTTCATCGCTTGTGTAAAATGACGTATTGAAAGTGATTACTTGTTTTAAAACTCTTTTACCTATTGAAAACTGTCGACCAAGAATCTAAATATACTTAAAAAAATTCAAAACAAAACTCAATTTATATTTTTCTCACGATTCGTCCTCGGTTTCACCTCCTATCATTTATTATTATTTGACGTCATCACCCTATTCCGAAAAAAATGCCGGTACTAAATTAAATATACAGGACTTTACATAAAGATGAATGAGAAATTTATGTCTGAAAATTCGAAATATTATTGTATATTACCATACTGCTTGTGCTTGCTCCATACGCTTTTTCTTATTGTCCATTTTATCTATTCTATATATTGTGCATCTTCACGCTCGTCCTTCACCTGGATCATTCGGCATGATTCATACCTATTTTAATTTTTCTTCAGAAGTTACCGGAAAAGTAAAGATGCTATCATTACCGTGGGAAAACCAACCCAAAAGATCCATGATGACTCTTACCTAGCGACTTACTCGGGCACTATGGCGCCGAGTGCACCCTATAGGATTCGCAGTTCGAAGTGGCGACGTCCCGCGATTTTGTCACCTATCCGCTATGCAGCACCGATCGGACGGTCGCCGTTTCCCCGGCTATCCCACTATGACCAGGGATGGAGATCTGTCAAAATGTCAGGGTGGGGGGGGGGGGGGTCCAGGCCGGGCAGATGGAGGCGGGCTGGATGCAGTACCATTGACTTACATAGCAGTAATTCGTTTTCAGGGGGGGTCCTGACCCCCCCCCCCCCCCCGAGATCTCCACCTCTGACTATGACCACAATGGGATGCGAGACCCCTGCGAATAAAACGCGAATGCACACCGGTTCCGAAGCAAGCTCGTGGATCTCAGTGTCACAGAACTTTATTAAGATTTTAACAAGCCTCAACTCAACTCTCATTCGTTTGTTAGGTATCTATCTCCAGCAGTATCTATTGACATGCCATAAACCGTCATTATGGCGTTCCGTACTTAACTGCGAAAAGGAACAAATGCCAGCTTAGGAAAAAGAAATGAGCCCAGGGCTGGGTTGACCAGCTATTTATTAAACACAATGTCGAAGTTCTACCACCCGGATGCATTCCAGAACACAGGGCAACCGCTTCTTAGCATAAACAATGCACACATCCATCGCAATAGCATCCAAAACAATGCAAAATAACGCGATCTTCCGCTTCACGATACGAACATGACAATGAGCTCGAGAATCGCCGAGCTACAGAGAGAAGCAAAGACGCGTACACAAGGGCAAATGGTCCTTTTATTCGAAACCCCGCCGAAAATGAGCACAGTCGTTTCAAGCCGTTCCCTGCACCGGAAGCCCTCGACAGATACCAAACGGGTGAAACGGGCGCCCAGCGCTGGAAACTAGTTCGTGCGATTCACACTTACAGCACCTAACTCTGACATTAGGTGCAGAAATGCGTTACACAACACAACTCTCCGTAAGCAACAAGCACGCGCATCTACCCCAGCACCATTACTACTAGGCTAATGGAATGAGCAACAATCCTGTGAAGCTTAACATGATTGCACCATCACACGCATTTGTATTCCCTGGCATGTATCACTTGAAAATGTCCTGGGAGGGTCGAGTATTCACAGTAATACGCGAGCTCCCACTGTGCTGAGTACATGCCAAATCCACTTCTCTGAGAAACTCGCACGGAAAACCAAATGATAGCTCGAGTGTTTTCTTCTTGGACACGAAATAGTGACAGAAGAACAAACGGTAGCCCACAGAGCACGGCTAATCGGCCCAGGGTCAGCCAACAGCTCGTGGTTCCCGCAGTGATTCCTCAGAGATTAGCGGTGCTCATGCGCAGCTCACCAGAGGCTGATGACTGCCACCGCCACTCCGCACAGGCTGACAGTGACCAACAGGGCGCCGCCGATCCTCCCCGGTGCCCACAGCTCGGGCTCAGCGGTCTGCCGGCCGGCCGGAGCCGCCAGCGCCGGCGCCGGCACTGCGCTGCTCCCCTTCTGCGCGCTGACAGTCGGCTCCGCCGCACCAGAGCTCCCGCGCCCACTGGACCGGCGCCAGCTCAGCCTGCGGGCGCAGAGACGGGTCAGGCTAGGGCGAGTACAGTACTGCAGAGACAGGTCAGACAGCGCGGGCACAGACTAACGATACAGGTTTGACTGCGGGCACAGAGGCAGATGAAACTGGGGGCACAGACTACAGAGACGGGGCAGCGGCTGCTCCTGAGCGGCGCTGATAGCCAGGGGAATGGGAGCTCGAGTCAGTGGATAAACAATTGACATCATGCTACCAAGTCCCAACGCTACTCAGCGGCATGCAAGGAGGTTCCGTCCTGTTTAATCCTCTGGAAAAGCCATCGCCCTCCATACACAGTCCGCCATATACTCAATCGATCAGCGACCTCAGGACAAAGTAGAATTGACGTGATCCATCATTGAGCTCGTTTGTCCTCAATGTTATGTGCATTCACATCACGACAACAGGATTTACACACGTTACAATAATCACATCAGCTAGTTCCTTGTTACGTTAGCCATGTCGGACTCTACTGACCAAGTTAGAGTTCGTTAGAGTAGTGTGCGTTAGTTAAGGTCATTAACACTTTCCCAAACCCGAGACTGGAGGTAGAAAGTACCTCTAGCACCCAAGGCATTTAGGGTCTGCTCCCGTGGCTATTCCAAGAAGAAGTATCGGAGAAGTTTGGATGAACAGTTTGAGGAGAGCCCTTTCCAAACAGTCCCGTGAAAATTTATGCGAGAGAATCAGCTGTTTGGGGGCTGTACGTACAGTAGACGATTTACACGATAGATGAGGTTAGGTTAGATGAGCTTAGAGGGTGTTGGAGCAGCTACGGGAACAGACCCTTAGAGTGAGTAGAGTAGTAGCGTGCGTACATGCGTCTTACCAGGCCCGAACCGGGCGCAGACGCGCGGACTGTGCTGACCAGGTTGGCTCCGGCCTCCCGAGAGGTGGCCAGGAGGGCGCGGGCGCGCTCCAGCAGGGCCGCCAGCAGCGGCTCGAGGCCAGTCATCACGAACAGCACGTAGTAGGCGGTCTGCGCGGTGGCGGCCACCCAGCTGACAGCCTGCACGGCCAGATCGGCCACGGCGCTCGCCCAGGCGGCCAGCTCGTCAGCCACGGCGCTGGCGGCCTCCCGGGCCCAGGAGATCACCTGGAGAAGCGGAGGGAGGGTCTGAGGGTCACCGGCCGCCCCACAGCGCCGGCAGCAGCAGGGATCGCAGTCCAAGACCAGGAATCGCAGGGGTCACTAAGACGAGAGATGGAGAAGAGTTGCAATAGTTCTATGATTTAGTAGATAGCAGATACAGCAGTTAGGTATGTGGGATATCGCGGCTGATCACACAATATGCACACTTTGCTTCCGTTAAACTATGGCTTAAGCAAAAACCAGGCGATGTTTAGCGCCTGAGGCAGTTGAACGTGTTGAGCAAGAAGGGCTAAACGAACTAATTTGTGCTACACTCTATAGCCTCTTCCCTGTCCGGATTCCAATGCTGTATCGAATGGTACAAAAAAAAAAATGTTCGCGGGGATAAAACTTGCTGGGCAAGCGTGAGCACAGCCATACACCTAGTTCATGCAAGCCAAAAGCTCCAGCTTCTCCAGAGGCCATTATGCAGACGGACAAAGCACGAGCAACATATTACTGCATAAGCTGCAACCCGTGAAGGACAGGGCGAAATACCTGAAGCACCAGCGGGAAAGATAGTAAGCTACTGTGTCGGGAATGAGCCGAGGGCATTCAAGCAGTTAGCTCCGCGTTGCTCGCCGGGGAGCTAACTATCGCCCACCAGCGCAGCACTGGTGGGCGACAGTGGAACACCACGGACCCATTAGTTTACCGTTTCGGTACGGTACGATCAGCGCTGCGCTGACCCACACCAAAGCGGACACCACGAACACTCACAGCGGCGACGGCCTGGCCGGGGACAGAGACCAGAGCGCGTACCGTCTCCACCGGTCGGGACAGCAGCAGGAGCGGTAGGTACACCCAGAGCAGCAGCAGCGCCGTGCCGCACTGAGCCAGAAGAGACTTCTCCGCGAACCCTGCGGCACGGGAGCAGTGGCGGTCAGAGAGAGAGAGAGAGAGAGAGAGAGAGAGAGAGAGAGAGAGAGAGAGAGAGAGAGAGAGAGAGAGAGAGAGAGAGAGAGAGAGAGAGAGAGAGAGAGAGAGAGAGAGAGAGAGAGAGAGAGAGAGAGAGAGAGAGAGAGAGAGAGAGAGAGAGAGAGAGAGAGAGAGAGAGAGAGAGAGAGAGAGAGAGAGAGAGAGAGAGAGAGAGAGAGAGAGAGAGAGAGAGAGAGAGAGAGAGGAGAGAGAGAGAGAGAGAGAGAGAGAGAGAGAGAGAGAGAGAGAGAGAGAGAGAGAGAGAGAGAGAGAGAGAGAGAGAGAGAGAGAGAGAGAGAGAGAGAGAGAGAGAGAGAGAGAGAGAGAGAGAGAGAGAGAGAGAGAGAGAGAGAGAGAGAGAGAGAGAGAGAGAGAGAGAGAGAGAGAGAGAGAGAGAGAGAGAGAGAGAGAGAGAGAGAGAGAGAGAGAGAGAGAGAGAGAGAGAGAGAGAGAGAGAGAGAGAGAGAGAGAGAGAGAGAGAGAGAGAGAGAGAGAGAGAGAGAGGAGAGAGAGAGAGAGAGAGAGAGAGAGAGAGGAGAGAGAGAGAGAGAGAGAGAGAGAGAGAGAGAGAGAGAGAGAGAGAGAGAGAGAGAGAGAGAGAGAGAGAGAGAGAGAGAGAGAGAGAGAGGAGAGAGAGAGAGAGAGAGAGAGAGAGAGAGAGAGAGAGAGAGAGAGAGAGAGAGAGAGAGAGAGAGAGAGAGAGAGAGAGAGAGAGAGAGAGAGAGAGAGAGAGAGAGAGAGAGAGAGAGAGAGAGAGAGAGAGAGAGAGAGAGAGAGAGAGAGAGAGAGAGAGAGAGAGAGAGAGAGAGAGAGAGAGAGAGAGAGAGAGAGAGAGAGAGAGAGAGAGAGAGAGAGAGAGAGAGAGAGAGGAGAGAGAGAGAGAGAGAGAGAGAGAGAGAGAGAGAGAGAGAGAGAGAGAGAGAGAGAGGAGAGAGAGAGAGAGAGAGAGAGAGAGAGAGAGAGAGAGAGAGAGAGAGAGAGAGAGAGAGAGAGAGAGAGAGAGAGAGAGAGAGAGAGAGAGAGAGGAGAGAGAGAGAGAGAGAGAGAGAGAGAGAGAGAGAGAGAGAGAGAGAGAGAGAGAGCACAGGTCAACGGAGTCTGGCCATAACTGAGTCTGGCCAATCTGGTCTGGCCATAACTGAACTGCCGAAAATCAGCACGGGTTCTCATCACTAGCTACGCAAGGCATTATGATGATTGATGATGTAGTCAGGAGAGGACAGGAACACACACGAGATAAGAACACGAGCGGCGTGGTGTCAGGCAAGTCAGCACGGGATCACAAGTCGGCAATGAACGGAAAGTACGGGATCTAAACATGTCACTGGATGAGCTCATGTCAGCAATGTGTCAGGCGCTCTATGTCACCGCCCAAGGCTGTGTTTCTCACTACCTACCTTTGGCTGCCGGCTGCAGGCCGGGGAAGGTGGTGACCAGCTTGAGGACGCCCAGCTCCAGCAGGTCGCGGCTCAGCGCCACGCTCAGCGTCAGCGGCACCATCAGCAGGCTCAGCAGCAGCTCCGCGTTCAGCCTCAGCGGCTGCTTGGTGTCCGTGAGCCGGGGGACGGCCTTCTGCAGCAGCTCCGCGCCGAGCGCGCCCACCCAGTCGGCCATCCTCAGCGGGGTCTTCACGACGGGCGACGTGACGACCGGCAGGACGGCCAGCCGGCAGACGGCGCCGACCACCTCCTCGGACACGTTCAGCACCGGACGCGCCACGTCCCCCTCCTTCTGCCGGCAGAGGGCACGCGGCGTTACTGATCCGAAACAACGCCAAACTGACAATACACTGAGCCACTGACCCAAACACCGCGCCACGTCCCCCTCCCTCTCACGTGACACGACGTCTAAGGTCACTGACAATGAACTCACGCCGTATTACTGTCAGGATACCAGGTCCAATTTCCAATATCATATAATTTCTGCCGTCGGGAGGAAAAAAGCCGTATCTGGGGCACTTTTTCGATTTGAAAATTGTTCAGGAAAGGCAAAAACGCGTTTTTTGTTATAAAATTCGTTAACTTTGCTCAATAACGAAACAAAACATACTGCAGTGATCGGAAAGAAATTTTACATTCAATGAAAGTGGTTATAAAAGGGAAATTACTTTAACCTAAAAGCAAAAGGCGAAAAACTTTTTTGCTTCCAATTCAACCCCGAGTTTGCGGAATCTTTCTTTCACGAAAAAAGCCGTATCGTGGAAGAAAGCCGCATCGTACGAGACACCTGAACAATACTGTCATGAAAAAAGCCGTATGTCTGATACATTGGTTAACCGATCGGGAATAAAGCCGTATCGCCATTTTTGTTTAATCATATTGTCGTCAAAAAGCAGTATCATCGGTGCATGGTATTGACACTGCATATTGGTTCATAAAAGTACTAAAGTAAAGCAGTTCCGCTGCTGGTTCCGTCCCACTGCTTCAGCTCCCAAGTATGGATATTTAATTGAGCGTTCAATACAAAAACAAACATGATAGGGTAAGGGCGGGTAAGAGTACGCGGGCGATAAGAGTACGCATCAGCTGTTGCGGTTGCTTAGCAACGCGGGTTTGTCGAGTTCATGAAGTGACATGAAGCCGCCAGTGCGTGCTTGTCACCAACGGAACGTGGGCGTTGAGCGGCGACGCTGCTGAGTTTAAGGCGATGAATATTATTTTCGAGCGTTATGATGTTATTATGGTATGGTACAATAATTTTGATACTTGGCAGTTGAGATAAGGTACATTTCTGTGATTGTTGTAGGAAACTTGTGAGGTTATCTGGGGAAATACTGTGCAGTGCAATATTCTGTTTGCGAAGTTTTGCACAACGTTTCGGGGTTGTTTTGTGCGCGAATTGCATGTACGGTAAGAGGACGCACTGTTCAGGAGGGTAAGAGTACGCAGAATTATACATTAAATCGAATATACAGAAATATACAATTATTAATCTATCGCTCAATGACGTTTGTTTACGAGCGAGCGAGCGCAGCGAGCGAAGCGAAGTCTTTTCAATATAACGGAAAAATCTCAGTATGAGCGGCCCGGCCCGGCCCGGCCCGGCCCGGCCCGGCCCGGCCTGTAACGCTTTTGAGAGGCTTATATCTCAGCAACCGCTGAACCGATTGGCCTGCGGTCTTTTTTGTTGGGTAGCCCCATCCCTTCTACCCCGTAATTGACTACTTTTGATACATCTCAGTGACCGTCGTGGCACGTGCCACGTGAAAAGTCAAGGGTGTTCAAGCTGTTTTGCAAAAGTAGTGATTTTGAGAGGCTCATATCTCAGCAGCCGCTTGGGCGATTGTCTTGCGGTAACTTTTGTAGGGTAGCTGCATCCCTTCTACCAAAAATAGGATACTCTCGATGCATGTGGGTCACCCCCAGTGCACGTGCAAAATACAACAATAAGGGGTGTCAAATTTGTTCCCATTTTAATAACTCGGTAATTACTGGGGCGATTTCGCTGAAACTTGGCATGCAGGTAGGCACCCACCAGACAATGCATTCCCATGTGTTGCGACTTGGGTGCTACTGCACGTGCGCACGTGCAGGGGGCGTTTCCAGATCTCGAAAACGGCTGGGCCGATTGCGTTCAAATTTGGTACACGGTTGGGGACCAGTTAGTAGGGTGCCGTGCAAAAGTCACTTTGGACCCCGTTTGCACGTGCGCACGTGCAGAATGCCGCTTCCAGATCTCAGGAACGGCTGGGCCGATTGCGTTCAAATTTGGTACACCGCTAGCGACCGGTTAGAAGGGTGCCTTGCACAAGCCCATTGGAAGTACCCTCTCGCCCTTACGCACGTGCAGGGCTCACTATCTCGCTCGCTCGTTCTTCGCCCAAAAGGCGTTTTACTGGTTTGTAGGTATATCATCAATGGAGCACTGTGATGCAGATGCGTACCCGAACTTCCAAATCCGAGTTATTCTCCCTTTTGATTGTGCATTTTTTTAAAAGAAACACACGACATGATTATTTCCTGATTTATAGACTTGAAAGATTTATTTTATGTTTTTCTTTTTGGATACTAGAATTAACTTTAATGCCTTCTGAGTTTGAAGTTAAGCATTTGGACAGTACAAGCTGCATAGGTGTGTTCATATGCTTGCGTACTCCACCCGCCTGGCGTGCGTACTCTTACACACCCCATATCCATATGGTAAGAGTACGCAACTGCAGCGGTTCAGAAAATGTCAGTTTTAGACCACTTCCATTTACGCTGAAGGATCGTTGCCCCATGGGTTGATGGCTAATTCAATGACCTTTAATATTCCCTATTTGCGATTTCTTTCTTTCAAATATTAAACAAATGAGAGCAAGAAATCCACTAAGTGCGTACTCTTATACGACTTCACCCTACCCATTTTAAACTACATCATCCATGCATAATCGGATTATTGTCGTAACTTTAGCCTCTTGGATTCTGATTGCGCAGGGTGCCATCAAGAGACAGCTTGACCAACCGATCAGGGACGTAGCCAAAGGGGGGGGGGGGCACAGGGGCCATGCCCCCCTCTAAAGGCGAAAAATAAAATAAAACTTAAAAAATAACCACAGCTCCACCAAACCCCAAAAGACAGTGGGCCAAATCCGAGGAGTTTTCCTTTTCTGGAGGGGCACGACACTAGGCCGCGACCTGTGGCCCCTCCCTGAGCAAAATCCTGGCTACGTGCCTGCAACCGACAAGGGGAATCACGAATGCTGTCCTTGTACGGTGCTTCAATTTTCTATTACACTGGACTCCAGAGTTAATTCTGAGCCACCGATATATTCGGAGAGATGAGTGTGCCGGTCTGCCGCTGCGCCGGAGCCACGGCGACAATGTCGAGAGAACCGAGATAGTGTAGTTTCCCATCGTCGATCTGCAGACCTAAAAGCACTTCAAGGGGGCAAGAGACGATTAGTGGGAATGTTGCTGATTAGCTGGACACAAGGTTTCCGGAAAAGGGACGCTGTTAAGTCACGTGGTGCGCAGCTACAAGCACGGAACCGCCCGGCTCCTGAACCAAAATAGAGGATGGTGTAAGAACTGGGGCATTCCACGTCAAATCGAACAAAAATCGGCTGTTTTGCACCTTACCATCAGCGATTTCATTATAAATTTGTGAGCGAGTTCCTGTGTCGCCCCGAACATTACATTGATGTTTTTTGCACATTCTGACCACAGGTCTTCTAAATATAGGGCATCGAATTTTTACAAAATGTTGCATCTTTATATTTTTGAACGACCATAACTTTGGTTGTACTTGTTTGATTTGAATGAAATAAACCTTACTGTTTAGGTAATTTCTTAAGCATTTGTTTAGAATTGCACCTACTTAAATATATGACCTTGAAATTTGCTTAACTCTGTTCTTAAGCACAAAAATTGAAATAGCAAAAAACACGTCACCTTCGATTTGGCTAATTTTCATATATTTTATTGCCTACCATATTCTTAACAACCTGTGAAAAAATTAGAGTGGGCTATTCATAAGTTTTGAAGAAAATGGCACATATGCAAACGTATGTTAGCACGCGCAGTGGAGGGGGAAGAGTGAATTTCGCCCCACCCCTCCTGTTTTTCGCCAATATCTCATAGTATTAATGCGAAATTAATTATAGCTACCTGTCCAAAATTGAATTGCACGTCTCATCGTGCAAGCAAGAAGAAAATCGGTTCACAACTGGTCTAGTAATAGCGGTGTAAAGTGAACATCCTGTCGCCGCGGCGACGCGGCGACTCGGCAGCCGGCGCCGACCGCTAGCCGCCGCCTGAATTGTAGACTGTGCCGGGACGGAACGGAACGGTTCCGTCTTTACATCGCGCTCCTTACCGCTGATTACGTTCGATTCGCGTCAAATTTTGTGAGAAGACTAAGAAATATACAGCCAATCTTATGGTGTAAGAATTTTGAAAATCGGTTGGTAAACAATTGAAATATGAACGTGTAAACACAAAATTGTGATTGCTGCGTTTCCCGCGTCGGCCGATCCCTCCTCAGCCGGCGACATGTTACTCTTAGCAGGTCTCTAACTGCCATATTTATTATTGGATTAACTAGAAATTCCCCATACATACTCAAAAATGTATATTCTTTCGTATAGTGAAGATAAAAAGACGTGAAGATATCGTTGCGTGATAATGTTTTCGTTGAATTTTTGGCTTCATGATGCATTTCCACACGGCTCAAAATTCACCGCAAAATACCGTTTGCCTGAGACACTTTTACTATGGAACTTGAATACTTGACTACGATGACTATGTATTTCCATTCTCGCAGAGTTTGGGATATCACTAATCAGCAATCATTCATTTCAGAAAGTGTACACAAGCAAGCATGTCTTGACTCTGTCTTTCAAGGTCACGCGCGTTTGCGTGATGTTGATGCATGAAAACGGCGTTTGCCGCGAGAGTTATGAATGGCCCACTCCAATTTTTTCACAGATGGTTAGGAACATTGTGACGGACATAATATGTAAAAATTACCCGAATCGAAGGTGACGTGTTTTTTGCTATTTAAATTTTTCTGTTTTAATTCAAGGTCAAATGCATTTCAAGGTCACTTCAATTTAACTTTATAATTAAAAATCAAAGCCTTATCAATTGCCTACAAGACCCTGTTAATATCATTTTGATAACAGAAAATTAACCAGAGTTATAGACCTTTAAAAAATTGATGTGTGGCATTTTTGGCTATATTCGATGACCTATATCTCAGCGATACTTTATCAAATTTCGAAAATATTATACGTAACTCAGTTTTGAACCATGCCCAGTCTGCCTACAAATTTTCAGAAAAATCGAAGGGGATGACGGATTTCGGTGTTTGATTTGACGTGGAATGCCCCAACTTCAGGAATTCCCGTGAAGAAACTGCATCTACAAAGCCTGTGCGAAACATCTAGGGCGACAGCACTGTGCCGCGGCTGAGGGTGTAAGCAAATGCCGCCTCATTGTCGGAGATCGCTAGACTGCTGAGAGCTCCACACGTCTGCGGGAACGCCCTTTAGAGGGCGCACCCTCAAAAGGCCCCCCAATGTGCACTCGTATTCACAGGGCTCTGATTATAGCGCCTACTGCAACAGAGCAGAGGGCCATTCAGTACGCCTTGCTGCATCCTCCACCGGCCACAGCTGTGCTGGTAGGCTCTGGGCAGCTGCCTGTAGAATATGACAATGTTGGGCTTGTGTGGGTACTACAAGGTAGCCTAAATTTCCAATATGATTGAGCATCATGGGTATGAGGGAGCCGGAAGGAAGACGGTAAAGTCATTGACCAGGAATGGAAGTGACAGGGGATGACGGTCCCAAAGATACATGGGCGTGGTCACAATTATCACAATGAATGTGACGAGGTTGGCAATAGCAATCGAACTTTCACGGTATTCAACTATATCTTCAACGGTTTTACGACAAAGATTGTAGGTCGTCGTACTAAGCGTGCCGGCTACGAGTACGAGCTGCATGTCTATTGTCTATGATGATTACCGGGTCGAACTTAACATGATGCTATTTTGGTTGTGGGGTAGGGTGGGGACAGGGAGGCCAAATTAATCATGGGGGAGGCTAGGTCGGGTAGGTATTTTTTATTGGAATTTTAAACGAAGTTGGGAAAAGAACGGTCGGATTATACTGGCGCTCCCGGCTGGTTAGCACATCAAAATACTGAATGCCCGGCACCCTGCTGACACCACCGAGCTGGCAAAGTTCTGTTGGCTTCAAACTTCTCAAGTTCACTCCCTATTTTATTTCAATTAAAATTCCCCTATAATGGTCACATATTGCTACGATCACGTAGCATGTTCGTGTAAATGTTCAACTGTTCCGTCCAGGATATGCCGAAGCCATGCTAAATGAGTAAATACGGCTTTCTTCCAAACTTCCTGGACCAACGATTCGGCTCATATTTCACAGGCCACCATCAAATAAAAGCCGTATCTACAAGATACGGCTTTCTTCCTGACTTATCAGTTCCGCATTCTTTGTTTGAAATTTTGTATAAATGCCGTATCTGCCGAATTTAAGGATACGGCTTTCTTCCTGCGTGTTTTGCTATCCCTGATGTAACAAATCCGTTTTTGAATTTTTATATTATATATAATATTTTCATTTTTGAGTGTACACACGTTTGAGCAGTACCATTAAACGCATCATGAAAAGAGCTTTCCAACTATATCAAAAACGAAAAATCGATAAAAATGTGACTTACGGCTTTTTTCCTCCCGACGGCAGATTTCACCAACAATTCACTGCACACTATGTCACTGTCAGTGTCACCACACACATGTTACGAACACACAGCTAATCTCAGACCCAGGCAGACGCACCCAGTCTGGCCGGCCACACGTGGAAGAGTCCCGCGGCCCGATAGAGTCAGTTGGGGCTGCGCCGGCGCCTGACCCGGGGCTGCCCCGCCCCAAGGGATGCCCCGCCCTCATGGCCTGGGGCGGCACGTGACGAGGTCATGGCTAACTGTGATTGGCTACGGCACAACGCTCGGCCGATGGCACGACTTCAACCGGGGCACATGACAGAGAATCAACGCGTGATACAATTGAGCCATACTTTTACTCCCCTACCCTTTCGATACAAATTACTTTACTCATGTCTTTTACGGTAATCAAGTGCGGGGGAAGATAACATTCGGAGAAATCGACACCAATTTGCCGTTTCCTAGCGGCTATGGTATCAAAGTTTATTTATGCCAATTCCAACTGAGGTCGGAGTACCGACATTTCCGACGTCCCCGATCACTGGCTGGCGTCGTGCACCAATCCATACACCTATCACGCGACCCGAGCATGACCGATGACTGACCGGCGTTCGGCTCAGCCGAGTTGGGCGTGAACATCCGCCTCGTATTATACCTACCAGACATCGTTCTTATCCAAAAATAACCTAAATGACATTGCTGTTTGAGGTGAAAAGTGTGGGATCGGCGCGATAAAAATAGATAAAACGTATCCGGACTTAATTTATGCTTAGCTTTGAACAATTGTTTGAAAGGGTGTCTTCTTCAGTGAGCCATGAGTTTTAGGAATAATGCCGTGCTGATATAATGTAAACGTTTACTTATAAACTGTCGACTTGTGCCCGCTATCTCGCTCAAATACATATAAACATGTCTAATATTTGACGGTGGTCGTAAAGGAGTGATGAGACTCGGTCATCGATGTGCCGAAAAAAAACGCGAAAGTCATCAAGCAACCATTTATCATCTTGTTTCTTATGTTGCTATTTATGGTACACGTTTGGCTGACACCTTTCGATACCGCAGTTAACGGGTTCAGAAATCACGATAAGTGAAGCCCATGTGTCCTTCATTCGTGTGTGATAGGCAGTTCGCGCTCAAGAGGTTATGGTTCGAAGTGGGTCAATATCAGGCATAAGGATGTCATACCATGGACCTTTGTCAGGTGTTGCAAGAAGCAGGTGTCCGATAGCCTGGCTGTCTAAGCTCTATTGTCTAATCCACCCACTCGATGCGAGATGGTCAGTTTAGTGCCTGCCTACGACGTCCTTCGTCCCTCATCACCTTCAGGGTTCTGACACTCGTCCAGAAAGTTCTCCGCCCCACTGACACTCACGGTGTGGTAAGGGCCGCCCCTCTCACCCAGGGTGTGTAATTGGGCTATGGGCACTCTGGTAAGGGCCGCCCCACTCACCTTCAGGGTGTAATAGCCGTCCAGCACGGCTGCCGAGGTGTTGGTGACTACCGGCCACGTTCGCAGGGTCTGCACAGTGCGGTACTGCTCAGCCTCTCGCAGCAGAGCGTCGGACACGCCCTCCTTCCGGGCCACGGCGGCACTAGCAGGCGACGTCATCGTGTTCTGTAGAAAACGAGGCAACAGCAGTCAGACGGACACACGACATATGCATCACGGCGCGAGCGGCCGCAGCCCTTCTAGGTCACATCGGTCGCGGAGTGACAAGCTGGGCACTGGTTGTATTTGCATGAGGTTAGTCACGCCAAACGCAGTCGGGTTGCATCATGTTTGTCGACTCCGAATTTCCCTGGGCTCTGAGCCCGCAGTCTCCTGGGAGATGTGCTCTGTGACAACTGCCTGCCTGTGGGGCGACTAAGCCGATCCGATCGGGGTTGGTGACCCATCCAGCCGGGCGACCATGCCAACAGGCTGTTTACCGGGTCCCGGATATCTCCTGTTTACATCGACTGTCCGCCTGACTCGTGTCTCCGGGCCTGGAACTTATACAGCTAGCAACCAAACTTCGCTGGCAACCCGACCAAACACCACTGGATTCTGTAGAGGCCTAGTCACCATTGCATCGTCCTGGTAAGCGACCAATGAGATTCTTGAGTCGATAGATATACTTTATACCTAACTCTACAATTCAAAGGCCTTAATGATGCATAGCTAGAACTTTGGTGGTGACACTCAACACACACTATGCGACAAAGATGAGATGGGTCAAGCTAATTTTCAACTGCCCGGTGGGTATTCACCGGGTACACGAGCCACTCACCTATTCACAGGTCAGTCGGCAGTCACACCCTGTCTTCCCACGCAGCTCACTCTGTCCGTCAGCGCACCCGCTCCTCTCGCTCTGTCCGTCTCTGTCCGTCTCTCTCGGTGTGCGCCCCGCGTCTGGTGCCGGCCGCCGGGCGCCGGCCGGTCATATCGGGGCCTGCCGGGCGGGGCGGCCACCCGCCGCTGACGTGGTCGGACCGAAGTCCGCCGCCCGCTCCGGCCGAGGGACTGTCGTCAGGCTCGCTGAGCTGACGTGAGGCCCGGTCACGAGAGGCGCAGCCGGAACAGAGCTGTTACCGTCCATCGCACGTGCCGATTGGGAAGGAATGCCCTCATCTTCCGGGGGCAAGGTCGCTGACCTAAGGTACTCGGGGATAGCGTGCTGTTCGCATCTTAATTCCATCATTTAAATGAAATTTCCCAATTAATTTGACTTTAACCCAAGATCAGAACCTTATGAGGAAAACACACTTACCTAATGTTGGTCGGTCATCGGTGTGCACAGCCCGCGCGTAACAGATCCACAACCCACATAGGGGGAGGGACAGAACATATTCCCTTTTCTAGTTCGGTCTTCAAAGCTCAAAGTTTGATAGGTGCATGACTAGAGGTCCAAGTGGCGAATCAGAGAAAGGTTGGCATAAAATTGCATCCCCCTCCTGCCTCAATGCGCTGCGATCGGGCCACCGATCTAGCGTAAGATGTAAGACCTAACATCATGTCATTCACGTTTCTTTCACGCCGATTAGACATTGTATGCACAAAAAAACTTTGGCCAAACAAATGTTTGATGCATAGCATGTCCAGTAGCACAACCAAACCTATGTTTGCATATTAGGTATGTGCCTCTTCAGATGAAGGAATGCGGCAGCACACCTTAGCGACCTTGTACTAGCCGACTTTTCTTGTTCTCGTTATCTGTACGCGATAGAAAGGTCAGGAATGGCCGGGCCTCCCGACTCCACCCGCAGAGATCAAGTTCAGCAGCGGATAGTGACTTTGACCCCGACCTCCGCACTGAGCCACTCCGGTGACCTTTGACCCTGTCACACACCTGTGAGTATTGCATAGGCCGCGGCCTATCACGGTGACGTGGTAACGCGATACGAACTCTCAGTGAGGTGCTCGGTGGGGTCAACAAAGTCCAAAGTCCGGACAGACTCCAGGAGCATCTCTCGGAGTGACCGGACCTGAGCCTCCCCTCTCTACCGATCATGAGGCACGGACACAGCACAGCCGTGTGGGGAGACATCCCGGCGCGCCGCGGGTGTTCCGAGTCCTGGCACACATCAGTGTCAGACGAACAGGCGTCAATACGATGACTGTACAAGTGTACAATACCCACTGCTGACCGGAGGTGCCCTTTGAACTCAGAACATGAGGATACGGGCGATCTCGTGTATGCATTCCCGTAAATGCCTCCCAATGACAGCGCACCGCGGGTGGCGAGTTATGTAATTTTAGAACGAATCTCGATATACCGAATGCTGACTGGGTCCAATTCCAGGATGCAGTTGGTCTCAGTTTATTTGTGGGCGGTCCGAGAGCTGAGGTAGCTCATTTCCGGGGCTAAAAATAAGTTTCTGTAGTTCATCCATCGAGTTACAAGTCACGCCACCGACCCGTCAAAAGACAATATCCCGAGATATACAAGTTTTAACCCCGCAGTTGCTGGGTATTTCATCACCCAATACTTGCTGAGGTGCGCAGAGCCCCCCCCCCCAAGCGAGACAGACAAGGCAAGAACGAAAGCTCGTGACGAGATGCTTCTGATCATTACCTAGCAGTAAAATTTTTGAAGTGATGGGTCGGGTCAAAATCAGGTCAAAAACCCAGAATTGGGCTTATATAGCATGTAGAGTGACTGTATGTATGTATTGTACATGCTTCGAAACCTTGTGCTGGGCGATGGCATCTCTCGTCATAAACTAAATCAGGATTGCGCATAATCCATCGTCAAGATGTTACACGAGTGTCAGGTTCATGCAGCCTGAAGGAGCCAATTTGCATAGGTCAGGGTCAGGGTCAGATCAGTCAGGTAGGACATTCCCCCCCCCCAAAAAAAAAAATAATTTGGGATTAACGATATATGGCACGTGTTTATTGCGGTTTTCTTTGCGTTGTCATTTGAGGGCAGATTATATACTATTCGGCAAATGAGAGATCACAAAGTAATGTATGTACGACCAGGGTCAAGATATGATATACCTATCCTGCAAAAGGCGCAACAGAACCAAGTACCCGTAAAAGAAAACTAGTCGCACCTGTATCCCCTCTCGGTAAAACCAAACCTGCGACCGAAGTATGATCAAGTAACCTATTACGGCGGATATGAATTTGAAAGCGTTTTAATCGTTACAGCTTTCTCTGTTCACGGGCCACGACATTTATCAAAATGCCAAACAGGAGAATGCACCTCGGATAAATCGTCACCCTCAAGTTACAACTTACACCCGATCTAAGCACTTTCTGCAATGCAATGATTTATCGGTTGAGGGTTGTTACCACGTGGCTCAGGAGCTGAATTAAAGCTGGGAACAGGCGTAAAAACGTCACCCGCCATTTGGTGGACGGATGGAACAGCGGCTTCAAGAAGTAGTCGAAGCACGGACGGATGAACAAAGTATCCGTGACCAGAATAGGTACGCTACTGATCGTGGGAAACATAATTTGTTAGGTTTTAGTATATTCAAATTAAATTGTTATCATTTTTCCAGTCGTTGAACAGTTAAATACTACGTTAACAGAGAGCACGATATCAAAGGAAGACAAGCGTCAATACAGTCTCACATTCACAAGCAAAACAGCCATCGGAGGCACTCTACGTTTCCTTCGCTAAATAAGCCACTATCAAAGCATTAGCACCAAGCCAATAAGGCGAGAGCCGACGTCAAGCGCAGTTGACCGGGCCGACGGGGCAGCATCTGACTAAGACACATATACGACACCAGCGCAATAGGGCTACCTTTGGCAGCTAAAGAGAGCCCGCAGGGGCATATAGAATATGTCTAATGTCGGCCCGTGAATATAGTCGCAAATATACACAATAGGCCAGTCGCAAAAATCGCAAATTACCAAAGCCCGCGAACATCCACAACGTAAATTGTGTAGCAATTTTAAATCTGAAGATGAAAATGGTAACAAAATACTAAAATCAATAACACACGTCGGACAACTTGCAATACAAAAGCGAAAGCGTCTTCCGTGAGGCCGCTTCGCGTGTGGATAAGTTAATACTTTTACTGAAAACAGAGTCATTCTCGCCAGCACGCATTACGGCACTAACAGGCACTACGCGTACCACCCAGTAGCGGACTCCGGCGGTGCCGGGCCGCACTGCAGGCGCTCAATTGCATAGATGGTTAGTGATGGGCCAGCCGCGCTCTGACGGCTGCGCCCCCCCCCCCTCCCCCACCACGTGACCGGGGCGTGTCGTCACTGCCGGAGGGGCGCGCGGCTGCCCTCGGGCTGCCGGCCAGTGACCGTGAGGCGTGAGTCAGTCACCCATTCCCACTACACCTCAGGACTAGATTAGTGCGGTGACCTGTGGCCGGTGGGCACGATCCGGACTTCCTATCGGCACTGCGGGGATCGCGGTACAACTGGCCGGTTTAGTGACACGGCACTTCATCGCTGCCCGACCCTCCGTACCGAACTGATAGGAGAACGAACGCAGTGCGATGATACACGTCACACACCGACCAGCCACACGGTACAGAGGCCAGTACAGACGGAGAAAGAGAGACGGAAGACTGCTACTGTTACACACACATTATTCACACAGACGGACAAGCGTAGTCGGGGCGCCACAGTTGTAAATGTGATGGTGAGACTCGTTAATAAATACCTCCGACGGCTCGGCGGCAACGTCTCGTTACGCGCATTGATAAGACACACCGAGCAGCAGTTTACAGTGGGACCCCGGCCACTCTCTGCTGGGGTGTGGACCGCCCCGAGAGACCGCCTGTGGTCATACCGTCAGTTGGTGAGTGGGTTACCGTGCGGCGAAAGAGGCGGCTTCACGTCAACGTCGCTGTCCAGAGATGGTTCACTTCTCGAAGGTGAGCCGGGACACCTTACGGCTCTTGTCGGCCTTAGGCGGCGCCGGCTGCGCGCCAGCCGCGATGTGCCGCGAGTACAGACTGTGGGAGTGAGGGGACCTGTCGGTCAGAGGCCTCGTGCCATACAGATTCAGAGGATGATACCCGGTTAGCTATGGCGTAAGCCCCGCGGTACAGTCAGACCTGGCTAACATGTAACGACCCTACAACACCACGTCAGACACTACTAGAGGCTGCGGAGAACCAAATACCGTGGGCTAGACAGGTTTGCAGAACACCAGCAAATGCACATCCCAATTACAACCGACCATTTAGCTCAAAATACGATAAAGCTGGCGGAGCAACTGACACGAATGGATGATTCCAAGCGTCTTTTCCCCACGCTTCCAAAGTCATTCATTCATTCATTGGAGTTTACGGGCGCGTCGACTGCGGTGGTCATTTTGTGCCCATAACGCTGTACTGGTAAAGCGGATTCCCTTGCCGATAAGGGAGGTGCAGTGTGGGTGTTTTTGACGGCACTATGCGGCAAGTACGGACAGTGCACCCCCTGTCCTGCTACCGCCCCGTCCCCATTCGGTACTCACATGCGGTATGTGTCGGAGCGGATGTACTCGATCACGTGGCTGACACCGAGCTCCAGCTGATCGGCAATGGGCACCACCCACGGGTTGTCGTCCATACGCAGCACGCACTTACTGCCCGTGAGCTCCAGATTACCTGGCCGACGAGAACATGAAGGTGTCAGCGAGCAGGGACCAGCGGACTTTTCGATCAGTGGCGAGCGGGCAGACGTCCAGCACCCGCAGTCGAGAGCAGTCAGCCAATCAAGCGCCATCCGGACAAAAGCTCGCATCCGTCACAACACAGCCATCACACGCTGCCAGCTATATGCAGGCTCAACACGGATAGCCATTGTTCAGGTGACACAGCAGGTTCATTGTTCACCAATCTCTGGCGGCGGATGACAATGTTCAGAGCTCTCTGGCTGTAGAGGGCAGCACGCTCAGTCGCTCGCTCATCTCTGACAGAACGCTCACTGATCTCCAACGACACACTCGCCGATCTCTGGTGACAGGGAACTGAACGCTCACCTATTTCCGGCGGCAGCACGGTCAGCCGGTTGCCCTGGATGTGCAGCTCGCGCAGTCGGTTCAGCGAGCCCACCTCCTTGGGAATCTCCAGCAGATCGTTCTCCCTCAGCACCAGCTGACAGGAAGGAAAGAGTGTGGTCAGGTGGGCTGTGTACATGGGTACCAGGAAGTAAACATTTTGTACAAGAATCGAAGTTTTGGAAGAAATGAGGAGGGAAAAATGTTGGTAGGAAGAAGAGAACCAATACAAGAACGTTATCAGTAATCTATATGGTCACGACTCACGTCGAAGCTAACAAAATATGCATTAGCCTCAGCAGACAGATAGCTACCTACCTCCGTTTCTCATTCATGGCCTTAAAGCTCAGGTAAGAATGAGTTGGCACCCTATTGGCCAGACACCCTCCCCCTCCCTTCCCCAGGCTAAGGCGATCGGCCGAGGGGCCACCATACGCCACAAATTTTATGCCTGAGATACAGTGTTGTTAAAGCCCAGATCACCACCCCCGAGGGCAGCAAACTCTGACACGGCTATCCGAAACGCAGCACGGCGCCCTAACTCACGATCTGCAGGTTCTTCAGCAGCTTCACGTCAGGTGGCAGGTACTCGAGGTCGTTATCGCCCAGGAACAGCGCGCGCAGACTCTCTGTATGGGAGGAGAGAGCGTGAGTAACGGCGGTAGTAACGGGGGTACAAGCCTTCCCGATATCACGAACAGGAGAAGCCGGTGCGAATTATAATACAGCACTGGCCACAGTTCACCACAGAAAATATTTTATAAAAGACAGTAGACACTTCAAGGTTCAAGGCCCCGGCGAGGAGGGATCGCTGGCGCCCTCTACTCACGACCTAAGCGACATTCGTCGATGGACATAAAGAAATAGACACAACTCTGGGCGAGAAAATATTGAAATGAAACAGCGACGTCATGATAATGGAACGTCGGCCTTTATGAGTGCCAAAGCAGTGTTGACTATCCGCTTACCATGCGTTGAATTGCGCACAGTTCCCTCCCCTCCCCTCTCTTCCAGGGTCTAGTCGCCAGCGTAGTCGCCTGCTATCAAACCACAGACCCCAGGTTCAGGGCCAATCAGCTCACCGATCATGAAGAAGTTGCCTGGTAGGCTGTTCTCCGTGAGATTGTTGTAGGTGAGGTCGAGCACCTCCAGCACGGGGAAAGCTCCAAACCCGCGCGGCAGCGTGCTTAGCTTGTTCATCCTACAAAGCGAGGAAATTAGTGTGCTTTTCAGAAATTGCACTGAAATGAGAAGTGGTGCAAACGATATAACATTACAAGAGATTCTATTACCCGCATAGCTATCAGTTTCATTTCTGACGACAAAATTAAACGCAAGATCGTCATGTAGCATGACAGTCACGTGATGTCTGCGGCCGTTCAACCCACCCAAGATTCAAGATGCGCAGCTTGGGCAGCGACGACAGCGAGGTGGGCAGCTCTTCGATGTGGTTGTTGAAGAGGTTGAGGATCTCGAGGTTCTCCAGGTCGGCCAGACTAGGCGGAATCAGGCTGATCCTGTTGTGGCTCAGGCTGAGCCGAGTCAGGTTGGTCATGCGCACTGCGGACAATACCATCAGGTGTCATTGCACTGTCCCTGTTCATAAACTGCACAATTCATCACAAAGACGGCCGACCACCATCGCAGCAACAACACAGGAAGGAGCATTGTGCGTCACAGCAGTATCTTTCAAAAATAACTGTTTTAGTGAGTTCACTGTATTTATCGATGCAGCCAATGAGAAAAGAAAGGCACCGTTCCTAAAAAGTGTTTCTTCGAAACATGTCCCTCCGTTCCTACGAAACACGACTTCCGTCATTCGTTCCTCCATTGCTCTGTAGCTGCAGTGTAACCACAATATAACCATAACGTAACGTACACACAAAGTACCAAATAACTACACATGGCCTTTTCTCCAGTTACAACAGAAAAGAATGATACCATAAGATGTATTATGGTCTTCAGGTTTTAACAGCAGAATTGTTTAAGTTGACCTTTTAATGTCAAACATTTAACCTTTAGAAGGTTTAATTCACTTGACGCGTTTCGACGAGAGAAAAACGGAATGCCTGTAAAATCAATGTCATAAAGCTTTGTGTAAGAAGTTTTTTGCCAAAAATAACTTTGCCATCATAAAATCAACATCGACTAGGCATTTCTTGCCCTCCTTTGGAGACACACTATAGACCTGAGGTCACATCTGAGAGAACAACAATGAAAAGGCTTTAAAAGTGAAAAAGCTCGAAAAGACTGTGTCGGCGGTTGCTGTGGTATCGAATGTGACTGTAGTGTGTGAGTCAGGCATTGCAGCGTGCCCGGTGAGCCCGCCGCGGCGTCGGCGAACAATGGGGCCGGGTCGTCTTCTTCACTTGACACCCGCCGCTGAGTGATGGCCGCCGCCGCGACGGGCTGGTGTGGGGTGAGTGTGCCGGCCAGCCAGTCCTGCTCTGGCTGGCCGGCCGTGCAGTCCATATATACAGTCTACACGTGGTTGTTCCCGTTTTACTTTCTACAAGCTATTTCGGCCTTACACCAGAGCGAAGACGTCATGACGACGACAGCTTCCGCGTCAGAGACGGTGCTGACATCAGTGACAGGGCCGGTGATGTCAGTCACCTGGCCGGCAGCAGCGGCGGCTGCCAGTCACCTCAGCAGTAGCGGCGCCCCCAGCCAGTCGCCTGGCCGTCAGCGGCCGGCAGCCCCAGTCGTTTTGCCGCCATTACCCTTCGACGTCCGCCTAATCCCCGAGTATGACGGCAGCACCGACGTCGTGGAGTGGTTTGGCCGGACTGAGATGCTGTGTCGGCTGCGTGGTGTGCCGGTGGAGTCAGTGCTGCCGCTGCGGCTCTCGGGCGGTGCGTTCGCTGTTTGGTCACAGCTGCCCGCCCACAGCCAGTCCTCGCTGGTGGCCGTCCGCGGCGCACTGTATGCAGCCTTCGCCCTTGACCAGCACGCAGCGTACGAAGCCTTCTCAGCACGGCGGCTGAGGCCGGGGGAGTCAGCTGACGTGTTTCTGGCCGACCTGCGGCGGTTGGCGGCCCTGTTCGGCGGACTGCCAGAGCGCGCGCTGACCTGCGCGTTCGTCGCAGGGCTGCCGGACGACGTCCGCCAGACCATTCGCGCCGGCTCCAAGGCTGAAGGACTGGACCTGACTACCATCGTGGTTCGCGCTCGAGCCATTCTCAGCAGTGAGCGAGTCTCAGCGGCGGCGGTGCAACAACGGGTCGTGGCACCGTCCCCCGACCAGCGTCCTGCCTCGCCGCGTAGTCGGCCTCGGCGCCCTCCGCGCCGCATGCGCTGCTGGGCTTGCGGGGAGCTCGGTCACATCGCGGCGAGGTGCCAGCAGCGATCGGGAAACGGAACCGGGGAGGACGGGTCAGCACCGCCGTCCTCTCCTGCGCAGCACTGAGCGGTGCGCTGCCCATCACGCGGCTGAGGGTGGAAGGCCGCGAGTGCAGCGTCCTGATTGACACCGGCAGCACAGAGAACATCATTTACGCTCCCCTCTGTACGCAGTGGAGACCGCGGCAGGTGCGCGTGACCACCATCAGTGGGGGTCAGCTGGAGTGCTGCGGTGTTGGCGCCGTGGTCGTGGAGGCGCCGACGGGCCACCGCGGCACACTCGAGACAGTGGTGGTGGAGAAGCGGCCTCTGGGAGTGGATATGGTCCTCGGGATCGCAGGCGTCTCTGCACTGGGTGGCGTGACCGTGCTCTCCCCATCTGAGGTCCGCTTTTGTGGAGCGGTGTGCAGTGAGCCACTGGGCGTGGATGCGCCGGACTTCCGTGTGTGCTTTGACTCGGCGGAGCGGAGATGGACCGTGGCCTGGAAATGGCGTGACGGCGAAGGTCCCGAGTGCCTGACGAACACTGTCGCCCAATATACAGTGCCGTCAGCCGCACGCCGTGAATATGACGCGGAATTGGACGCATGGATCGCACAGGGCTGGCTAGTGCCGTACGATGAGGACCGCCATGGGGCGGCGAAGGGGCTGGTGCCGCTGATGGCTGTGCAGCAGAGCAACAAGGCCAAAGTGCGCCCGGTAATGGATTACCGCGAGCTGAACGGTTTTGTATCGGCTCACACAGCCGATGCTGATGTGTGTGCGGATCAGCTCCGGAAGTGGCGCCGTCATGGCGCAAACGTGGCGGTGATAGACCTAAAGCGCGCCTACCTGCAAGTGCATGTAGAGGAGCGGCTCTGGCCGTACCAGACTGTGATGGTTCGAGGCCAGAGGTTCTGCCTGACACGCTTAGGTTTTGGCCTTAATACAGCCCCTCAGATAATGAAGACCGTTGTGAGGTCCGTGCTGGAGCAGGACCCGGACGTACAGCGTGCCGTCCTTCCGTATGTGGACGATCTTCTGGTAAACGAAGACGTGCTGAGCGCAGACAGTGTGGTGGCGCACTTCGAGAAGTTCGGGCTGAACTGTAAGCCCCCAGAGCGGGCAGCCAGCGGAGCTCGGCTGCTGGGCCTGCGCGTCCAGGCAGAGGGCGGCAAACTGCAGTGGACTCGGGACAACGCGGTGGGAGCGCCGCCGGCACCTGTCACGCGCCGTGCCGTGTTCTCGTGGTGTGGGCGGCTGGTGGCACACCTGCCCGTGTGTGGATGGCTCAGGCCTGCGGTGGCCTGGCTCAAACGACGTGTGAACCAGATGACTCGGGCGTGGGATGACGTCACCGATGACGCAGCGCTGCGTGCTCAGCTGGACTATGTTGCAGGCCGCTTGAATGGTGACGACCCAGCCCGCGGCACGTGGTGCGTTGAGGGTGACGCCATGGCTGTTTGGACGGACGCCAGCTCCCTGGCCACCGGAGTCGTGCTGGAGTCAGCGGACGGTGACGTCATCGAGGACGCGTGCTGGCTAAGACATAATGAGGCCACGCACATCAACATGGCCGAGCTGGACGCCGCCATCCGAGGCGTCAACCTGGCTGTCGCCTGGGGAGCGCGGACAATCGATCTCCGCACCGACTCGGCCACTGTTCATCGCTGGCTTGATGACGCCATCAGCGGCCGCGCGCGCCTCAGAACAAAGGCGCACGGTGAGCTGTTGATTCGGCGACGTGTGGGGATCATCTGTCAGCTGGTCGGTGAGCTGCGGCTACGACTGTCGGTGACGCTCGTGCGGTCGGCTGAGAACCGAGCTGACGCACTGACGCGAGTCCCCAAAGACTGGCTTCGTAACGTGAGTGTGACTCGAGAGTGCGAGTCTCCATCGCCCGGAGTCAGTGCGGCGGTCGTCTCCGAGCCGCCGCCTCTGGCCGGTGCCGCCGCTGGGCGTGCCGACGGCGGTACGGCGGACGAGCTCCTTGCAGCCGTGTGCCAGTCACACGATCGGGCCGGCCACCCCGGTGTCCGTCGGACATTGTACTTTGCCCGCCGTGATGTGTCGCGTGACGTCACCCGGGCTATGGCTCGTGCGGTGGTGGAGAACTGTGGCGCGTGCCGCTCGATTGACCCGGCCCCGGTGCGGTGGAGACATGGCTCGCTCGGCGTGTCTGTCCCGTGGCAGCGCATATCCATCGACGTCACCCATCACCGCGGACAGAACTACCTCACCGTCATTGACTGTGGGCCATCGCGCTTCTGCGTATGGCGCTCGCTGCGTCGCGCCAACGCCATCGAGATTGTTGGCCACCTAGAGCAGCTATTTCTCGAGCGCGGAGCCCCTGAGGAGATCCTGACAGACAATGACACGGTGTTCCGTGGCCGTCATATGGCTGTGCTCGCGGCGCGGTGGAGAGTGGCTCTCAGATTCCGAGCTGTCCACGAGCCAGGCGGTAATGGTGTGGTGGAGCGGTGCCATCGGACAATCAAAGTCATCGCCGCGAGGCGCCAGTGTACCGTGGCCGAAGCGGTTCACATTTACAACGTGACCCCGCGCGATGGAGTGACAGCAGAGTCCGCCCCGGCATCCGGGGTGTACCAGTACACCGTGCGGGATTGTATTCGGTCCGCGCCGTCTGACGCCGCTGAAGCTAGCGAGCGGCACTCACTCGTGTCTGACGACCGGTGTCGTGTTAGGCCGCCGCTATCTGACGCCACGGAGGCTGTGGGGTCACCCCCACTTGTATCTGACGGGGCGCGTCTCAGAGTGGGGGACAGGGTGTGGGTGCGCCGACGTGGGACACGCTGCACAGATATGTCACGGCGTGGGACGGTGACGGGCTTGGTGTCGCGACAGGTAGTCGAGGTCGATGGGGTCCCATGGCACGTCAGAAACGTTCGTCACCGATGTGAGCGGCAGGACAGCGACGGGGACAGTGACAGTGTCGATGACGGCGACGGGGACAGTGACAGTGTCGATGCCGGGCCGCCATTGTACGTGGACTGTCACTGGGAGGCAACCGAGGACGGCGCTGACGCGGTTGTAGACAATGGAACGACCGTGCGTGCTGTGCCTGAGACACTGCAGCACGCCACGGAGCAGACGAGGACTGAGCCCCCTGCAGCCGAGCCGGCTGTGGCTGAGCCTCCTGCAGCCGAGCCGGCTCAGGTCGAGCCGGTGCTGCTGCGGCGGAGCGCCCGCCTGCAGAGTCGGATGGTCCGTTAGTGGTGCGTACTGCAGTGTGGTCCACTGGAAATGTACTAGTATGATTCTTGAGTATCAGGTGGGAGTGTGTCGGCGGTTGCTGTGGTATCGAATGTGACTGTAGTGTGTGAGTCAGGCATTGCAGCGTGCCCGGTGAGCCCGCCGCGGCGTCGGCGAACAATGGGGCCGGGTCGTCTTCTTCACTTGACACCCGCCGCTGAGTGATGGCCGCCGCCGCGACGGGCTGGTGTGGGGTGAGTGTGCCGGCCAGCCAGTCCTGCTCTGGCTGGCCGGCCGTGCAGTCCATATATACAGGGTGGACCAAAAAGGATGGAAACATTTTGAACTCGCATAAAATATGTGTTATTGCATGCAGGTGACTGAAAATGATACCAAACGAGAGAACATTTCGTGGAAATTCATAATGACATCTTTCTCATCTGCTTTCTCTCGTTTTCAGTCTCTCACAGCAAATGTTCGAAGAGGCCACCTTTGCGAGACAGGCAAAGAGCGGCCCGCCTGGCTGCTGACGCGATAGCCCGTTGACACATGCCCTCTGGTATGACTCGCACAGCCTTGGTGATCGCTCTCTTCAGATAACAGAGGCCTACATAACCTTCCTTGTAGACCTGGCCCTTGAGATGACTCCACAGGAAAGGAATCCATAGGTCAGATGAGAAGACAGACAGGCCAGTTCCACTTCGCTTCGAGGATGGGAGCGACAACACCGTGGCTGACTACCAAAAGCGCTACCAAGCGACGCTAAAGAAGTTGTTGAAGTGAGCCCAAACGAAGTATGGCAGTCTCATGGACCTCATGTGGTTCCAGCCAGACGGTGCGCCTCCTCACATCGCGAAACAACGCTCAAGTGGAGCGAGAACCACTTTGGTGACCGGCTGATATCCCGCAGTGCCTGTCGGAACTGGCCTGTCTGATCACCTGACCTGACCCCGATGGATTTTTTCCTGTGGGGTCATCTCAAGGCCAAGTCTACAAGGAAGGTTCTAAAGGCATCTGTTACCTGAAGAGAGTGATCACCAAGGCTGTGCGAGCCAAACCAGAGGACATGTGTCATCGGGCTATCGCGTCAGCAGCCAGGCTCTTTGCCTGTCTCGCAAAAGTGGCCTCTTCGAACATTTGCTGTGGGAGACTGAAAACGAGAGAAAGCAGATGAGAGATATGTCATTATGAATTTCCACGAAATATACTCTCGTTTGGTATCATTTTCAGTCACCTGCATGCAATAACACATATTTTATGCGAGTTCAAAATGTTTCCATCCTTTTTGGTCCACCCTGTACAGTCTACACGTGGTTGTTCCCGTTTTACTTTCTACAAAGACTTTAAAGAGTCATCAATTGCACAGTTCCTTGACTCTGTAGCTCCACTGGTTCACGAGTTCTCAGCACCAATTGTTCCAAAGGTTTTGCAATCTGCCATATGGGAAATTTGAACTGAGATGATCTCCAATGACCGCAAAATTGCCCTGAATGAAAAACGATGTGCATTGCTTTGAAAGCACTCATTTAGAGCTATCAATCACTTTTCTGTATCTTTCTACCTTCATTAGTTTTCAGACAAATTGATGCGTGAAAAAAGGACCTCACAACTCCTTGACTCCCTCCAGTCACCACGCCACAAATTTTCCCGATTTTGGCAATTTTTCACAAATTGACTGATAACTTGGTAACAGGAAGAGCTACAGATCCACGGAGAAGCGCATTTGATAGCTCTTTTAAAGCTCTTTCTTAACAATTTTCCCAGATTTAACCTAGGGCTGACGATTCAGCATCCAGTTATCCAGACGGCAAAAAATCTCCAAATGCTGTCATTCTTTAAAAACGATCAGTACTCAAGAACAACTCACATAAGTTTGGTATCTGCTCCAGAGACTCAATCTTCATGTCCACCAGATCAAGCTCCGGGTTTCCTGTTTCTCGTGCCTCCTCCGTCACTTTCTTGATCTTGGATGACATGGTTGAAGTGATGACAAGGAGGTGCTGAAAAAGATGTAGGCATTGAAATACGCTACAAACATAACAAGCATGAGAGCTAAGCTGATGAGCAACTCATCATCTAAAAACATAGAATTGATGATTAATTTTAGGGTCTTAAGCTGGTCTTAGAATTGTAAGATTTCCTCTTATCATGCACCTAAGCAGAAGTTCCAACTTGTTTTATAAGCTTAGTCCAAACATTTTAAAAGGAAGGATTCACAAAGACAGAGCCCCTGCTAAGCAAAGCTTGTTGCGTTTGCCCTGCCCGCTACCTTCTGATCGTGCAATTCCTGGTCTGTGGCAGAATTTAGACCCCAAACGTTAACACATAGAGATAGCTGCATACGGGTGATCTCCCTCACCGACTCCAGCTGGGTTGGGCCACCCATCAACCACGACCATACCCATCAGGACTCAGGAGGCTCATATACATTGAGCGGCAAGCGCCCTTCACACTTCCAACCCGGGCCTTCGTAACTGGAACGTCTGCTCCCGACTCAACTCGATTCCGATCGACTCAAATCGATTCCGATCGACTCAAACAGACTCAGAACGACTCAGACAGACTCAAGCAGACTCAGACCGATTCAGATCGACTCAGACCGACTCAAATAGACTCAGGACGACTCAAAGTGACTCATAACGACTCAATCGACCCAAATCGTTCCGATCGACTCGGACAGACTCAGAACGACTCAGACAGACTCAGGCAGATTCAGACCGATTCAGATAGACTCAGACCGACTCAGACTCAGACTCAGAACGACTCAACCGACTTAAATCGTTCCTATTTGAGTCGATCAGATTCAGACCGATTCAGATTGACTCAGACCGACTCAGATAGACTCAGACTCAGAACGACTCAACCGACTCAAATCGTACCGATCGACTCAGGTCTCGGACAGACTCAGAACGACTCAGAACGACAGACCGCAGCAGACACAAACCAAATCAGGCAGACTCGAACCGACTCAGGCAGACTCAGACCGATTCAGATCGACTCATACCGACTCAGATAGACTCAGAACGACTCAAATTGACTCAGACCGACTCAACCGACTCAAATCGATTCCGATCGACTCAGACAGACTCAAAATGACTCAGAGAGACTCAGGCAGACTCAAACCGACTCAGGCAGACTCAGACCGGTTCAGATCGACTCAGACCGACTCAGATAGACTCAGAACGACTCAAACTGACTCAGACAGACTCAGAACAACTCAGACAGACTCAGAACGACTCAGACAGACTCCAGCAGACTCAAACCGACTCAGGCACACTCAAACTGACGCAACCGACTCAAACCGGTTCAGGTCTGATGATTCAGGTCAAAAAGATGGGTCTGTCTGAGTCGGTCTAAATCGGTTTGAGTCGGTTGAGTAGGTTTGAGTCTGACTGAGTCTGTCTGAATCGTTCTGAGTCTGTCTGAGTCGATCGGAATCGATTTGAGTCGGTTAATTCGGTCTGAGTCAGTTTGAGTCGTTCTGAGTCGGACTGAGTCGATATGAATCGGTTTGAATCGATCGAGTCATTTTGAGTCTGCCCGAGTCTGTCTGAGTCGTTCCGAGTCTGTCTGAGTCGTCCGGAATCGATTTGAGTCGGGTGAGTCGGTCTGAGTCAGTTTGAGTCATTCTGAGTCAATCTGAGTCGGTCTGAGTTGATCTGAATTGGTTTGAGTCGGTCGAGTCAGTTTGAGTTTGTCTGAATCGGTTTGAGTCGTTCTTAGTCTGTCAGAGTCGATCGGAATCGATTTGAGTCGGTTGAGTTAGTTTGGGTCATTCTGAGTCGGTCTGAGTCGATCTGAATCGGTCTGAGTCTGTCTGAGTCGGTTTGAGTCCGCTTGAGTCTGTCTGAGTCATTCTGAGTCTGTTTGAGTCGATTGGAATCGATTCGAGTCGGTCTGAGTCAGTTTGAGTCGTTCTGAGTCGATCTGAATCGGTCTGAGTCTGCCTGAGTCTGTCTGAGTCGATCGGTATCAATTTGAGTCGATCAGAATCGAATTGAGTCCGTTGAGTTGGTCTGAGTCAGTCTGAGTTAGTTTGAGTTGGTCTGGGTCGATCTGAATCAATTTGAGTCGGTCGAGTCACTTTGAGTCTGCCTGAGTCGGTCTGAGTCTTTAGTCTCAGACCTCAGTCGATATTGATAGCGTGGTACGCTATCTTCTCTTACCCAGTGACGTCACAGCATGCTTTCGCTTGGCACGGCGGGCTAATACAGGAAACCTTAACGTTGAACAAAAACACTACCGGTGACGCCAGGGTTACCAATACCGTCCAACACTTTAGGTACCTACTGAACTACAGGACTGGCAAGTGGCAGGTCAATGTAGGGTCAGCTAAGTTATACCAAAACATTGAATGGACATTGGAGTTGGACAGAGATCTTGATTTGTCAGTAACAAAGCATGAGATCAGAGATGTCTGTATGAAACTATGATCTGGAAATGTTCCGTTTGGTTCCAACTTACATCTGATTCTGATCCACTCAGTAGCAGATCCAGGGGAGGGCAATTACAATTAGGACCAGGCATTGCCCTTCCCAAACGGCATACTTTTAGCATTACACCTATATACAGTGCATGGAAAAACACTAATTGCTGTGTTTTGCCCTTCCCAAAACTCGGAGCTCAAGATAGATCTGCCAGTTGCAGTGACTCCACTAGCCCGACTAGGCATGTTCTGAAGCAAAACTGGCCCAGCCATGATAGAAGAAAATGCAGAGAAATAAATGTGCACAATTAGGGTATATCTTCTAGGAGAAAACTGCTGAGAAAGGGAGATGTTATATTTATAAGGATTAATTAAAAGGCAGCAGACTGACGCTGAGTCTGAGTCACCTGCGCATTGCGTGCATTTTACACTGAGAATTCGTGCAGTGAAGGTAACAAAACATCAAATTAGATAGTAAAGGATGGTAAATAAAACATTTAAGACCACAAACTCACCCAAAACTGATACACAACAGCAAAAAACAATTTTATTTAGAACAAAACACACGCGCCCTCGCGCTCTAGACACTAGCATACAAGGCGTACAAGGCTACCAAAAATCAACAATCGACCAGCGTCTGCGAGATGTGATATATTCAATGACGTCATAAGATCTTTGCTCGAATTTTACGCATGCCCTTGCGCATGCCTATCAAGTGGAGGCTGGTGGGGGTTGGGTGGGGGTGGGTGGGCATGGGTACTACGACAGCTTATTTTATGAAGGAGCGTGGCGTGAACAATGAAGTTTTTGTAGTTTGATCACTGGCCTACCTTTCTTCCTCAGTCCACTCCCTGCACGTTACAAGCGAAATCGTGCTTATTTCCTTCCCTATTACCCTTGCTGAGAGCCTTCGAATGTCGGTGAAGCGGACAGCGAAATGTGGCATATGGCCTTGATGCTGGTGTGCTTTGTACGCTATAACGCAACCAATGTCACTCTCAATGACACTGGTCGTACGCGGCATCCAATGTAGACAAGTAACAATTCGGCGTATATTGGCCACCATCACTGACACGACACGTCGCCGGCGAGGCGACAGACGGGACCGGCTGCCGGACGACAGAACCTTACAAAGGTAGCAAAAGCCGGTCGGAGGCGGTCCGAGCCGGCCCGGGGCGGCCCCGGGACGGCCGCTGCGTCCGGCAGCACCATCGCGCCCGTTTGCAACGATTGACAACGATGCTGCAAACAATGAAAAAGTGCGTCTGAGGGTGAGACACAACATCCACGGACAACCTGACAGATTATTGGGGGAAAACATCGTCCACGCGACCCGCAAGCATATAAAATGAGGCAACAGCTGTTCGACAGCGCCATGAAAAAGAATGGCATATGAAAATATTATGCAAAGTACCTATATAGTGTCGCGCAAAGATCACCTATTAGAACGCAATGCAGATTTAGATATTAACGTGAGCGCAGCAGACAAAAACCAAAGCAACGAACTCTAAAACGCATGCACACAAATGCAATACAAATACAAAGGGGAAAGCCTATAAAAAAGCAAAATGACGACAAAAACTTATAGCAACGCAATGAGACATGGGCAGTGTTCGGTGTGAACGTTGAAACAGACCGACGACCACGCTTGACGACGCCGACATTGCCACTCGAACACAGCTCGCTCTCAGGTATCACCGTTATTCACAGGGCCTACAAGCGGGACACTCGCGGCGACACCCACCAATCACATCGATTTAGTGTACGGAAGCGTACCTGCATGGACTAGTGCGGTGGCCGGGCGGACGCCTCGGCACTGGTAGGAAAACATACCGATCCAAGTGCATCAACCCATCGACACAGCAGATTAGTGCATTTCGGGACAGTCACTGGGTTTCTGTATAAGTAGGTGCGCGGTCGGGTCGTGGCCAGTGCTGAAATCCATTGTGGCAGCCTCCGATGGGAGCAGCGAGTAGTATTGGCCCGAGATCAATCCGACGAGACTTACCAGTGGCCTAGCTAGCACCGACCCGTCCGCGAGCCACCTGCTCGGTCCGCGACGATTACGTTCACAACACGACATCGATTCGTTGACATCCGGTCCCTGGCGCATCTACCCTCCTTCAGCTCATACCAATCACTCGAGAATACGCTCAAACAGTTCAGGTCTGGTGGCAGATCGCTGAACTAGCTTCTATGGAGACCAGTACTGTAGCCAGTAATTTCGCTCATGACGCTGAAAATCCAACACACAAACGTCAACTATTTGTAAAACGTGAAGCTACGCGGGGCGAGGCTCACAAACGCAACCATGACATGCTATACCCGTCGACGTGCTGCAGCGTCTAAGCAAAGTAGCATCACACAACAGTCCCTGGATCGGCCGGAACTGTTGTTTCCCTACTTTGACCGTTCAGTGACTGCAGTGCAACGTAAATCAGCATGAGAAACGGTTCTCATCACCATGTGAACAGCCGACAAAGTGCACACAAAACGACCATGTGGGGAGCAACATCTTTGGTATACAGCATGGCACGATCGCACGGGATTTTGAAACAAAAACGGACGACATGAGTGAATCTTGCATATAAGCGTAGCACAAGACAACACCAACCTGAGGATTATTAGGGCAACAGTCACTCACTCACGCTCGGCCTACCGTCCCAGCTCAGTCCGCCATCGCCGGTCGCAACCCAGCTGCATGTCTCTAAGGTAGCTGGGCAGCACTACCGAGCGCCTCGAGCCGCCCGAGGGACAGTTAGTTCTACCGACGCTACCCTGCGTGTACACCGCCAGCGAGGGTCGGCATTGGTGCGGCTACAGAGCCTCAGACGAGGTCAGCCGGTCTCTAGCCGGTACTGGGCTGGGAGCAGCGTCCCACCTCGCCAGCACCGAGCTGGGGCAGCGCCCGCCCGGCCGCCGCGCCTGGCTCGTCACCGCGGCCCGCCGCGAAAGACTAGAGCGGCCCGGGCCGGTGGTCGTCGGTCGTCGGTCGGACGCCAGAGGAGCTCGCAGCCCGGCCGTCACTAGGAGCCGCTCTGGCCCTGGTCGCCGCCGCCGCCGCCAGCACTGCCGTCGCCTCCTCCCCCGGCGCCGCCCGTTCCCGACGCCCCAGAGGGACCGGCCGCCTGCGGGTTACTGCCGGCGTCTGCGGCAGAAACACCGATTAAAGGTAAATATCAACGAGCAAAACAATGGCAGTCACAGCAACGGTACAGGCAACGACTGTTACGGTGAAGGCCACCCATGATCTTCTCGGAAAGAAGTACGGTCAAATATGGCAGATACGCAACGCTGAACGCATCATGCCGAGTTGCATCTAAATCATAATAAAATATTCCAGCTGATCTTTAAAAGCGTATTTAAAGTACGTTCAGCGTAAGGCAGTCGGTTCAGTGGAGTTCTTGAGAGTAAAAGTTTCCCTAGTACGCAGGGGTGCAGAGCCGGAGCCGGCATATTTTGGTCGGAACCGTGAAACAAGATAGCCCGGAGCCGGAGCCGGAGCCGTCAAAAAAGGGGGCGGCTCCGGCTCCTTTATTTGAAGAGAAAAAAAATTATTGACCTAGTTCGGTTTGACAGTACAAGGCAGTAAAACATGTGGTATTCAAAATATGAAAGTAGCCAAGGCCCTAAAAACAAAAATAGCCTTGTTATACAAATACAGAAGCAACGTGCACCTATCCTATTGTCTTTTTTCTTCCACCCGTATTTAACTGCATAAGGATATACTGAGTACTGGAGCCGGAACCGGAGCCGGAGCCACCAGAGCCGGACCATTTTACTCGGAGCCGGAGCCGGAGCCGCCATGATATTTCACCCGGAGCCGGAGCAAATTTTTTTATCCGGAGCCGGAGCCGGAGCCGTCTGAAATTTCCACGGCTCCGCATCCCTGCTTGTACGTACATGCATATTGCATAAGTACCGCAGTCCCAAACCGTGACATATGAACATGCATCGTCTGGTTGGTGCCCAACTGCGAAGTGCCTAGTTTTAGTAGTAGTTTACTGACACAGTCTCATAACCTATAACCAAGCCAAGTTTCAGCAAAACTAATCGAGAAACTGCGGAATAAGCGTAAACGTTGCAATTTTGACTTTTTGTTTGGCACACAGCACGTGCCGGCACGGTCATCCATGCGCATCAATTGCCGCAAATCAAAGTTGAATCAATGCTTGAAGGGTCGAGGGAAGGCACAATTTAACGCAGCAGACCGCTTGCCGAACGGTCGAACGGCCGTCGAGATAAGGCTGTGAAAAGCGTCACTGGTGATGGTTGGGTTAGGACAGACAGTTCATACTGAAATGTTCCCATTAAAGCTCAGTTGAGCTCGCTAGCTCGATGCACTCGCTGGTTCGTTAATACTAATTCACGATGATGTCAAGTGCGCCTACTCCATCACAGCGGAAACACCACCGGGCACCGACTTTTATCGGTTTAAACTCAAAAGAGCGGGCACCCCGGGCGGGACGGAAGGGACGATCCCCTATATCCCGCGAGTTGCTGGGGGGGGGGGGGCGTTAAACGCCCCCACTTTTTTCGCCGGGCCATAGCATAAAAACAGCGCGCCGCAGGCGCGCCAAATTTTAAGTACCTGTAGGGAATTGATTGAAGTTTATTGTGACAAAGTTTCAAAAAAATCGGTCGGAATATTTTTGAGATATCAAGGTTTTAGTGACGTCATGATTTCTGAGTTTTCGACCAAAAACGGCATATGTTCAAAAAATCATATAAAATCACACAATAGACATACAGACATGCCGTAAACGCCATTAGACTGCCAATACCATGAACAATCAAATGGCTATCTTCGATTATTGATTATCGTTCTGCATTTTCCAAAAGCTTGAACTGAATCTTGGCAATTTCTCGTGACTACTTCACGACCATGATACATAAATTTCATAAATTGAACTTTTTGAGCCAAACACGTACACATATGATAAAATGAATGTCACCATCGTGTTCTACGCCCTAAATTACCCATAAAACATGTGTCACAGGCTGCGAATATCAGTTTTGATTTTCGGGGATATGTGCCTACCCGGTTGACCTGACCTTGACCCTGACCTATGCTTGACTGACCCCTACATAGAGCTGACACTCTTGTAGGCCTTATATGATGGATTGTGTACCGTTTTGACAGAGTTTATGACGAGAGGCCCCCATTGCGAAGTCCTGAAGTCCATGCTACTGAAAGCCCGATTTTGGGTGTTTGACCTGACCTTGACCCGACCTGTGACCTCAAAATTCAATTTTAAAATACTCATCTGAAGCGTCTCGTCGCGTTCTTTCGTTTGCCGCCTCGTGCGTTTCGCTGCGCCTATTGGTTCTCGAGTTATCGGCTGGGGGCGTTTAACGCCCCCCCCCAGCAAACGGTGGGTGGCGAAATACCCCAGCAACTGCCGGGATATGCTTCTCACCTGAACAGGACATCTTCTCCATCTGGCCGGGAAGGTCGGCTGTCGATGTGCTGGCGTGCTCACCGCGAATGTCCGGCAGGGCGTTCCTGCGGCCGGCGCGGCCCGTCGACGCAAACTCCTGCAGCGCCTCGTCCATCTCACCCATGTCAGGCTGGCTGACCGCCACTGCCAACAGCAGATAAGACATAAGTATATTGTGAGTCTCAGGCTGGCTGACCACCACTGCCAACAGAAGATAAGACGAATATGGTCTAAGGCTGGCTGACTGCCACTGTTAACAGTGCACACACGTACGTACATGGCTCGTCCTGCCATGTGAAAGACATCCTCCTTAAAATGGGGATGGTTGAAAGGTCAATGGTTATGGTATCGCTGCCGTTCAAAGGCAAAACCGACTAGGTACGTTCGGGTGATCTCTGGCCCAAAGATATGGCCTCTGAACCGATGTAATAGTTTTTGCCTTTGAACGGCAGATCAGTGATTGGTCACTTGGAAATAACGACTTTCATATCTGAACAATTCACGCCTCATCACAATTCTATCATAAAGCAAAAACACTATCAATTGCATGTTTGTAGCATACATATTAAGCTGGTGGCTGCCTCAAGGTGAGTCTCACCCCACCTCTGAGGCCTGAGCTCTGACTGTACACTCGGAAGTGTGATGCAAGTGCTTCTCCCTGCTTTAGGGGTACTCATTATCTTAACGACTAGGTACCAAAAGACTACCCAAGACACACTTGAGCATAGCAAATTCAAAATTTTAAGGTTGCATGATGCGTAATAAGCTGATAGCCTCGTTCTTATCATGCAGTGTTGGAAATCTGAAATTGAAATGATTGAACATCTTACAGATTGGGATCGAGTTTGAGTTAAAAATGCAATCATAAGCAATAACTTACAATCGCCGTTTTAGGGCGTAGCACTAAAGTAAGTTTATATCTTGACGTTTAAGGGCGATTGGACTTGAAAACTATGGACATATTCAATAGTAAGCACTGAAATTATCGGATATTCAAATTTGAAATAATTGATTCACACTTATACACACACTGCCTGCACCGCCCCAAAGAAGAATGCACATGCAACTGTTCACAGGACAATTTTTCAGAAGTACCACTAGCTGCATTTTCATTATTTTGTGCAGCCTATTTGCTGTTTAACCTGACGTCATCAGAATAGCGTTTGACCATTGGTTGATAATTGCTATCGAGAGCCTGAGAGTGTTCTTGAAAACAGAGGTTAGCTGGCGCAGCAGAGACGTAAAGTGGCGAAAACATTTTTTATGGAAATTAATTGCTAATTGTAATAGTGAGGTGATCTGTAGGGCATTGAGTTTCGGAGGGATTTTGGTGAGAATCATTTTATTTGAATAAGAATTGACCAATACAGCCATAAGCATTACCCAGAGCCAAGTTCCTCATCATAGCTCTTGAGGTCATTTTCTTGCATGACAGTTGGGCAAACTAGGCGGTGGGAATCAAAATATGGAGGCATCAAAATATTGATTCTCTTTGACCATATATGGGCATACGTGCAGACCATCACAGGAACGTCAATTCTTCAGCAACCGGCTATAATTTCAAGATAGCTTCTTCACAAAATGAAGAACAACGTTGAAGCTACCCGCCAGGCACGAAACAATAGCCCTAACCTCTTTGGTTAGTTAAGGAAAGCGTCTTAAAAATAATCAAGATATTGATTCATCACGGCGGCTAATCCCGGCGAGAATCAATATTTTGATTCCGCAAACAGCTGGCTAATCATTATTTTGATTCTGAAATCAGCTGGTTTATCAATATATTGATTCTGCAAACTGACTTTCTGCAGGCGTACTTAACTCTTCAAATTGATTTATGGAATGTTTCTTGTGTGCAAATAATGCAAATTCAATAAATTCATGAAGATATTATCAGCACAGGATCGTGTAATTTTTTTCTAGACCTTATTCCCACGGTAGACCAGGGATTTTCAGCACTCGCCCTGGCTCCCTGCTCAAAGCTGCAAGCCTTCGAGGGAATGCGTGAAGGGAGCCGTGCTGACCTTTGTATAGGGGTTGTACTGAGTCGGAGCCGGAACCGAAGCCCGACCATTTTACTCGGAGCCGGAGCCGGAGCTGGAGCCGATTTTTTTCCTCCGGAGCCGAAGCCGTCTGACATTTTCACGGCCCCACATCCCTGCTTTGTAGTATTGATTTTGAGTAAAAAAAAAGTTAACATATCGTCTTTCACGTGTTCATGAATGTGTTTCTACGCATCTGTATCCCGTCCCATTTCTGTGGAGTACAGTAAGAGATATTTCGCCGAACGATACACTCAGCCCGTTGCACAAATTGCACAATTTGAATGAAAATATGATACACGGATGTACTTGCAGTCGCAAATAATACGATGATATTCATAACACATTTCACAACGATCCCTGCAATTGCCACACATTTGCCATCACAAAGCCCTGTCGTTGATGCTCACATCCTATGCAAAGCAATACTCACTTTTAGGACACGTCTCTTATTCAATATGGCTACGTATTTGCAAAACATGCAGTTAATAATATTTGAAACAGACCTAACCAATAAGACATACCGTGGACAGGTAAGAAAAAACAAATAAACGTCTGGAGAATGACCTCAACGTCTCGATGTTGCCTAATTACTGAGAGCAATTTTCGGTTTCGAACCAAATACATGAAATAAATATAAACAAAATTTGTACAGATACACTCAATATAGGGTTTATGATTAGCACGGCTACCTAAAACATCAATCCTGTCAGGTTGAGCCACTTATGTCCACACCCAAAGCAGGTCGCTTTGGAACACCACAAGATCCCATAGTACCACCGAAAACGGTCACCAATTGGTCTACTGATCAGCATCTTCAGAACATTCTCGACCGAAAAGCTATCAGTCCTGTCTGTGTTTTGGTTCGCTTCATTTGGGCTTTGCGCACGTTTTTCTACTCCGGTTCTAGGGACGAGATAGCAGTCATCACGCGCTGCACCAGCTCGTTCTTTGACAGGTTGGTGACGCTGTCGTCATCCGGCAGGATAAACACGTGGCGCATTTCACCCTCGGCCCCGCCAGCCACATACACACTTCCTTACGTCATATTGTTTCTCGCCACGAGATCAAAGTTCAAAAGGTCGTGATGTAGGTAGTCTCCGCCCAGCCCGAGTCAGGTACTCCACCGGTTGGTCGGGTGCGGCCAGGTCCGCGCAACGCCGCCCTACTTCGGTCGACGCTCTGGTTGACAAGGATGGCGTTGTCATACAGTTGCCTGTCGACTGAACAGCGATTCAAGACGCCATCCTTGACCCTCTGAAGCCGATCCCCGCAACGACCAGTGTTTGATCCTTGGTTGACCTGCAGCAAACAGTCAACAGAACACAATAATTAGGACATTTGTGGACAATATTAAGGAAACTATATGTGTCATTATTCTACTTGTTCAGCAACTATTAATTTTAGAATATATTCAATAAAAAATTACAGTGTCCCAAAATTGAGTTTTGTCTTGGGTGTCAGAGGGGAAAATTACCCACCAAAAAGAGGGGAGAGAGTGGAAAACTGCTGATTCGATTAGATCAAAAAGGAGTGAGAAATGACAAAAAGCATGCATTTTATTATAGGGTGTAGAATGTTTGATGCTAACTGGGCATCCACACAACTGTCTTTCTATAGGTAAAAAATCTATGTTTTCTTGGTTGGGACTTGGGAGTGGAAAATTGTTCTTAAAAATGGTGGTGAGAGTGGAAAATGAATTTCATTTGGATGTCGTTTCCCACCCAAATAGACAAATTTTGGGACATTGAAAAATTAAAGACTTAATGTCACTTAAATTTCCACTGAACGCCACCAGTTGCGCCAACAACTGTCATCTCATGCAGTTATATAAATTCTGGCAAAAAAGTAGATCTGAGGCCAGTTGTACCAACAGAAAAATAGGTGGCTGCTGGATTTTTTTTTTGGTCTAAAAGTTACTTCACATACAGAGCATGAACGGTACAGCCCTATCCGTTTACGTGCCCATCATGTTAACGCTCCATATGTGAAGCAGTCTTTAGGCAAAAAAATTCCAGCAGGCAGCTATTTGTGTTGATAAAACTGGCTTCTAAAATTAACTTTGGCATGGACAATCCTGAAAATTAACTATCCAGCATTCCCTGGACTGACGTACATTAGACACATAATTTTCTTGAAGATCACGCATAATGTAAATATGGCTTACACCATTCAGCAACTTGCTTTTGTTACACTTACAAATTAAAGTTGTAGCAACAATTGGGTGAGTGAGACACAAGCAGAGGCTAAAACATCCAAATTATGTAAAATACTGGACATGCACTGCCCCCATTTCATGAGTCCACCCAACAATTCTATCATGTGAGACAAAACATTAGGCTTCTTGTAACTAATTTATACCGTAACTTTTAAAGGACATCATGTTTCACTGAAATACTACACCTAAGACATCATTTGCAAAAAAATATAGCTTAAAAAGACAATAGAAGAGTGAGAAGGCGTCCCGCGCCGCTGACGTCGCTACCGCGCCATGTTCCTAAAACCATCTCTTAAAACGAGTTTTCGGTAAGAAACGTTAAGATCACATGCCTGAAATTGAAAAACACACTTCAAAGTATCTTAAAATATGATCCATTGTTACTTACACTTCAGAAAAGGTCCCTTAAACAAAATAAAACCGGGAGCACTACGTTGCATCCAAACACCCACGACGCCGGCGCGAAATGGCGGGAACCGGAAATCGTGGCTAGATACAAAGAAAAAGAATATTTCTTATAAATGAATTATACAACTTAATAACGCATTTTTTATTTTCTTTTAGACAAAATTATGAAAAAATTACAAAGGCTCGTCGTTGATGATAAACAGAGCAAGTTTTAACAGCACGTTTTTGTTGAATTATGGCGGCGAAAACTTTATGCCATTCGTAAAGGTACGCGCGACAAACGGCTGATAGCCATGCAGCGAAAAATTGAAGCGGGGAAGTTTTTTGTATTGATTTGTCGAAAAATCTCGCCGTCATGGGGGTTATTTCCGCCGTAACGGGTCGTCTGAAGGTGGGAATGTCCCAAATTGAATCAAAATATTGATTCTATGCCCATATATGGTCAAAGCTCCGCCCACTAGAATCAATATTTTGATGCCTCCATATTTTGATTCCCGCCGCCTAGTTTGCCCAACTGATGAATACCTATGCAGGATAGGTAGGTAGGTAGGCATACTGATACCCGCATATCCAAGGGCATACCGGTAAACCTACCTCCTATATTCATTTTTTCCTCAGCCTTTCTGGCTGTATTTAAATATAGATAAATACTTGATGATCCATTACATTTTTTACATGTTACATAACATAAACATATTATCAATTCAAGTTTTGCTCACAGTTCAATTGTGATTTAAAGTTGCAACATGGATGAAGGAGAACCGAGAACAACATGGATGAAAGAAGGGGTTCTTTCATCCATGGTTGCAATTTGATTTGTGTTGTCCCGCCCCAGAAATTTTATTAATAAGTTAAGTGTATGAGAGCTATGCTTAATTTGAGCTTTACTTTACTGAACTCAAGCGGTGTACATTGTAGGTACAGCAATATTTGTCAAATACACCTAGGTAGGTTCTACGGGGCTACGGCTATCACTACGGCTTTATCACTTTTGCCCTTGCAAAGTAAAAGGAAGGTTTTCTGATTGCAAACATGCTCACATCATAGTCACATTGGAAGGTTTGAGTCCAATGTCCAGGCTAGCACTCTTAGTTTTATTTTTCAGCTAGTCCAGCTGCCAGGTCAGCTTGCAAAATTGCACCCAATGCATGGCTCATGTGAACCATGATGTCACAAAATCTATGCAATAGCTGAGGTCTCACTAATGACTAAACCTATTTACAAAACTCAAACAAGTAGAAGGTACTCAGGTGCCATAAAAATTAATTTATTGCCTTTTCTGTTACCCCTTTTTCAGTGTTCTCTGTGGTGCACTACTGCATGCAATAATGCCTGAAAAGCACACTGAGAAGGAGAGCGGCGAGCTGCTGCCGCGCTGCTCCGAGTGCACGCGCCGCTGCCGGTCCCGGCAGCACGCCGACCTCGTGAGCGCGGCCATCACGCAGGCGGACGACGAGCCGCTCATATCGTACCTGAGCTGGGTGTGCCACGCTGCCGCCACGGGCACCGACTCGGCCGGCCGCACACCGCTGCACGTGGCAGCCTCCTGCGGACGGACCCAGGTCAGTGTGGCGGGCGGTGATCAAGGGCGCATTTTTTTCCCGATGAAGAGCTATGTTCGGTGTTCCATTAGGGAGATCGTTAGCCTCCGGAGGTGACGGGCGAGGTGGTGATAGAGTTGGTTGTACCGATTCGGTGATCGCCACTCGTTCCCGATGGGGATGCCCTGTAGACGTCGGCACTGGTCGCTCAATCAGCGCGGATATTAATAAGAATTTCGGGCAAAGCTAGGCTAGTAGGATGGAACAGAACCGAGCGCTCTCAACTGATGTGCGAAGATCTGCCTTGTTCTCTCGCTGGGTGAGCCCGACCCCTGCGTCCCTCACCATGTCGCCCCGTGCTGACCGGTGCCGCCGTGTACCGACAGCTGGTGGAGTGGCTGGTGCGCGTGCGCGGCGTCCCCCTGGACACCAAGGATGCCGAGTCGGGGATGACCGCCCTGCAGAGGGCTGTGTTCTACGGACAGCTGGGAACCGTGCGCACGCTGCTCTCGGTAAGGGTGGCTCGCAGACACCGCTATATCGATGATATTTCGCATGAAAAAAATGAATAATGGAACTTTTGCTCGCGAAATCGGTTTGGTGTTCATTAGATTCGTAAGAAGTTATCGCGGAACTACATTTAGTCAGTGGTTTCCGCATGCGATAGGATGAGCGATAAACGATAGACGATAATTATTGCTGTTAAAGGGACCCTCTCACCTTCAAAAAGTTAATGAATTGGCATGAAAGTGATGTCGCTCGGTTCAGAAAGAGCAAAAACGAATATCTACCAAATTTCATCGAAAAATATTCACCGGTTTTCAAGATATTAGACTTTTACTTTTGTTTACTTTTTGGGATCTCCGCTGTTCCTTGCGACTTTATTTGAAAGTGCGGCATTTGTTGCGCGCAAAGCAGCATATACCACCGCGTGCTACAAAACGTTTTAGTCAAACATTTAAAAATCGTTAGATATCTGCGCTGACGTCACACATTCAGAGGGGTATTCCTATGCATTAGCCCCTCTGAATCAAAATGCTGCAATTTTGAAATTCAATATTTCCGATTTAAGGCATTTCTCGATGTTGTGAGTGCCGAAACCGGTAATTGTGAGCCAGGGACCCCATTTTGGCTATCTCAACTCAAATCTAATGTTAAGGTGGGAGGGTCCCTTTAAGTAAATCGGTTATCGTTATCGTTTATCGCTAAATTTTCAAAATTATCGCTTATCCACTTATCGCAAGTTAAAAAAATTATGAACGATAAACGATAAAATGTAAAACGGGATGATGGAAAAATGGAAGACGATCGACAGTGTATGCCGCGCGACAGTATGTGTGCGCAACCTGTTGCCATCTGCTTAGTGTATAGATCTGCAAATAAACTTTAAGTACACTTATTTAAGCTGTATTTCTTATCGCTTTTGTTATCGCTATTAAAAACAATTATCGTTATCGTTGTATCGTTTATCGTTTCGTTACCGCTGTTAAAACAGTTATCGTTATCGTTTTATCGTTTCGTTATCGCTTTTGAATAAACAATTATCTTTATCGTTTTATCGTTTTATCGCGATCGCTGTTAATTTTTTGATTTTTTTATCGTTCATCGTTATCAAAAACCTGTCTTATCGTTTTATCGTTATCGCAGGTCCGAAAATTAGTTATCGCGGGAAGCACTGCATTTAGTACGAGTAGGTCCGTGTCGTGTCTCAGAATTATATCTACACGTTTCTCTTTCCAGTGGAGGATGTTTTTACTGCCCCTCCCCAGTAAAGTAATCTTGCTCTCTATAACACAGAATATCTAGTTGGCGGGGATGACCCCTCCACTGGTCGCCATGGTCCAGGAGGGCCCGATCTAACCTGACATTACCTACCGGTATTTCGTCCGGCAGCTGGGCGCCAGCGCTCTGACGCAGGACCACGCCGATATGACAACCTACGACGGCGTGCACGCCGACCGTCCGCCGCTGGTCGAGCTAACGCCCAGCGCGCCCTGCGAACCGTACGTGTGGGGTGCCAACCCGTGGTTCAGTATCGGAGTGGAGCGCATCAAGGCCCGCCCGGTGCCCGAGCCGCTGGATGTGTTCCGCCGCGCCGGTCTCTGGATCAGACAGGTGGGTCCGGGCAGGTGACCGGTACCGCTAGTGAGCGGGGTTGGTTGGTTGAGTGGAGCCAGTGTGCTGTTGTGATACGAATGGTGTAAAGATGGGACAGCAATATTTGAACGATGATGGCGTATCCAGTGTGAATACAAAGTAAATCGTAGATTAAAATTACTTATTTATATTCCAACACCGGCTATAATATAATTTGCACTTTGCTCTACTCGTATAGGAACCTTGAAAACCACCTGTGAATGAAGCATGAATTTATTTTCATGGCTGATCTGGCTCTACTAACATCATTACGGGATCTCCTCGTCAAAGCCATTCCGCCAGACTATGACTTATGTCCCCAGTTTCACCTTCAGAGGGCCGGTGTTATTTCGTCCTTTGTACACTCGGTGGTCTCCGAACACGGCTCGGTCTCCCGCTGACTGACCACGTTCGCCCCTCTATCCGCAGATCGCCATGAGCAAGTTCCACACGGTGTTTGTGACGCAGAGCGGCGAGGTGTTCAGCTGCGGTCACGGTATCGGCGGCCGGCTGGGACACGGGGACGAGGAGTCGGTGATGGCGCCGCGGCCGGTGCGCGCCCTGCGCGGCGAGCGCTGCGTCCAGGCGGCCGTCTCCGCCGAGCACACGGTACTGCTGACGGAAAGTGGAGGTGTGTGGACGTGCGGTCTGAACCACGCCTGCCAGCTGGGCCACTCGCCGCCGCCCGCGCAGCTGACGGCGCCGCGACTGGTCGACTGGAGCCGCGGACGGCGCGACCGTATTACTGGCGTCTGCGCTTCCAGGTGAGCAGAGAGCCGCGGTAACCGGGGAGAGGGTCTTATGTCAAAGGTGGTCGTACCTATATGCCTCTATGCCTATATGGTCGTATAGCGAGCTGGTGTGCTTCTTTCAAAATGCTTTCCAAATACTCTATTTTACTCTATTTTAGCTATTTTTACGCTATTTTAGCTACGCTATTTTAGTTCTACCTCTGTTTGACACTCAAAAGTATTTTAATGGGTATGGACTGCTGGCTAGCCTCAAACGTAATGCCCGTGTGGTTTACCCATTCATAGTCCGTTCACATGTCGTTGTATGGCCCGGTGACAGGTACCACACCGTGCTCTGGAACTCTGAGGCCCTCTACTGCGTGGGACTGAACGGCGGACAGCTGGGGCAGCACAAGGACGAGAACGCCGACAAGCGGTTCATCCTGCCGCGCAAGGTCACCATGCTGGACCGGTCGCCGGCCTCCTCCGTGTCGGGCGGCGGCGCGCTGCGCCTGACACACGTGGCGTGCAGTGACGGCGGCACGGCGGCAGCCACGGCGGCCGGGGACGTACTGCTGCTCTCCGAGTACCGCTGCCGACGGATCGCCTCTCGACTGCTGAACGTGCGTGCCCTGCGGCTGGCCGGCGGCGCGCCCGACCCGGGCTCACTGCCGGCCGGCCGCGGCGCCGAGTCGCGCCCCGAACCGCTCCGACTGCTGGTCATCACAGCGGCCGGCCAGCTGCTGCTCTGGCACCAGCAGTGGCCCACGCTCACCAGGTGAGAACACAACAGTGGCCCGCGCTCACCAGGTGAGAACACAGCTGCCACTCTCACCAGGTAAGAACAAGAGAACAAGTTCCGTGTGCACCTCGGGAACCTGCGAAATTGGAACTGCACTCGCCGGATTCTTGATCTAGATCTCCCATGATATGAGTTTCGTACCAGCTGACCTGATACCTGATCTTTGCGTATTTCAAGTGTAGGAAGGCAAATTTTTTTTCGGTCCTTAGGCACACTAATTGACTATTACTCGAGTCACGATGTGGTTTATCGCCGGTGCGGTGACTCTGCGCCCCCCGCCGTCCTACAGGTGCGTGCCGGACCTGCGGCGCGGGCTGAGTGTGGCGGACGCCGAGCTCGACCGGCACGGGCTCATCCTGCTGGCGGAGTCGGGTCAGGCGTTCACGGCTACAGTCACACACGGAAAGGAGGCACCCGCGCCCGCGGCCGCGGCGACCGTCACACACAGCAGGGTGGTGCCCGGTCACACGGCCGGTGCTGAACGCGACCGGCACTCGCCGCCCAAACAGGCTACCAAAGGTAGGCTGCCGGTCGCCTCCTCCCAACTCTATATCTATGTACCTATGTTATGAAGCGGATGTGCATTCGTACCAAGGTGTTCAAAAGCATCATTTTTCAAACAATATTATTGATTTTATGTTCACACAGCGAATGCCTATAATAAATTTCATTGCCAATGGCTTTTTAGGCATGTTAACTTCTTAAGGTGACGACGTGAATGATCACTATCTCAAATGATCATATGACAGGCGTCTGTGCGTTTTTGCAGGTGACAGCCGCCCGAAGCCGGCCGGGAGCGCGGGTGGCGTGCCCACGGCCCGCCTCCACCTGACTCGTCTGCCGCACATCCACCGAGGTGTGAGCGTCACCTGTGACGGCACCGGCGGCAGTGCGGCTGCCGTCCAGTGCGACCCGCGCGCCTTCCTGCTCGAGGTGGGTCCCATGGCCGGCTGAAACGCCCTGTCCGCATACGAGAGGCTGTGGTGTTGGTCAGTGGGGGACTGTGACTGCAGTCGTGCTGCGCTTAATCTTGTCTTTTGAAAATGCTAAGTTACAGGAGGCCAAACTCTAACTGATGGTCTGTATGTGTGTGGCTCACTCTCGTGCTCGCTCGTTTTTTTCGCTCTAAAAGGCGTTTTGGCTTTATCCTTGAATGCTTTGGGAGTCACCAGCCATGGTCTAAGTATGGTGGAAGGCATATACTCTCCCGGTACCCGACTGACTCCCCCGCGCCGCCCTCCCAGGTGCCCCAGGTGTCGCCTTCCCAGCTGCGCCGTGACCTGGGTCGTCTCCTCAGCTCTGCCGACGAAACCGACTCCATCCACGATCTGGTGCTACTGGTAAGTCGCGTCCAGTGACGCGTACGGAGGGCTTCGTTGTGGCTTATGTAAATTGTTTCGGTTTGGTCGTTATATTCACAGCAATGGGCTTCAGCAGTACACAGACAAGCTCATATTCAACGGCACTCGGCGGTCGCTGGCCGGAGACTGTCCCAGTGTCCCAAAATTATACTTTTGCTTGGGTGTCAGAGGGGAAAATTGCTGACCAAAAAAAAGATGAAAGTGAAAAATTATCGGTCAGGTAAGGCCCAAAAAGAGTGGGAAAATGACCAAAAACATTATTCTATCTACAATTATTGTGACAGATGCAAAACAACCATTCACGCAATTGCTCCTTCTCGGTGGAATTGGGAGTGGGAGAAAATTGGGCTTGAAAACTGGGGGTGAGATAGGAAAATGATTTTCATTTGGATGTCGTTTCCCACCCACATCTGCCAATTTTGGGACACTGGACTGTCCGTTCGACTCCTTTCGGACCGGGGCCGGACGGCCGACGGCTGTTTGTTGGCTGCCTCATCGGCCAGCAGCCACCCACATAACTCACACATGCCCCCTCCCCCAGTCGCAAGTTATTCTAAGAAGATTGCGCCATTGTTGACATCAGTTGCATTACATTGCCTCGATGAGGCGCCGTGGGGGGGGGGGGGGGGGCGTCGGCGCCGTCGCGATCGGCGAAGCTCCGTGTTGGGCGCGGCTGGTTCGGCGGTCTCGGCTGACGTGGTCGGGGGCCGCACAGCGTCGTCTGCTTCGGCGTGGTGGCACCAGTAGAGGCGGATACTTGTGTCCCTCACGGCGTTGTCAGGGTCATCGGTCCCGTGGAGCCCGGCGGGTCGGCACCGTCCCCAGACTGCTCATCGAGAAGGACGCAGCCGTACCGGCGGCGGAATGAGTCGGTTTCGGCTGAGGACACGACCGCTCGGCTGCCTACGAAAGCAGCGGCGGTGTTCTTCTATCCCCACCACCAAGCCGTAGCGATTCCAGCGCCCGGCCTGCCTGTTCCGGACCGCGACATGGGCTCCGACTGTCAGCTCGGACAGGCCAGTAGTGTGGGCGTTGTAGTGTTACTCGACCCGGTCTTGGCAGCGGGCGGCAGCGGCTTCTGCCCGGTCGCTTGACACCAGCCGTTCGGCACCGAGGTTACGGCGCTGAGTCGGTAACGGGTCGCGCAGAGGTTATCCTGACAGCACTTCTGTCCGTCAAGTTCGGGAGTGTTGCGGCGCTGAAGCACACCATGGGTCCAGATGCTGTCCAGCTTTCGTCTCTGTGGGTGCCAGCATCGCCTGATGAGTTTTTTTTTTGCGACCTCCACCGCGGCCTCAGCCCTGCCGACTGTGAGTACTCCGGCGATGAGACTCTGTGGGTGACTTCCCACTGCTTTAGGATGTCCTGGAAGGCCTTGGCGCTAAACTGAGGTCCTCTGTCGGTCCGTCCACAGCGTGTTTAAGACGCCGGTGTGGCAAGAGATATCCCGCGTGGCATCGATCAGCTGTTGAGTCAGAGCGTGCTGTACCAGATCCTATACGAACTAATGAACTATACGAACTACCATCCGGAGCAGTGTTCGACTGAGCCGAGGAGCTTGTGCCCGCGGTAGTCGCTCATATCCATCCACACCTCCTCGAACGGTTGTGCTTGCGCCGGTCTGACGCAGCGTTTCTCGGGGCACTGGTGGGGGTCCGGGGTGGTTGACGATTGGCTCCAAGTTGCCAGCCAGCAGTTAGCACAGTCCGCACATGAATCATCGTAATGACGTCAACGACATGGTGAACGTGTTTATTATCATTCATAATCATAGAGCGTACACCAAATGAAGCAGCCAAATACGTTCAAGTCAAGCATCCTTCAAAAACGAACGTGAGGGGAAGAACAAAATTCAGGTTGAGGCATGCGTCGCTGGTTCAGGACGACTTACTTAGACAGGGTATTTTATTGATTTGGATTATTATGGCGCGTAATTCAATCGAGAAAAGGACTGGGGATGAACTTGAGTACGGTGGCTTGACCTGGAAAGTTATATCATTGAAAGTTAAAAATGTGCTGACTATTATTGCCTAAAAAATGACGCATGACTCTAGTTTTATAGATATGCAAGTTCAGGCCAAACCACCTCGCCGCGGTGAAATGTATCACACCTTTACAAATATTTACAGAAACACGATATGACGCACCCCAATGGTGCTGGCGCTTAGAGACACACCTGCATGCATTAACAGCCAATAAAACACCAATCCACTCATCGGTAAGATCTTGAAGGGGTGACTTTGAGTCGTATAAAAGGAGCACTTTTCCTCGCCATGCATGCAAACTAAGAACAAGCTTCTGATAAGCAATCTCACTTGGCTGGCATATCAGCCACTAATCACAGCGTACTTCGTATGGCGACAGAGCCCTGCCAAGTGTATACAGCATACACACCACCTAGCCCCCTGTTAGTCGGCGCCTAGTCACGCAGCTGGCACAGTGGCAGCAGCTGTGACCGGCAGCTCTCGTCGTTCCAGGCGCCAAAGTCGGTGGTGGCAGCCACCATCTCCAGACAGTCCTCTCCTTCGGGGTCCACGCCGCGGTAATCGTCGGGCTGGGTGGCCGCCCACCTGTGGCCGTGCAGAAGCCCGAGCGGGGTGCCGTCCTCCGCCTCGAACCGGCCCTCGGAGTGCCGGTCGGTCACTCCCAGCCAGACTCGCCGGCCGCCCGACAGGCCGGCGGTGCACAGGTTCTCTGCCGCAGTGCGCGGCACGGCCAGTGTCGAGTTGAGTTCTTCACAGCGCCGCTCGGCGGCCCCATAGTCGACCGATACCAGCTGGAGGGAGTAACAGCGGCCGGCGCAGGCGGTGAACTGCTCCGGGCACTCGGCCACGCACCGGGCTCCGTCGGACGGCTGAGGATGCAGACAAAGGGCGCAAAATGTCACTGACGTAGTTTTCCATCAATTTTGTTGGATTTCGCGCTGAAACGGTTCTATAAAGCAACTGCGGATGCTGCCATATATATGATGTTATTGACTATGATTTAAGTAGTGAATGTGGTATAACACAGTCCAAAACAAACGAAAGCATACAAATGGCGCATAACACGCCATTATATCCCAACAAAGCCGCCCACTTCCAATGTGCGTAGTTTCTTCGTAAAATATACCTTGATGTAAACTACTACCTTGATGTAAACTACTACCATTGATGATCCCATCCACGCTACTGCCAAGCTTTATGAAATCGGCTGCTGGTCACACTAGGGGTAGGCTGTCGCTAACTGTGACACCATGCGACACGCAACATTTTCTACTGAGTCCGAGTGATTGGATAGATGGGATGCTTTAAAGGTAGTGTGCCACCTTTGAAAGATTTCCCATTTTATTTTTCCTAGGATAAGAAGCTTCTGTTTTTACCTAATATCGCCAAAAAAATCAAAAATGGGCCTGGAATAGTGCCTTTTTCGCCTAAAAGTTTATCGGTTTTTCGATATGGATAACAACTGTAGTGGGCTCACCTGCAAACAGGCGTCGGCAACAATCGCGAATGCGGCGCACATGTGACAATAAGCAAAGGTCATCATAGAGTTACGACGTACGGGAATGAGTTATCAGCTGTCTAATCGTAGACAACACAATGTCGAGCCTTAAACTGTAAGCCTGTATTGGTATTGTTTCTTTTATTTGGCTGTCGAACATTATTTATGGTTTGAAATATGATTTTATGTAAAATAATTGATATGAAAAAGCCGTCTCTCAAGTTATGACCCCATTTCACCACACGCAAGTGGCAGAAATGACAATCATCAGCTGACGCATTTTTCTTGGCCGAAGTCAGAGCGCGCGGCCCGACGCACCACCACCGCACCACAAAGTATGAGCAGAAGCCGCGCCCAAAGCCAGGGCCCCGGTAACGTGAGGTAGCCGAGTCGGGGCAGCGTGCGCTGACCCAAGCCGGGGCTGCAGCTTTGGGCGCGGTCTACCGCATCCCCGCGGGCAGCCCCGGGCTATCACATGACACCGGGAGGACGCGCGGCCCCGGCTTGGGTCAGCGCACGCTGCCCCGACTCGGCTACCTCACGTTACCGGGGCCCTGGCTTTGGGCGCGGTCTACCGCACCACCTAACAGGCGTGTTCGAAACCGCAGGAGATGATGATGAACGGGTTTATCGAAACTTGATTGGATGAGCATATCGGTAATAGCAATTTCAGTGTGTGCATTTATTGTTCATAGTGGTGTGAAATGTGGTTAGGGTACGACCGACAACCCGTCGGGACGAATTTCGCACTGGGGTACTCAAAATTTGAAGAATTTAAGACGTTTCCATGAGTTTTGAAGGTATGGATAAGTTCTAAAAATCCGGTTCTCCTTATCTGGGCCATTAACTCCATACGGTCCAGGAAAGCTGGCACACTACCTTTAATTGTGTTTCTAATGTTTCATTAAAGGTAGTGTGCCACCTTTGAAAGATTTCCCATTTTATTTTTCCTAGGATAAGAAGCTTCTGTTTTTACCTAATATCGCAAAAAAATCAAAAATGGGCCTGGAATAGTGCCTTTTTCGCCTAAAAGTTTTTCGGTTTTTAGATATGTATAACAACTGTAGTGGGCTCACCTGCAAACAGGCGTCGGGCAACAATCGCGAATGCGGCGCACTTGTGACAATAAGCAAAGGTCATTATAGTGTTACGACCATACGACGTACGGGAATGAGTTATCAGCTGTCTAATCGTAGACAACACAATGTCGAGCCTTAAACTGTAAGCCCGTATTGTATTGTTTCTTTTATTTGGCTGTCGAACATTATTTATGGTTTGAAATATGATTTTATGTAAAATAATTGATATGAAAAAGCCGTCTTATAAGTTATGACCCCATTTCACCACACGCAAGTGGCAGAAATGACAATGATCAGCTGACGCATTTTTCTTGGCCGAAGTCAGAGCGCGCGGCCCGACGCACCACGCGTATTTGGAAATTCCGACCTCGACGAGCATCAGAAGCCACCTAACAGGCGTGTTCGAAACCGCAGGAGATGATGATGAACGGGTTTATCGAAACTTGATTGGATGAGCATATCGGTAATAGCGATTTCAGTGTGTGCATTTATTGTTCATAGTGGTGTGAAATGTGGTTGGGGTACGACCGACAACCCGTCGGGGCGAATTTCGCACTGGGGTACTCAAAATTTGAAGAATTTAAGACGTTTCCATGAGTTTTGAAGGTATGGATAAGTTCTAAAAATCCGGTTCTCCTTATCTGGGCCATTAACTCCATACGGTCCAAGAAAGCTGGCACACTACCTTTAATAATCAGATGCCTCAAATATATTCAGCACTGGTATGTTCAATATTTTTACGTGGAAAAAAATGAACGAGCTTTGTATGAAAATATTCAGACAGAACTTTGAAGCCACCTCTCTGATATTTTCTCGGCCGTCTCACATTATCAGCCGTGCTGGGTACACACCTGCTTCTCTGGAACGCAGTGTTTCCGGACGGCGTCGCTGACTGCCGTGTGGATAGCGTCCTTCAGGCTGTCTGTCTTGCCGAGATCCCTGGCGGCCGCGTGCGTACAGAGAAGTGCCGCCAGGACCAGCAGGGGTAGTGCTGACCTCGCGGCGGTGAGGGTGCCGCCGAGCTGCATCCTGGCCGACTGATAGGGCCCGGACAGTTCGGTCGGCAGTGGTTCTGGTCCGTCGGCAGCGGTACCTTTCACAGCTGCGAGCTGCCGTGTGCGACTGCACCGGTAGCCGGTGGGCCTTTCCGCCCGGTCGGCCGCTCTGGACTGAGCGGCGCCGAGCCCCGTCTCTGTACGGCCGTGCTATGTTTACCAGAGATCCCGGCGCGCCGGTGGCGCAGTGGGATGTCCCGCTCTGTGACGTATGCAGTACGGCCGACTCCGACACTGTCGTAGTTACTGCGCCGACTGGCTGCCAGGGGCGCTGGGCCCGCCCCACATGCAGTAGTGGTGCCCGTTGTGTTTTTAGGAATTCTAATATCGGTGGCGATACATACCAAAGTCGAGAGAGAACACGGCACGTTCCCTACCCCCGCTCCACCATACCCCCTCTCCACCATCATGGGTGGATTTTGGCACCTATGCACCCACAATGTTCCAGCCGTTCACATGCCCATGAACCCACTCATAAATACATCACGGTAATGCCTCAATGCCATCGTAATGCCAACGACATAGCCAACGTGTTTATTTCCTCTACCATAGAGCGTGTATCAAATGAAGCAGCCAAATGCCCACGTTCAGGTGAAGCATCATTTATGTAAACAAAAACGAGAGTGAAGAAGTGCAAAATTCAGGTTGATATTTTTCTTGCTGATTCAGGGCGACTAAAGGCATGGCAACTACACTACCTATATAGGTAGTAGGTACCTTGGTCTTGATTACCATAGCGCATAATTCAATCGTGTAAGCAACTGGGGTGAACTTTTATAAGTAGTTATGTACTATAGGTGTAACTAGAATTGTATAAGTGTGAGTGAACTATAAATGTACCAATCGTATGCACGGGACCGTGTCACATCTGTACAGAACTGGTATCGTGAAAAGTGCTGATCCGTGGCTGCAACCAGCCGTGTGTCGCTGGGGCGCCTCACCCAGCACAGTCTGGTGGTGCTATAGCCCACTACCCTGTCCGTCGGCGCCTAGTCACGCAGCTGGCACAGCGCCGCCAGCCGCGAGCGGCAGCTCTCGTCGTTCCAGGCGCCGAAGTTTGCATTGGCGGCCACTATCTCTAGGCAATCCTCGCCCGCGGGGTCGATGCCACGGTAATTGTCCGGCTGTCCGGGCGCCCACCGAACATGTGGTACATGTGGCCTCTGGCACGAATTGCTGATACGCATGTTGGTCCGAGCTGATGGAACAGCTCAGTTTGAAACGATATGTTTCACTAACACGGGATATTTATAACTTTTGTATTTTCCCGTGTCTTATTGCTATTTTAAATGAGAAAATTAACCAAATGAATAAAAAAGTGTATGTATATGAATAAAGATTGTGCTCTAACGGCGTGGTCTTCCGAACAGGCGGGCCACGAGCGTTTTCCGTGTCACAAGTTCATCCTGGCGAGTGGCTCGAGCTACTTCAGCCAGCAGTTTGCCAGCGTCGAGTCCGGTGACTTGACCACCCACCGAGTGGACGGCGTGCCAGCGGCCGCGCTGCGCCAGGTGCTTCAGTTCCTGTACATGGGAACCTGCGACCTAATGCGGCCCGGACCCACCGACTTCAGGTACGAACGGACAGCAGCAGCGGGAGGGGGGACCGGGGGGGGGGGAGGAGAGGACCTGCGGCCTGATGCGGTCCCATCCCCGACTTCAGGCACAGCCGGCAGTGATGATTATTTTACAATGACTGACTGTTGCGGGTTGCCTGTATCTTATGTATGTCTGTGGGCCCGTATGAATATAGCAGCATGTCAGCGACGAATGCCACCTCTGTTGTGTTAGTCTCAGCTTTTCGGGAGTGTTCTGAGTTCTGACGCTGTGCTGCCCGTCAGACTGGAGCCGACTGACCCGGGCACGGGGCCGGGGTCACGACCTCAGCAGCAGCACAAGTCGGACAAGAAGGCGGCCGGGAAGGCGCGGCCGCCCCAGCCGCTGCAGGTGGTCCGGGAGGCGGCTCGGCGACTGGGGGTGCCGGCGATGCTGACCAAACTGGACGGTATGTGGGAGTGTGGGGCGTGAGCAACCGAACTCGACGGTACGTGGGACTGTGAGCCAAACCCAGAGAGGTTTAGTTCACCATGAAGCCATAACGTGGGTTACGGCTTCTGTAGGACAGAGCTGTGAGGAATCACTCTCTGTATCACTGTCGGTCTGGCGTTCTTACGCTGTGGGACGGAAGGATGCCACCCTCCCCCATTCCCCCTCACTCTAACGCTGACCTCCTCTCCCTCAGGGGTCCGTCTGACGGCCGGTCGTATCGAGCTGGCCCGCGGAGCCGACATTAGCCCGGCGCCGCTGCGGCTCGACCCGGCCGCTCCGCCCGGCCTCAGCGACGTGTCCGTGGTGGGCACGGATGGCGCCGCCGTCCCCTGTCATAAATGTGTTCTGGCCGCCCGGCTCGAGTACTTCAACATGATGCTGTCCAGCACCTGGGCGGAGGTGAGGGTGCAACGCAGCGTTGGCACTCGCAACGCGCTCTCTTTTTATGTCATTTTGTGATTAACAGATATAGTGTTCTCAGGAGATGATGCATTTTTTTCGAAAACCAATTCATCATTTGGCTATTCAAGGTAATAAAAAATGGCACAGACCATCAAGCAATTAGCGCCGAATAGTCAGTAACTTTGAGTGATCAATGATCACTCAAATCATTGTTGATCATTTTTCAACTATCCGTGTGTCAGCTCTGCCCGGGTCTGTTGGAGAGAGTAGGCCGGGTCAGTTCCGCGGGCCATCCGCTGATCATCTCTCCCCGTCTGTCGTCTGTTTGCCCTCTCACAAGGTTGCAACAGACCCCTGGTTCACCTGACCATCTCCCCTTATATCCCTCTCCCATCCTCTCTCCTGAGTCTCACATAGCCGATCGTCAGAGTCAGTCCATCTCTCTGTCTCCGGCCCGCTTATTGCCATCTGCTGACTGTTTCTCTCCCTCGTGTGTCTCTCAGAGCCGATCGTCGAAGCCAGTCCGTCTCTCTGTCTCCGCCATCTGCCATCTGCTGTCTCTCTCCCTCTCGTGTGTCACAGAGCCGGTCGTCTGAGCCAGTCCGTCTCTCGGTCCCCGGCGCGGTACTGGCCCTCCTGCTGCGCTACTGCTACACAGACGAGGCTCTGCTCCAGCCGGAAGATTCTGAACAGCTGCAGACTGATGACCTGGAGCTGCTCTGTGGCCTGCTGGCCGCTGCCGACCACATGCTGGCCGACCGGCTCAAACACATCTGTGAGGTGAGAGGCGACGGTCATAGTGGTCCCGAGTCGATGCACAGATCCGCTGAAAGGTACGTGAGTTGTTGGCATATATCGGATTTAGCGTTCCTCACAATACAAATAATAATTGTTGCTTATAGTAATTTTTCTGCAGGCATTGTGTTTAAGTATCGTTACCGCTGGCTATATCGCTCTCATGCCCCATCCTCTGTCACTCGTGGACCAACTGTCTCCCCTGTCCACCCCTGCCGTCTCTGCCGCCCCCCGTCCACTGACTGAACCAACTGTTTGCCGCCCCCTGTCTACTGACTGAACCAACTTTTTTGTCTCCCTGTGTCCAACCGTTCACTGACGGCCGTGCTAGCTGCTACCCCCGTCCAGCTGCTGCCCCCTGTTCCACTGAACACACCACGCGCTGTCCCACCTTCCACTGACTGTGCCGCCTCCTGTCCTACCGTCCACTGACCGTACTGCCACTGTCCCCTGTCCACTGACCGTACCGCCTCCTGTCCCACCATCCACTGACCGTCCACTCACCTGTCCACTAACCGCGCCGTTCCCTTTTGCCGCAGGTGGCGCTGTCCCGGCAGCTGACTCTGAAGAACGCCGTGGAAATACTCGAGTTCAGCTCTCTATATGGCGCCGAGCAGCTACAGGCGGCCTGCAGTCAGTTCATCTGCCTGAACCTGGCAGCCCTCATGGAAAACAGGTGGGTGTGGGGTGGGGGGGGGGGGTAGGGGGGGTAGGAGCTACCTGCAGTCAGTTCATCTGTCTGAACCTGGCCGCCCTCATGGAAAATAGGTGGGTAGAGGAGAAGAGGAGCTGGCTGAGGAGTGAGGAGTGCACCAGGGAGACACCAGCTGCGACTCAGAAAACCCTTAGCTGTCAAAACAGTGAGACTTCACATCTGGGAGCTAGAGCAATTGACGACTGAAATAGCGACCCATGCCGTTTTCACGGTTTCACGGGCTGGCCAGGCGGCCAACCCTCAAACTAACTCAAAACAGGGAGCGATAGCGATACTTTCGAGACACGGTACTTTCAAGAGAGACTTTACAGAGGAACACCGATCACATCACCACCGCTCCGTCATTTTCCATCCTCAGGACAGTCAAACTCTTCTCCTCCACGCCTTAAGCGGGCTGGACGGTCACCTGAATCCGACGTGGGTAGCCCCATCCCAGGAGCAGGTCCATGGCCGGGTGCGGTGCCGGTCAGGGGGCTGGGTGGTCTGTCCACCTGGATAGGCTCAGCCCCGGTGGCGCACCAGGGCGGACGCCTAGACTAATGTCTCCCCCTTATTCGTATTATCACCCCGGCTTTGAAAGGTCTTGTCAGACCGAAAGGGCGTAACCCAACAAAACGAAAAAGACTATCGTGCTCATGAATTTCGTTAAATGTGTTTACTGTATTTTTGAGCGTGTTAGTCATTTAAGGACCAAAAAGTGCTGCCCTTCTACATATATGTACTATGCATATAGTATATAGGTACAATGAAGACATAAATGTCATATTCTGCCCCGAAGAAATGCGATGTCTTACCTTAGCAAAAAGAATCATGACCCGAAAATCGCTTAGGGTGTCGTCCTTTGCTCAATGCAATGGTCGATGTGGTATTCATTTTCAGCAGCTCTGGTTACCTGGTTAGGATCCGGACTCCGGAGGTTAAGGCGCAATGTATGACAAAAGCATCTTAGTTACATAACACCGCTTCAGCTCGTAACACCGATGTTTGAAATAAATAACTCGAGGCTTACTTACACAATAACTGCAAACTTTTGTAGAACAACCATTTAGTCGCCGCTGAGTTTCCGTGGCTGCCAACTTTGAGGCTATGAATTTAGCATTAGCGATAAGCTATGACGTCATTTCATCAGGAATTCAGCAGCTGACGTGTAGAAACACGTGTATTGGAAAACGCGCAGAGTGGCGTCGTCGGTTAGAAGCAGCGTTATGTCAGCCAGTCGTACAATGTATAGGTTAGTTAGTGACGCCGAGGAGTCTCCCGTGCGGAATTCGCGCAAATTGCGACTATGTGTATTGTGTAATGACGAGGTGTTTTGAGTTTTTTTCTTCAGAATCTTGACTTTTGCAATGACAGTATGACTGTATTGGAAAATTAGGTGCAGTGGAACTGCTGAAACATTCTACACATTATCTCTCTGACTTGCATATATCGGCTGTTATGTCATGATGTTTAGGTACAATGTCCATTATGCATTATTTGGTTAGTATGAGATGTTTTAAAACCATAACTTTTATCCTAGTTTAGAGTATGCTATGGATGCCGGATGGTATGCTATCAAAAAGCGCTAGCTGCCATTAGCTCAACTAATTTCACGCGTTCTGGATAACTACTTGTTTTAACAGTTATCGATTGGAGTAGGTACCTAAGTACAGGGCTGCGGAGTCGGAGTCGCAGTCGGAGTCGGAGTCGGAGTCGACAGTTCTGCCCGGAGTCGGAGTCAACGCTGCATAGCTCAACATCATGCACTGCACCTGTTTGATTGACGATACTGCGCTCGAAATTAGATTTTGTCGAAAAAGGCCATCTTGCTGTTTTGGACGAACTTTTTCAGTGAAAGAAGCTGAAGACGGCGAATTCCCCAGAACCTGCATTTTAATTATGCATTTTATTTTTAATGCATATTTGCAACACAAAGCCTTGGGAAGCACAAATGATCGTTTCAGGCAAGATAAAAACATCTCCATTATGAATTTAATATCATAATATTGTTTTTAATTGAACCGTCCGGAGTCGGAGTCGGAGTCGGAGTCGATTTTTGAAGTCGGGGTCGGAGTCGGAGTCGGAGTTGGAGTCACCCCAAAATCCATCTACTCCGCAGCCCTGCCGAAGTACACTGAACCTCCATCACCATAAGAATACATACTACATAGGTACTTCAGTAACTTGCAAATGAACCTTTCCCAAGAACGGTGCATTCAACGTATAGCGGACAATAAGTGTAATATACAAGGAACTCTGCATATTGTATTTTAACTGTAAATCGCACATTATTTTCATGTCAGTCGCCTGACTATTGATTCCACCTGACTCGTGTTGGGGGTATTGCGGACCGGCCACGTGACGGTGGTGTGGTGCCTCACCTCCATTCGCGGTGCGTGCGGGCCCGGATTTTCGCGGTGCCTTCGCTACTTGGCCCGTTGCGTGCCGGTAATGGCCCGCGAGCACCGTGAGGCTGACCGCTGCGTGTATAATGTTGTATGAAGGCTAGGGTCTCGGCGGCATCAACTTGGACAAGGGACATATCGCATACACACGTCTACAGTACAAATGTAACGACTGGTCACATTAAATCCACATCGCATGGCAACAAATGGATTTGGGTTATAATAACTTTTGAAATGATATTTCATACATTAGCAGCGGCAGTACCACATACCACATATACACTGCATGTGTATTGGTCATTGTGTGCTGTGGGTCGTGACATTGACTGCTGCACCGGTCGCGACTACGTTCCTGCCACATACGGCCTCACTCGGCGTTACCCATTTCGCCGCTCACCAGTGCGCCATAGCCGCCTCAATGGGCCATCCGACGCGCGTCCAGGGCGGTCAGGGCGGCGGTCGCTCGTGACAGGGGCACATTGGCGACCTACGGGGACAGGGCTTCGCCGGCCACCGGGTCTGAGCCGTACCGATTATTTAGCTCAACACATAACCGCCTATCGGGCTCGAGCTAACAAATAGCTTACTGAGGTCCAACACATTGCCGCCCATCGGGTCTGGGCCGTCAAATAGTCTACCGGGCCCAACACATTGCCGACCACTGGGCCTTAGCCATCAAATAGTCTACCGGGGCCCAACACACAGCTACCCACTGAGCCCTAGCGGACAAATGGCCTACCGGGGCCTAGCACATTGCCGACTTGCCGGTAAGGGACGAAGCCGCCCACCGGGCCCGAGCCAACTGTCTACCGAGACCCAACACATTTCCGCCCAAAAGGCTCGTCTCGAGCCGACAAGTAACTGTGACTGGGGCCCAACATATAGCCGCCCATCGAGCTAGAGCTAACAAATGGCGTTCTCAGGGGCCCGACACACAGGCGACCCCCGGCCGGGCCTGGCAAATGGTCTCATGAGGCCCAATACATACATAGCCTAGGGGTAGAACATTACTACCCAACCTACATAACTGGCCCACCGAACACAACACGCAGACGGTTTCCGGGCTCCAACGCAGTGTTCTTACTGGTACTATTCAGGCTCTGCATGTTTATTTGAATGTCCAGGCACCAGATTAGAGTGCATGTCCGATGTTGTACAGTGCACGTATTTATTAATTATTTGCGCCGCATAGTCACCCCGCTGGTAATGAACGTCAAACGTTCCGCTCCCATAGCGTTTTATTGCCACCTGCAGATCACAGTTCAGGGCGCCAGTGGCTAACGGCCTGTGCATGTATATCACTGTTATTGTTATTGCTGGCGCAAGTGGTGTTTCTCCCAGGCTAGGGCGATGATTGATTGTTTTCAGCATGGGGAGTTGACATGGCGCCGGTGGCCGGCATTGTATGGAGGGGAGGAGAGGGGCTTTTCGACCGACTGACTGGGTGGGAGGGGAGGGGTGGACACTTAGCCGGCCGACAGGGCGATGAAATCACACGCGGGCTTCCTATCTGTTCTGGCAAACCGACGAGGAGTTCTCACAGTTCCGTATCCCCGACCGGATATGCCGGGCGCCCTGGCCGCTCGCCCGATTCGTTGACAGTGCGTCAGTCCACGAGTTTTAACCGTCTCCGTGTTCCGCACTCGACAGGACGCTGGAGCAGGCGTCTGACGAGGCGCTGGAGCAGCTGGGCCGCTACTACCGCCGGGAGAACCCGGCCGTGTCACGCCGCCGGCTGACACCCTCAGACGGGCCGCCCGGCAAAGGGCTGATCGCCGCCGTGCACCGGGCGTATCCCGTGTCTCCGGACGACCCGGCGCCGGAGCCCGCGGAAGGTAGGGAGTGGAACTGGAGACATGACCTGACCTGACCTGAGCTGACCGGGTCTGACCCGCTGTCACCAGACGACCCGGCGCCGAAGCCTGCGGAAGGTAGGGACTGGATTGAACAGTGGACCAGACCTGACCTGACCTGACCTGAACTTATCCGACCTGACCCGACCCGGTGTCAACGGACGACCCGGCCCTGGGACCCGCGGAAGGTGCGGAAATGACCTGACCTGAACCAACCTGACTTTACCTTATGACCATGGTCCGTGTTCCTGACAACAATTGCACTGTTTTTCTAATTTGCTTCCACTCCTATTCAGAGGCATTAACCGACCGATTATTTTGGCTAGCCCGTAATTTTCCATCTCGTTTCCTTTTCTTTCATTTCGATCATCTACATCGGGAAACGCTGACAAATACCCAAAGAACGTCTGTGAATTCCTCAGCGGGGGCCCGCACGAGTTCTTCAATTAGCCGCTCAGTCCTTGACTGGGCAGGAATCAAGTTGTGATTCCTCCCCAAGCGCTAACCGCAGTCGCGCTCTGTCCCTGAAATATGAATCAGCGCTCTGTCCTACAGCTGTCCCTACGATTAACAGTCATATTGGATCCTCTCAAATCTCAATAATTCAGTACTGTGGACGCAATTAGATAGTTACATGCAAGACTGGAACAGCTACCGATGCTGCAAGCACCTGATGACCTGATAAAGCGGTATGAGGTCATGGGCCGCCCACGGCCTGGCGAATAGGTGTGTCGTGTCAGCGGGGTGGCGCAATGGCGTGCATGTAAGAAATGCCCGCACTTTGCCGGACTTAAGTTCAACTTAATGAAGCTCGGCCTTGCGCCCGTAACTCCCTGAGGCGCGCTCGTAGCCCGTTTACCCAGCGCTGCCAGGCGACGAAGGCGTGTGAATTCGCCCACCTGCCGCCCCCTGTGTGTCCCTGTGTGTCTGCTGTGTGTGTGTGTGTGTATGTGTACCAATGACGGCAACTGGCGACGCCCTCCGCTGGGGCCGCCGAGTTAATGCATCGCGTGCGGCGCGAACCTAGACCTGAGGCTCCCTTGTGTAGGCCGCCGAAATGCCAGCGAATGTTAAGCTGCATGACATCATATGCGCGGTAGGTTCCGTCTTTATGTTCAGCGACTCTGATACATTTTCATTCATTTTTTTCTGTATGGCTCATGCTTAGCTATGCTAGTTAGTGTCAAACGATTGATGGCATCTGAAAATCAGTTTGTTTGTACCCTTTGGTGGTAAGCTGACCTATTTGTGTAACCTGTTTGGCATCGTGATACTGTGACATAAGACAGCGCTCCCCAGACCTATCGGCTTTCTACATGCCGATTCTATCAACCCTAGAGGTCGGTGCAATTCCGTCGCAGTTTTGAATTAAGCTACAGCATTGAAAAAGCGAAGGCGTGGAGCGTCACTGGAACTAGCGAATGAAATAAAATTGTGAAGATCTCAGGTCCGTCAGTGACATCAGATAGCAGGTCAATGACTCAATGACTCCCAAAAAGGGGGCAGTCGTGGGGTACAGTTCCAGTGATGGCGCGGAAAAGGTGCATTATGACATATGCTGAAAAATAAGCATTGAAACCCTCAATGTTGAGAGAGGGCAGGGGTCAAAAACGCACTGTCCGTCATCAGTGTGGTGCTTGCATTTATCAAAGCAAACTCATCTCTCTGAGGTTTAACCGAAGCTAAAATGATGTCTATACCTAACCGAAGCTAAAACTAAAAAGGAACATATATCTTGGCACACTCGAACAGGAACCTGAATAAAGTTGGTGAGTAGAAAGTGAGGATCCCAGCAAGCAAGCTGTAAATGTTGTTACGAACAGCCACGAAGCCGACTTTTCTAGTTTTGGATTAGAGCTATGCTCTGATTGGCGGTCATGTTACCCACACAGACAGACATGGACAGTCGGTAGCCTGGTGACCGCCGCGGCGCTGCGTGAGTTGGTGATGTGCCGCCCCTCAATATTGAGCCCCCGTATACACACGGAGGTCCCCCACACCGCGGCCCGGGGCGCGGTGGCGCCTCTCTGAATAAGTGGACAGGACACCGCTGGTCGGCGCCATTGGCTGAGCCGAATTGCGAGTAATGTCTGGCCGTGCCGTGCCTGACAGGGATTTGTTAGCGCACTGCGAGTCGAATAGACATAGCCGCGCGGTGCGCGGTGCGTTCCCGTGACCCGGGCGACGGGCAGAGTTATGTCGGACGGCCCAGGTCTATGTTGACATGAAACGCAATACTCAAGTGTGAACCAGCTTGAGCCAGAAACGGATTGGGAGGTGGTTTGACCCTCGTCCTACTTCGGCATGCCGCCGGCAGGCGACGCTCGAAAGTTTGTCCTAAGACATTTTAGGAAAAACCTACGTCACTTGAAGGGAGTTAGTTAATATAACAATAAAAAAATGAAACGACGTCCAATTAACTGAATCATCAGACTCGTCAGGACTGCTTCATATGTTACTTGATTCACCTCGGCAGCATGCAGTTGGGCTTGGACTATAACTTCAAGCACTGTATTTAAAAGTTTTCTGGAACTATGTGGCCGTAACTTCTAGTGACGTTGACCTCAACTCGCCATAGTCGACCGAACATGAGCCACTCTGACGTTATTTCCAGCCAACTCGTGATGGTTACCACTAAATTTTTCTTCGGACACACGGTGTCCACTGCCCAGTTCCTGCAGCAGAAGGAACTGAACGTTTGATGTCATTGCCCAAGTGGCTTAGAAGATTTTGTCTCAAAAGTAGACAATATCTTCGTCATTGTCGTCACGACGACACGTCATTGTCGTCACGACGACAATGACGTCATATCGAACGTCATTGTGGTTCTGTTGAACCGTGCTTTGACTTAGACGAAGGTCTCCTTGAAAGCCTGTCCGGTGGCTCTCAGTCTTGGTACTCTTGCAAATTACAGTGTCTATTAGCCGCATGTCACTGACGAGTGGTCAAGTGCTGGAATCATGCCATGCTAAGAATCATGCATTGCTTGATTGGTTATGTAACGCCGCGGGCAAGTCACGGACCCAAAATAGCGGCGGTGGGTACCGCTTCTGTGAACACCTGTCGGCCGCGTGCACAGTCTCCCAGCGACCGGCACACCAAACACAGAGTACGGTCGCTCTCGGCGCAGAGCACGAGTATCGCACGTGACCCGCCGGCCCTCCCCTGCGCTAACCCACGTGACCCGCCGCCTCTAACCTGTGATAACCAACGTGACTCGCTGCTCCTTCCCCGCGCTAACCCACGTGACCTCAGCTGCTCCTTCCCTGCCCCTGGCCCTGTTTCACTGAATGACACCACCTGTCTCTAGTGGTATCGTGGTTTTGGGTTTCCATGGAAACATCAACAAACTCCGACGCCCCAACATTGAGAGACGCTCTGTCAACCTGCACTCATACCCCACTCTCATGCGGGGGTTTTTCTGAGTTCTGTCACTCATTTCGTAAAGCAGTGGTAGGCCTGCTGAGATTCTACCCTCAAAGAGCCACGGTACATGCGAACAGCTAAAAGTTTGATTGCTGCTCCCAGAATAGACGTTAACGGCGATATAGGAAATGGGGAAAGCGCCGAGCTATGTCGAAAGTCTGCATGTCAATGCTGTAAATGACGTCATTCCTCGGTCAACCCCACAGTCTCCATGGACATAGAGAGGTCACAAATAGGTATGCTAGTAGGATGAACTTGCAGTTTTGGGGTAAAGGTAACGAGTAGTGCCAAAGCCACAAAGCCACTGTTTGATTAGGTGACCTGAATACCAGTGCACGCATATCCTTTTAGCTCGACCTCATTAATTCACGCCACAAAAATAGGACATAGTTAGGGACTAGGGCGGTGCTTGACTTTACGGGTTACAGCGAACGTCCGCTGTGATGATCGTCCCTGTTTCCGTATTTGTATGTGTTGGTATGTGCGTCTGCCTGTGTTACTGGACTCTGTGCCGTGTGACTGATGTGTCCGCTACTGTATCTGTGTGTGTGACCTATAGTGTGCCTTTGATTGAACCAGATGCCGTGTTACTGATGTCCCCGCCACTGTGTCTGTGTCTGTGTGACTGATGTTATTGCCCCAGTGTCTTTCTCTGTCTCTGTACTTGATGCCGTGTCACTGATGCGCCCGCCCCTGTGTCTGTGTTGCTGTCCTCAATGCCGTATAACTGACGCGCCCGCCACTGTGTCTCCGTCTGTCAGAGGAGGTGCGGTCGCGGCCGCCGCCCCGGCGCCGTCCCAGCGGCCGCCGCTCGTCGGGCCCGTCACGCGGCCCCGGCGCCGAGTCGCAGCGACAGCGGGCCGTCTCCAGCTCGTCGGTGATATCCCTAACCGCCTCAGAGGCGGCCAGTGAGGACGGCGACACGCTGCCCGAGCTGAACGGTGCCGACATCCCATCCAGGTGGGACGCGTTGACAGCTAGAATAACGCAAACATCTCGCACGTAATTCGCGCACTTCCCGCCCCGACTGGCTGCAGTTGGTTAGGTGCAATGACCTGGATGACTGAGAGGGCTAAGCTGGCTTTGGAAGGGGTGGTCTGACCCTGGTCTGACCTAACAGAGAATTGAGCTTTGAGTTTATTTTACGCGTGATTTCTGTACTGCACGTTTACTTTGCGACATTGTGTTTGTAGCGTTCGTCCCTGTCTCGACTGCGCGCTACCTGAGGTTACATTATCTTTTTGTGTTTGGCAGCCCGATGCTCGGCTTCTTCATATGTGCTTGAAGCCGACACTCTGCCGCCCAAGCTAACCCCCAGCTGTGCCTTTGTTGCCGACAGCCCGGTACCCGAGTTCACCCTGGTCACCCGGAGGCGACACCCGGAGCGCACCGTCGATCAGCCCCCACCTCCGGCCGAAACGGCCGCCGAACAGCGCTACATACCCGGGATGACGCCTCGTCCGCAGCCGGCGCGCGCAGCCCCGCCGGACCCTCCGCGGGAGGACCCGGTATCCCCGCGAGAGGACCCGGGATCCCCGCGAGAGGACCCGGGATCTCCACACAAAGACCCGACCACGCCGCCGTCCGAGGCGTTCCCTGCTCTGGGCTGTGAGGTGACCAGGACCGCTGCCGGGCCCAGTCCAGCCTCCGGCGGGTGAGTACTTGGTGAATAGCAGGTGTCACTGAAGAAGGTTCGATATTTGTGTTACCGTCTACAGTGTGATCATGAGACTGTAAAAAGGCGTATTTTTCCATGTGACCGCCCAGGCCCTAACCCTCAAAGCGAAGTTATTTAACCGAAACCATGTGTTACAGACCTTAAAAAGACGCTTCCTGTGTCGCGACTCAGACTATCTGCGCTATATCTCCCTTCGCCGGGTCTATACTCAGCCCGACCCTGCGTTCCAGTGACCGACCCGCCGAGGGCAGGCGCTCCAGCACCAAAAAGGGCCGCCGCGGCCGACCGCTGGCTCTGGACGGGTCTCCTATGGCCCCCGCTGCGGCACCAGTCACTCCAGTCAGGACGGAGACACCCCGTCGACCCGCCTGGTCTGCCGGCGCCGCCAATAAACCTGCCTGGACTGCCGGAACTACCAACGGCACGGGTGAGTGGCATAGCGCGATTCACTCATGCTTACTAACTCACTCTATGCTTGTCTGTTTCTCCTTTTCTACCTCCCTCACCCCACCCCTCGCTTTCTTTCTTTCTCCTCTCTTTTTATTCACCACTTCTGGTTCTCCGTTCGTTTATCGAGTTTGGCCCAAAACAAACGGTTTCCCAAAGCATGCTTTTCGGCTTGGCTAAAGTCCATTGGGTTTCGGTGTTAGTGTTTATTGCGTTATTTCACCGTGTGGCGTGCCGTCGTTGGTCTGCTCGGTGTGTTTTGATCCCTGTCGTGTGGCCCGGTGAGGGCTGTTTTGTGTGACCATATCGCTGGAACTCGCCGACATCAGGCGAGTGTGTGCGACCCCCCTACAAGTGACCGTCAGTGGGTCGTCCCAGGAGACCAGTAGGGCAGCCTGGCGCACATGCAATGTTGACCCGACCGTGGTAGTCGCAGTGGATATTGAATGGGTGTTAGCCACGGTTATAATTGTTATTGCAAAGCTGAAACTATATTGTTTGTTTTACATAGTTCAAACTGATTCTTGTTTGATTGTTTATCCTACTACTGCAAGGCGTGGACTGAGTGAGGGACTGATACACTGATGCACTTTTTAGAACAGGGAACCTCAGGATAACGTACTGCAGCTGTGTGTGTGCCGACTGCCGGATATCAGCCCATCACTAAGTTTCCCATAAAAGCTCCCCTCCCATTTCACCACGAACATCAGTGTGAAGGGACGTGAAGCTGGTAATGACTTCCCCTCTGTTTTTCTGTCGCAGACCCGTCGGCGGCTGCCTCCCTGGCCGACATAATGGCCGAGCAGCGGCGGGTGTCGGCGGCGACTCGCCCGGAGCCGGCCGCCGCGCCGGTGCCGGTACCGGTGCCGGCTCCGGCCGCCCGGCCGCGGCTCCGCTCCAGCGGGGAGGGCGGCGTCTGGGGCGGCGCGCCTGCCTCCCCGTCTCTGGCGTCTCCGCCGCCGCTGGCCACCAGTCCACCGGAGCCGGCTTCCCTGGACGACATCATCCGTCAGGAGCAGCAGCGCATCGAGAGCAGGCAGATCATGCGCGACAAGTCGCTGGCGCTGATCCAGGTGGGCCGGCCGACGGGGAGGTCTCTAAGTGTGTGTGTGTGGGAGGGAGGGGGGGGGGGGGGGTCTCGGTCCGGTGGGTGGGCCATGTCTGGTAGGTGGTCTGGGGTGCGATAGATGGTCTGTTGGATGGTCCCTTTCTGTCTCGTGGTTTCAATCCGCTGAATGGTCTGCTGGTTTGGTGGATTGTTCCTATTTTCGGTAGATTGATATTCCTGGAATGTATAATTGCCTTTGTCGCGTTGGGCGGCCCCCTGGGTCTGCTTGCTTATTCCTGGTCCTGCGGGCGTTCCTTGGTCCTTTTGTGGGTGGACCCCGGTATGGCGGTGGTCTGGTGGATGATCCAATGGGTCGATGGGTCCTGATCCTGTGGGGGGTGGGTCCCCGGGTCGGACATCATTCGGGTTAAAAGATAGTTGGTCTAGCTTGTCACCTGTAGCCCTCTTTACACCCCCCCCCCCCTCATCCCTCATCCCTTGTGACAAAAGCCGCTCGACCTGCTCTGCGCTTTTTTAATAATTTTGCGTGATGATTTCATTCAAAAGCACCGTGATCGAACACCAAAAATCCACAGCACAGCTGCTAACGAGCTAGTGTTTGGCAATTTTATTCACGTCATTGAACCACGCACATTACAATGCCAGAGCTGTTTTTGCTGTGCGTGTCCTCACAATTCCTTTTTTGCGGATGCCACCTCACCCTGGTCTGCACCGTCAATTATTGAATTTATCATGAACCTCCTAACGAACGTTACTTTATATCAGATTTACCTGTAATTGTAAGTCCTTTGTTGTATTTTTTATCACTTTCTGGTAGTAGTCGCTACATGACGGTCACGGAGCACTCATTCGAACAAATGCTGAATGCATAGGATTTTCTTTTTTCTATTTTCCCTCCTATTTTCCTTTTCTCCTTTTCCCATGAATTCCTTGGTCGGTTGGACGCACATTTATCACGATGTCTTTGACGCTGGTTGAAGTGCCAAGAGTGTTAAGTTATACCAGGCACTCTGAGTTATGATTCAAGTCATGCAAAAGTGTTACGCAGTTGAGGTATACCTCCCCCTCCGTCCCTTCCCACTCCCTGTTCCGCTCGCTCATTCCGCGATGTTATATGACGACTATTAAAACTGCGTGGGCTTGGTCGCTACTAGCTCCCATTCCAACTATGCAGGCTGCAGTGAGTGAATTGCCGGTTCTAGACGGGTTATGGCGGTTGGCCCGGTGAGGTCACGCGATGGCCGCGGCCCTGCGTCCCCCCCCCCCCTCGGCCGGACGTCTTCAGTCAAGTGTAGTGCCGTGGCGTCCGGTCGCCGACGCTCAAGGTTACACGCACCAGGACTTCCTGCAGTTTAGGTCGGTGGTGCCAGCGGTTAAACAGAGCCCAGAGGTCAAATGTGAGCAGGCAATTCAGTGGAAGAATGCATTAGCCTAAAGAATGCTCTCCCTGAGATGTTTAATGTATATTACGAATCGGTAAACAATGCAAAATAATTGTAACCTACGAAACAGCGTGAAGCTACTCGAATAAAAAGATCAAATTATGTTAACAGCCATCGCTTTTCTTCATTTGAAATAACACTTTTGACTTACACCAGCTATAGATGCGAACAATTGTCAATATATATATATATATATATATATATATATATATATATATATATATATATATATATATATATATATATATATATATATATATATATAATATATACAATATAATATATATAATATAATACTTTTCTCAATTTATAGTTTACGTTATAGAGGTCATGACGTGCCGTTTCCATTTTGTATGTTCTGAGCATGTAACGTCGCTGTTACGTTTTGTCGTCTATTTTAGAACTTAAGCGCTACTCTTCACAAGTCAAAAGATAGTTCTAAACTCATGCACGAAAAAAGTTCATAGATTGTGTTGATAGGTATATTAATCACTCAGTGTCAAAGAGTGACAAAAAATAGATAATTAGGTCGATAAAAAGTTATAGGAACTCTCGTTGGCTGTAATGCGTAAAATTATATAGCGTCCTTTCCCATTTGCGCCCCCATTCTCCTATGCACTAGCGAGTTAGCAATGCTTTCAGCGAAATCACTTTGATTTCCCCTTCGGTTGCACTTGGTGGCGGATTTATAGGCTTTGTAAAACATTGACGAAACTGTGTCGCTAGGTGCTGCACAGTCCAATGTTAACCATTGGCAACACTGATCCCGCAATCGATAAATGCTCTAAAACATGGATGAGCTGGAAACCATGTTGGTATGGTGTGAGTTTTCACTTCAAGCGCTCAATTATTTGTTAGAACTGCGCTATTTTTGGTGGAAAGAACTTCCTGCGATTGTGAAAAAGCCGACGCTGTGGTTTTTATGTTTTTCGGTGACTGCCTGAACCTTTTACCAACCAGCATCGCTGTCAGTAAGCTCAGGTGTCACCATTTCGTTGATGAGGCTTACGCAATACAATACCTCAGAAATTGATGCTTGAAGGGTCGGACCGCTGAAAGAATACACCCCGGGTAAGTGGAACCATAGACCCCTTTAAACAAATCAAATCCTTTCGTTTAAAGGAGTCTATGGTGGAACCCGTTCTGGGTTCGAGATTCGGCCTCGGCAGCACTGTTGCTGAGGACTGAGGAGGTTCGTTTCCCTGGGCGAGTGGGCTGTACATACTGTGGAGTTAGCGAGGGCGAGTACTGAGTTCCCTATGCGACTGAGGCCATGTTATGTGGGTAGGGAGGTCCGATCCGTCACACTTATCAGCCCTCGACTGTGGCGTTAGTATGCACTAATTGCTCTTCAAAGGATTAATTAATAATTACATGACGGTCGTCATGTATCGAGCGGGCGGGCGGGGCGGCCGTTTTTTTTTTTCGCGATGTTTGCGTTGGTATTTTTGGCGGTGGGAGGTGCCGCTGTTTCTTTTTTTATTGCGGCGTTTGCGGTGGCGGTGCTGCTTGCGGTTGGCTACGGGTGTGCGGTGGGCGAGGTAAGGCGAGTGAGGGTGGTGAGGGTGTTTCTTTATACTTAGTTTTTTATTCTAATTTCTTTTTCATTGTTTTTTTTAACCATCGGTCCGGCGATGCTATAGCTCATAGACCACTATACACCACTATATATAGTGGTATATAGTGGTCTATGTATAGCATCATCACTCTGGGTAGGTATGCATTCGTGTAATTTATGCTTACATACCAATCGATTTTCCAAACACTCGTACTCATACCATAGTATATAGATTTTATTTCTACTCAAGCGATCACTTGTATCATATCACTGACGCATCAAACGTCGTGTAATAATAAGTTCACAATTAATGTAACACGCATTTTGCTTGTTAATCAAACATCTGCTCGTAGTTACCCGGCCATAGCAATCAAGCGGAACTACAACAGGACGTGGTACCCGTTATGTGAAAAAGGGGGCATTAATGACGCCCAGTGGTGACTGGGGATTCATTTCTCTGCGCGAAGTGTTTTATCTTTTTGGTGGGGTTACGACCCCTCCCTCGGTTCCTGAGCTGTGTGTGACCGCCGGCTGTTGGCAGATCGAGGAGCGTGCCATTCAGGAGCTGCTGGAGCTGTACGGCGCGGCCGACAGCGGCACGGTGCGAGTCACCGTGTGTCGGGAGCAGGCGGACACGGCCGAGCCGCGTTGGTGCCGCCAGACGTCCACACGGTGACGAGGAGAGGTTCAGTGGGCTGCCAGAGGAGACCTATGGCAGCCCACGGCCCGGCCCAGCGCCAAACCTGGTCAGAGCTCAGTGTTCAGAGCCCCAGGCGTCCACACGGTGACGAGAAGAGGTTCAGTGGGCTGCCAGAGGAGACCTATGGCAGCCAGCCCACGGCCCGGCCCAGTGCCAAACCTGGTCAGAGTTCAGTGTTCAGAGGCCCAGGCGTCCACACGGTGACGAGAAGAGGTTCAGTGGGCTGCCAGAGGAGACCTATGGCAGTCCACGGCCCGGCCCAGCGCCAAACCTGGTCAGAGCTCAGTGTTCAGAGGCCCAGGCGTCCACACGGTGACGAGGAGATCCGAGCCGTCCTATGTCAACCCGCGATCAGTGGGCAGAAGCCAGTGGTCAGTGGTCCGCCGGTCATTGCCGACCCAACCCAGCCATGGTCAGTGGTCAGTGGGCAGAGACCAGTGGTCAGTGGGCAGAGACCAGTGGTCAGTGGTCAAGATGTCTACCCGGTGCCAGGAATCTGACCCGGCCGTGGTCAGTGGCTAGTGGTCAGAGGCCCACCCGGCGACATTGACGGCATACCGGGGAGACTCTGCTTCTGGGCTCCATCCCGCGCTATACGGACAAACTGTGATGCCGGGCTCTTCCACTCTAGGATTGATGCCACACCAAAATGGACAACTGTGATGTCGGGAGGGGTTCAGTCGCGTTGAGCATCACTGGGTGATATCTTTCGTACGCTAGATGTTTCAATGATGCCGAAAGGTCTGTATTGTAGATTAACCTGCTTCATGCTGGCTGGCGATTGTTGAAAAATCCGTCGCGGTTTTTAAAAGTTGTTTTTGAAGAAAAACTGCTTTGGATAGGGTGAACACCGAACAGTCGGTAAGTAAGGAACCCTGCTTAAGCGCTTATTATGAGACAGCCAGCAATCTCCATTCGTGCGTGTTTAACGTCTAATTATCTCACGAAATATCCTTGTAGCGAATCAAAATTAGGACTCACGACAGTGACATTAGTTCTTTTTTGCACAAATTATCCATCGCCATCTGCCACTTGCTATGTGACACGTGTCGTGAGAGCAGAGTTCAAAAGAGGAGCACAGACCTCTGTCCAGCAGGGATGGAAAGCCATGACGCGCAGCGTGGTGCGTGTGTTTTGTGCAATGCTCTGAGCGGGGATGGGCGTCCAGTAGACAATATGCTGATTTTAGGCTATAGTTTGATCTGTTTGTTGTTACGCTGTTGATTGTTAAATGTATGTGACGGCTGTGGTCACCTCTGTGACATGTTTAACTGGTTCTCCAATGTCCACCCATTTGACGTGTTAGCGGTCGGTGCACCGTGCTTGAGCGTGATGTCGAAATTCGACGAACGTACCGTCTTGGTGCCGGTTTGTCAACAATCGACATTGCCGGCGGTCGGTACGTCGGTATGCTGGCGGTAGGCATGCCTGCTTTGGTGTCTGTATGTCATTAAGTCGACATTCGACATATTTGCTGTCCTGGTGGCGGTGTGTTCGTGTGTCGATATGTCGGACAGTCCGACAGTCGATGTGTCGAAATGCCGGCTGTCGGTGTGTCGGTTATTGGCATGCAGTCTTAGTGTCCGTCGCCGCGGCTCGGCTAGCGGCCGGTGCAGTGTCTGCGTGTGCCGTGTCTGTCACCACGTGCACCCTGGCTGCAGTCAGCACATGTCAACACTGTCTGCGCAGTGTCTGCCGTGTATGTGCGTTGCCGTGTATGTGCGTGGTGTACCTGGTGGGCGGCCGACCCTGTGGGCCGCTGGGCCTCGTAGCGCCGCTGCCCTCCAGATGACCACACCAGTCGCTCGTGCAGTGGTCACCCAACACCGTCTGACTCGCCGGAGACCCAGCGCTCCGCAGTTTTGTGTGCCGATTGATTCAGGGATGTTAGATGCTGAATTCGTTTAGCTTTTAGATTTTTGTATAATTTTGGGATTGAGCCATAATTTGATGTGCAGACTGACTTACAGAATACATGTGTTTGAATTGAATCCATGTGTATTTATTTTGCCTAATCACAGGAGGATAGATCCAGAGACGGGCGCATTGTGTGCTTGCTGTTAAAACCTGAATCCTGACGGAGACGGGATGCAGCCAGTCATGGCTGCATTGCGTGTTTAATGAGAGTTGGTGAATGAAATGGGTTATACATATATCGTCAACGTTGTTGTATAACTTGACTGGACTTTTCATCATTGTCGGTAGGTATTATAGCTATACATTCAGAGGCGAGGTGAATTGTATTATTGGTCCATAGCGTCAGTTTGATCGATTGAGGATGTTAAGCACAGTACTCATAAGTCATTCCAAACACTCGTAGTCGTACCACTGTATACTTTATTGGTATCCAAGTTATCACTAGTATCATGTCACTGACGTATCAGCTATAATATCGTTTTGACTTCATTTGTGTTCTCCATCGTTTAGCATTATTGAGAGATAACATGTAAACGAGGTAATGAGGTAAAAAATTTACACACGGTACAAATTTAATGCATGATAACTATACCAAGTTTCGCGGCGCTGCGCGGCACGATTTTCTTCGCACACGCAAAATAACTGAAGAGTAGGTGGCTAAGGTAAAAAAAAAAACGTTTTCCCCTTGAGCGCCAGGGCGCAGGTCGTTGGCAATTGTGGCGGGAGAAACACGGTGGCGTAAAATTGTTAAGTTGCCGATCATTTTCGAAGTCCATTTCGACTATTGCGGGGTCAGCAAAGCGGAGACCTGCATTATTCCGACATTATTCCGCTGGTTTTATTTGGGGTTCAGCGAATATTCACGTGTTATGAAACCCTATTGTGGTGGCATATTGATATAGTGCTAACATATTACAAACCTTTGGGTGGTATCATCCTTTGAGGTCATACGAAAGCCACGTCGTCACAACTGAATATATAGCACGCTCCTACGACTCTCGTATTTCTAAAATAATTCCCTTGTGTCGCAACGTCATTCATGGATCCGTGCTGGTCGAATTACCGAAGTGTATTACAATGAACATTTCATTCGGGAGTCATAATTTACATTGGACAATGGAGTGCGATGAGCTGTTTTAAGATCCTCAGCGCACGGGTTCGCCGTTCGCCAGTAACTTCAGACCTCAACCCAAACGTCGCCAATGCAATGGCTCGTCACTTGCGAGGTCACGGCTCGCTTCTACATATAAGGCCTGTATAAGGCCTGCTCAAGTGCCCAATTGTACATACCAGTGCATGAATGAAACGGCTTTGAAGAGATGCAATATGCTAAAACATTTATCACAAAAATAGCGAGTTTTGTTTAGTTTCTACAACGAACCTTACCATTTGACTGAAGATCCCGGTTTAAAAGATCAAAAGGTTGTAATTCCACACTGTTGGTATTGAGTTGGAAAGAGCGTGTCATACCTACGTATTGCCTATTGGCGCCGAGTCACGCTGGTATGCGCTTTGTCGAGAACGCTTATTGTGCTATTCAATGGTCATATCGCTTACTCCTCCCATTCTCAAACATATCACGTTTAGGGGTTTACACGAGTGCTTGCCCAGCATTTAGGAATCTTTATTTTGTAGTTGCAGATTTATCCACTAAGTGCTAAAAGGGGTATAGGTATGATTTTATGTCGTACACGACTTAACCCTCGCCCTGGCAGGGCATTTTTCATAACACGGCCTGGCAGGGGGGGGGGTCGATGCGACCCCCCCCCCTCGCGATTGGCTCCTATGGCACCTAGAAACACCAAATTTGGTAGGTAGGTGGGCCCCCTGGAGTTCTCGCCCCTGTGCAAATTTGGTTGCTCTAGGTCAATATTTAGGGGGGTTTTGGGGGGTATAAATGTAAAAATTTCGCTAAAAACGGGTCAAAAGTTTTTCGCTTATAACTTTTAATCTAATTAAGATAGAGCAAAAAGAAAAGCACCAGTGAACTCAGCACGTCAAGGCGCGTCGAATGATATACTTTTTAGCCTGCTTAAGTGTACTTAAAGTTTTTCTTAAACTTTAAGTAAACTTAAAATTATAAATTAAGTTCAAGTTAACCAAATTGCATCATATCGCATATCATTCGATTCGGCTGATCACCAGGAACACAATGATACCATTTTTTAAGCTCTAGCGTCATTATGTGCCAAGTTATTGGCAAAAACGTCATTTGACCTCAGTTGACCTCATTTGACCTGACCCATGGATAAGTACACCAAACAACGAAGCACCAAGTGACCTGCTGTTATTTACTATGGATTCAAAGCATAAAAGTGATAGAAAGAAGTAGATATCTCCAGTATTTTCGGAAGTTAGTATTTTCCCATAGGCTTAACATTACGACGTAATGACCTCTAACTGACCTCAGGTCAGTGACCTAAAAAAACCCGAACTATATGTTATACAACTCGGTGAACTTAGCACATCCTGAAAGTTTGAAGGAAATCAGTCCAAAACTGTGAGTTGGACAGGTGCAAAAAGAAAATTGAAATTTGACCATGACCTTGTACCGGTTTTTCTGACCTGGTGACCTGACCCAAGGTCACCCGGACCTGAAATTTTCAGGTCATATGTAAAAAGGTTGCCCCATAGGCTGTGCCAAATTTGGCGGCGCTGCGCGCCGCCGTTTTTACGCTATCTTCGAAAAACCTTAGGGGGGGGGTCGCATCGACCCCCCCCCCCCTGCCAGGGCGAGGGTTAAGTTAACTTACCCGTAGGCCGTAAATAAGTGTTTACATAGACATGATATTGCAACATTTATTCTACGACCATGCATATATGACGGAATTATTTTTAAAAAGGGCAATAGTGTCTTCAAAGTGTTCGTTGTTCATTGTTTATTGTTCAGTGCGTCAAAACACACCAACCGAAAAAAGCAAGACTTCGGGTAAATTCAGCATTTTACCCATCATACCTAACGACCTAGCAACAGAAGAATATTGTCCTTCTCTCGTAACAGCTGATTTTATGGGCTTTATCGAGGGTCTTTAATCTTTATATGTTGTTTGTTACTTTTGTGGAGTCCATCTTCCGTTCTTTGTCATTCACGCCCGTTGCGAAAAGCAATGATTGAACCCGGACCGATGTAGTTTGATTTAATTTAACAGGAATGTCTTCAGTTACCCACTATGTCAAATCTTCTTGTCTTGTAGGTAGGTATCACGGTTATGAGCTCGCTCGGGTCTTTCCGCTGACGTGAGTGTAGCTCCAGAGAGCGTAGCTCCAGACTGTTTATGTGGCGGCAGTCTTGCAACGAGTGATCATCGTTACCTACCGCCTGGTCGCCTATGTACAGGTTGCCGAGGCTACCTCACCGTCGCCACAGTTCTCTACATTCCAGCCGCTGTAGGGGCACGCCAGTAGGTGGCTTTCTGTGCCGGCGCAGGCCAGGTCGTCCATGTGGAACACTGCGCCCGTGGCATACCAGTGGGGTGAGCAGCAGGTGGCGGTTCCGCCCCTGCAACGGGCACAGACGTCCCATCTCAATTCTCACTCGCTCGCAAAATAAAAAAGACGTCACAGAAAAATCTAAGTGATGTTTCCTATCGCTCAAACATGCACTTCAAAGGTGGTTTGGAGGATATTTGGAGGATAACGTGGTTTGATGGATATCATTCAAACTGCGGTTTGGAGGATATGAAATGGCTGTCACTTACGTGCGGCCGATGGAGCGGCAGAAGACGGTGGCGTCTTCGGTGCCCCAGCCGTCGTCACAGACCTGGCCCCAGGTGGCGGCGCCTTGTGGACGCACCTCAACACGGCCGGATAGACAGGACGAGTCGCCGCCGGCCAGCCGGTACTCGTCTGCGGGAGACATCAGGTCGTTATGCACATAGGAATTGCTTTACTAATAGTTACACTACACCATGGGGAAGCCAATGCAACCGTGCATGGCATAACCGATAACTAGAAGCCTTACGTTCGAGCGGTCAGCGGCCGTTAAAACTACATTTGGCTTCAGCGAGACAAAAAGTCGCAGAGACCGAATGGTTCAGCCCACAGGCCCCAGCTAAAGTAATGTGAGGCTCTACCAATCTCAACAGATGGCTTTGACTGACGATTTTTAAATACGGAGTGATCCAGATGAAGACAGCAAAAGATGAACTTGCAGCTCTGCAAGGACGATGGTACTTGTAAGCGGCATACCAAGTTTTATGGTAGTCTCAAGTCTGACAAATAGTTCCTAAGATATGAACGCAAAGCCAATACTGACACTTCACATCACTTTAGCGATGTCCTGTACTTCATACTTACAGCCGCTCACTATGACCGGAGTGCAGCCAAAGTCGCCGCACGTGCCGCCGCTACAGATGAACTTGGAGTTGTACGAAGAGCAGTCCTCCTGGTAGGTGCACGCCCCTCCGAACGGCACCGCTGCAGGGAGGCAGAACCGGCGCCGTCAGCACCCTGGAGCCAGCTGCCGCTATCCCAGCCCCCAACCAGGGGCCAGCTGCTGCTGTCCCAGCCCCCACCCCACAGCCAACTGCTGCTGTTCCAGCCCCCACCCCGGGGCCAACTACCGCTGTTCCAGCCCCCCACCCCGGAGCCAACTGCCGCTGTTCCAGCCCCCACACCACAGTCAACAGCTGTCCCAGCCCCCACCCCGCCCCTCGAGCCAACTGCTGCTGTTCCAGTCCAGCCTCCACCCCCAGTGTTATAGGTACCAAGTCATGCATATGTAGTAAGACCGTTGATATTAATAATTTTTTTTTTAAACAAATACCGGCTAATTCCAAAGAAATGATGAATCTACTTGCCTGAAAATTAACAAGATATTATTAGGTACACTAATGTTAATGACTATTCGTACCAAATAAAAAGAACGGTCATATTATCCCTCGCATGTGTGCGGCGTTTGCCAGCTTCTAATGCGTAGGGGGGGGGGGGTCGGTTGGACCCCCCCCTTGCCGTTTGGCCCCTGATCGAGCTAGAGCTTCGCGGAAAAAACGAGCGTGTTGCCCGTGACGAGAGGAAGCCGATGATACCCAATTTTAAGGTCCTAGGTCATTGGTTGACCTTCCAGGTCAGGTCAATGACCCAAAGTCGGGAAAATCGGAACCTGTTAGAAAGTCGTAAAGTGTGGCTGCTAAGGGGTTTTTCGGGGTGCTGATCACGAATATCGTGTTAGTTTTGATCACAGATGATGGCTTTAAGCATTTAGACCAGGTCGGGTCAGGTCAGGTCAGGTCAACCAGTAGGCGTCGTGACGGGTATTCGTAGTACGTGTCAACCGCCTCTGACAGCTTCGTAACATGTTACGAAGGCACCAAAACTACTTCGTAAATGTTCAAATGGTTGCTAAATTCGAATTCAGCTCCAAAAACTAGCCTAGAAACATGTACAGCTCGAAAAAGTGAGCCGAGGTCACCCGAGGTCACCAAAGGTCAGTGACCTGACCTGACCTTCAGGTGACCTTGACACCCACCCTAATGCATGGAAGCAACATCAAATCACATGTTTGAACATTTGAAACCACGAAAAGCTTCCAAACACGCGGCTAATACGAGCCGACATACGCAGAATCGCGATTCCGGCCAAACATGGTCTCGGAAAAGAGGTCACAGGTCAAAGGTCATTTGGGTCAGGGTCATGAAATTTTCATGGTAGGTGTAAAATTGATCAATGTGAGGGTACTGAAAGTTTCGTCGCGATCGGCCGCTTTTTACGCGAGTTATTCGCGAAAAACCATGGGGGGGGGGTCCATCCGACCCCCCCCCCCCCTACACATGCGAGGGTTATGATATTTTCTTTTCACTTATTAGCAAGTAGTTATAACCGGAGGGGAGTACCTAATGACGCGTCTCTTTCGTTACACCACCTTCCACACAAATAAATGCAATTAAGTTGGGGGATGATAGGTAATAAGTAATAAATAAGCACAGACACTGCTATGAAGATGACTGTCAAAACTCAAAAGTGAATGTTGCATCTGTATTATTTACCCATTGTGCTTTCGTTCATTAAGATTGCTGAATCGTGTGCTGCCTTAGGTCTCAGAATGGCCAATTGCATTCAGGGCCCCGTAAAGCAGGGTAGGCATATATATTTATAGAACATCCCGTAAAGCTCCGAAAAGCACTGCAGTCCCCCCCCCCCCCCCTCCAGTGTGAATGGGTCGTAGTGCTGTGTGTCGTGCCAATCCTGCAGGCCTCTTTCTCCGACTGGTGCGGAGGTGTCGCGGCGGTATCAGCCCGCGGGTCCGAAGCAGCGTAATGATGCGCTGTGCCGACTCACATTGTCGGCAGGTGCCACCGTTGTTCCAATAGCCCGATGCACAGGCGCACACTCCACTGGTGCAGGCGGTGTTGGCTGTCACCATCTGAAAACACAGCTCTGCCGTTAGTCGTTACTATGGGCAATTCCAGTGGTAAACCTAAAAAAAATATCGGAGGAGGTCACTGGAGCACTCATTTCCTTGCCGCTCAAATCTCGCTAATAAACAACTCACGTTTGTATCAGACGCGCCAATATATGTCATACGCAAGGCCTCGTCCAAAAATCCAACTTTCCTTTGAGATAAGGAATTGGGGTCAAATAGTGATGGTGAGATGTCAAATCGGGAGAAGCTTGGAAGAGCGACAGGAACAATTTTTGTTTTTAAACGAGAGGAGGTTAGAGGAGCTTAGAAAAGGTTGGAGGAGCCACTGGAACATCCCCTATATACCTATCTGAGAATGGCGCTCACCCAGTCATCACCCCCACACCAGAGGGCATCAAATGCATCACATATAGCAGCGATAGTTCCTTTAGTAGCAACATTGAAACAATAAAAGTCAAATTTATAGACGTTGGTTGAAATGGCAGGTAGGTACCTATAGTAATTACTGCGTTTGAACTTTATCGGTTGAATTTTCCTTAGGACTGGCCAGACGATTTGCATACTTGATTGAATGGATGCATTAGTAATGGCATTAGTGATATGAAGGATAACAGTCTTTGCATGTAAAGCTGCACCTTGTCCACTTCTACATTTGCGTGTGTTACGCCATGACAGTTCCTTCATCTTGACATCGGTTTTATTCTATGATTGTCTCTACTCTCTATTTATGTTTCTGCCGCAAGTTACGTACATATGATTGGCTGCGAAAGGTCAGCTCAAATTGACGCAGACGTCATGCCATTTTCCATTTCCTTAGCCCGTGCCGTCCTGGGGGGTGTTTTTACGTTTCCCCCTCGGGTTTTTGGCGAATATCTATATAAAGAAATGGCGGCGCGCACGCGCAGCTGTTTTTAGCACCACCTATCATTCATCTTTTCTGCACATGTCATAAAAGTTAAAGATCCGGGTCGTTCAAGGTCAGATAACCAGGTCACGTCAGAAGACCTTATGTCATAAAAATTGCAATAGGTACTCGCCAGTCGCCATAGCTACACCAACTGAACGATCGCTTTGAAACTTTCAGCGATTGATAAGATTAACGTTATGTATAAAATGTAGGTATATCTCAAATTTCGAACCCATGTGTGTCCTAACGTTAGGCCAACTTTGCGACATTTCCATTATACCTCAATCACAATGGGAGACAATTGAAACGCGTCTCTTTTAGACGAATGGCGCTCTAAACGCTCTCAAACATATGCTGGCTTACAGGTGAACATGACACACCGAATCGGACGGAAAGCTGCACCTGACCCCTCTTTGTGTTCCTTGAGGTCATCTCAGGTCATGAAAAGCTCGGGCTCCCAGCGTTTTTTTTTTTTTTTTTGACAATAACTTTTGATAAAGCCATGCTAGAGCGATGAAACCACATCAGAGGCCTCTTGCACCAAACTACCTAGCTAGGTAAAATCGAAAAACCGGTTTCAGAATAAGCTAAGCTAACGGTGGTAAATTTGGTTGCAATAGCCCAATACATAATCCTACATGTGCTTGCTAAATTTTGCACGCAAATTGTTACATTTGAGACTTGGACTGGGTATACGATGCAAAATAATACAAGCATTGGTGCAAGAGGATTTTGGTGCAAGAGGCCTCAGATGTGTTAAGCTTGATGATACGGATCGACTGATATCCAATATGACCTTTTCCAGTAAGGTTATGTTATGACCTTGTTATGGTCAAATTTTCAACATGACCTTTGAAGGTCATTATAGCTCATTCGACGCGTCTCAACGAGAGGAACACGATACTGACAAAATATATGTCGTGACATTCTTCAATCAAAAGTCATAACCGCGAGCATTTTTTTTTTCGTTAAAAACCGTCTGCCGTCATTTTTAATTTTTGCCCTCAGGAGGCTTAAACGTTGAGCTTAGGTCAAATCTGAGGGCGTGTTGGCGAAAGAGCGTTAACAGAGCTATCAAATGCGCTTTTCCGCAGCGTTGGATATCGATTGGTTCCCGAGTGATGCGCCGGTTTGTCCAAAATGTTGAAATAGGCAAAATTTTACGTTTGATGACCTCTGGTGACCGGACCTTTGACTCGGCCGAAAAAAAAATCGAAGTATTTTCTTAAGTATTTTACGCACTTTCGATTGCCGCTTACCGCGTGTCGCTACGTGGCCCAGGAGCCGAGCTAGACAGGGGCGTGAAAACGCCCCCCCCCCCCCCTCCCAGCACGACATGGAAAACTCAGACCACCAATGCGGCAAGGTTTAGTCTACCGGAACTGTCACACTGACTTCATTTTTGAGGATAGATGGAAATGTTTTTTTTTTTTCAAGAAGGATGTAATGTAAAAAGCGCTAATGCTCTGTTGTTCTGCGTTCTTAAACAAAGGGGCTTGCTCATACAAAGGGTATGGTAATACCTGCCTAAATAAACTAAAAAAAAATATCCACGTTACTGATTAGCTGTTTTAAGCTCTTTAATAAAATCCTTAATTTTTTAATGTGTTTAGCCCTGTGTCATCCTGAATAAGAAGCGGTTACCTTGAATTCAACCTGCTGCATCAACAAAATTTAAAGGTCAAAATTCCTCATAATTAACCGGTCCCATTAATGGGAATGGTTCACTTTCCCAAAATAAGTATTTTTTTGCAATGGGTTTAGGTATGATTTTTTTACGCTCAAAATGATCAGCGAAAAAAAATAAAACCTTTTTACCAGTATAAAGAATATCATTTTCTATCTTTAAATTTAGGAAGAATTATACCTAGTTACTCTTTAAAATATCTACTACTACTACTACTACTACTACTACTACTACTACTACTACTACTACTACTACTCTTTTAAAATATTGTTTGACGCGGAAGCTTTTTGCGCACGGACCAATCATATTGCGTAGTTCAAACCCATTGGCTGTAAGCATCATGCTGATTGGATGACGATGACGTGGCTGCATTCCTCAGCAAGACTCGCCTTTCTCAGCAAGGCACTTTTGGGGACGAGACACGGAATATCTTTGCCTAGGGTGAACGTTGGGCCATAAAAGCTCCTGATTTGTGTTTGTCTCAGCTCAAGCTACGAAACTGCTATTCCAGTTCAAAACCCCCATGTTAAAAGTGAACTATTTCCTTTAACCTTCCAGGCGGTGGGGGGGCATTTTTGCCCCCCTTTAGTTTTTTCAATACATCTCGAGAACCGCTGCGCCGATCGTCACCAAACTTTCAGTACCCTCCCGGGAGCAGCTAGCGCACATGGTGACCAAAAATTTTTCCAAAGGCTATGATAGGTTGGCCGCTAATGACGTCAGAGTGACGTCATTTTTGCCATTTTCGACCCTAAAAAAGGTTTCGCGGGAAGAGCTGTCAGGCCTACAGCTTTAGAGATACAGAAAAATGTTTCAGACATAAAAGGTGTGGAATCAAAAGGGCTACAAAACTGCTATTTCGATTTTTCGAATTTTTTGGATTTTGACCCCCAAAAATCAAAAAATAGATTTTTTGAATGTAATAGCCAAAAAATCCAAAACGTTTTTTGAATTTCGAAAAACCGGAACATATGTGATAGTCCCTACCGCCTTCTATCTACATACCAAATTTGAGATCGATACCTCTTTTTTGGCCAAGTTATAGCGATAAAACTGTTCAAAATTGATGACGTCAAATTTTCAAACTCAATTTTTAGCGATTCTAGACCTCTTAGCGCAAAACAAAGACCACCATTAGACTCCACGTGACGAGCTGCATCGAATCGATACCCATTTTATGCAAAAATATCAACTTTGAAATTTGACCTTTTTGAACCTGACCTTGAACCTGACCTCCACCAGAAAGTGACCTAAACCGTACCTGATGGTCTTATAACCAACACCATTGAGTTGGAAATGAAAAACTGGCCATAAAACATGCATCGCATAACCTTAGTAAAGTTGGGCTCATGTGGTGACCCTTGGTGACCTTTGGTGACCTGACCTGTGACCTGACCTGGTATGACCAGTGACCTCTAATAGCAACATATGTACTAGACAACTGACGCCTTATCGCTGATTTTCGACAAAATGCGTTTTACTCGGTGTTATAGCGCTTTCCCTAGAAGCCCGTGAAGGGTGAAACATTTTATCTTTGACCTGACATGTGACGTCATCGGTGACCCCGAGGTCAATGAAATTTGGTTTTCCTCAACAAATTTGACAGGGCTATCGAACGCCGTTTGAGTTTTCCGGATCCGTCCAGTAGTTTCGGAGATACGAGGGGGGGGGGCAAAAAAATGCCCCCCCCCCCCACCCACCGCGCGGAAGGTGGCTGGTAGGCCCACCGCCTGCCGGGTTAAAGGAACTATCCCACCTTCTAAAATGTTGTTAAAACCAGTTAAATTGTGCCCGATTTTATAGATTGGATGACCAGGAACACGGTTCTGGCATTTATTTTTCATTAAACATCTTAGGCTTCCCATATTCCAAACACAAACTTTCAAATGTGTGACGTCACAGCCCAAAATTACCTCCTTCCCCAGGCCACATTACTGTCATAAAGCTGATTCTTTTTACTCTGAAGGCACCACAACAAAGTTCAGACCAAGTTTTAAGCGATTTTTCAACGAACAAACCCATTTAAATAAGAATGACTAAACGAGGTGACGTCACACTAACGGTCGCTCCATGTTGAAGATAGGGCCTTGCGCAAGGCCCATTTTCAAATGAAGGGAACGAATTTCTTCAACACCAAGAGGCCGCGGGGGTTGCAACCTAGATAGATAGTGGTTTCTGAACCTCGCCGCAAACTTTGCTATCTCAACTCAAACCCCATGTTAAAGGAAAATGGCCACCTTCGTGAAATATGAAGATATCGTTGTTTTTCATTTTGACATTATTATTTTTCATTTTCTTTTTAAAACTGGTGCCAGAAGTGCACAATTCGCGAAAAAGTATTTAAAACTATTTAACATATTGGTACTATGTTGATACTCTCTACGGCACCTACTGTATGATGGCATAGCGATGACGTCACACTCAAGCCAATCAGCGTTCAGAAGACAGACTCGTCGGATTGTGTCAGATAAGCTGATTGGTTAAAGCTGAGCTGGTTGGAGCTGATTGGTAAAAAACCAAAGCCTCGCCGCGGGTGGCTGTATTGTCGGATAAGAACGCATTCCTGGGATAAGGACGCATTCCTGGCGTATTTTCTTTTAAAATTGCCGATAACTACGAATGGAGGCCGAAATCGGCCGTAAGGAGGTAGACAGTTAGGTTTTCGGACACGGGCTACAAGATGGCTATCTCAGTTTCAATCCCCATGTTAAAGGTGGCCCTTTTCCTTTAAAGGTGGGATAGTCCCTTTAAGCGCGGCTTGTGTTGACTGTTCCGGTGTCGGTGGCCGGTCACTGACCGTGCACTCTGCGCTGATGGTGCAGGCCGCTCCCATGGCCTTCCCCGGCTCGCACACGCCGTTCACGGCCACGTAGTTGGCCCGGCACGTGCACACGGCCGACGAACAGTACGTGGTGGTCTCGTCCCCGCACTCGGGGTCCACGCTGCACGCCTCGCCCAGCGCCTTCACTGTAATACATCCGATCGGTCAAACCCCCGCACTCAGGGTTCACGCTGCACGGCAGCACATCCAACCTATCAATCATCGCACCAAATATTTAGAATAAACTTGCGTGCCTTTTAAACGAGCTCCGAGTAAACGAGACAAATGTGGAGGAAGTTAGCTCTGTTTTGGAGCTATAATTGAATATTGATGCGAGTTGCTAGTCAATTTTGAACGGCAAAATTTAATGCAAAGAAAACATACAGGAATGTGGTCTGAAACTACCTACGGGAAACGTCGACTTGCCTGCATAATGTCGCGAAAGTTTCCAAATTCCGTTCTACACAGATGAATGAGTCACCTGTAATGCATCCGGTGCCCACGTCTCGCATGCATGGCACTTGGACTCACCGGTAGTACAATCGGTGCCCGGAACATTTGAAACAACTTGTCAGGAACTCACATGTGAGACAGCTGCTGCCTGGAGCTCACATTTGAGACAGCTGTTTTCCGGAACTCACCTGGCAGACAGCTGCCATCCGGATTGTGCCACGTGCCGGCCGGACAGGCGCACAGACCGCCGGAGCTGCACTCGGAGCCGGAGGTAATTGTCTGCCAGACAGCAACGGACAGGTCTGGGGAGTCCGTTCTGACACACACGCGCTCAGACAACCAAATAAAGGGGCGGGGAGGGAGGGTGCTCATGTATCTAACGATGGCAGGTAGTCGGCCTCGGCCGGGCTTCGCTTACCTGTAGTCAGTGGCATCACTGACAAACCTCGCGTCATGAGTCGTCACAGGCGGTTGATTCTCTGCCTCCCAGCTCCTGCGCTGCGCTGAATCGCAAGGCACCGCCCTTCTGAGTACCATGCCACCACTCCCTCTTTCGCCGTCACTATTCATAGCCTCTCTGTCACTCCGAGTGTCACACAACGAGAGAAGCCAAAAAATTGTTGAGACCATGACCGATGGTCCGTCCCCTTCGCTGGCTCGTCTTTGACTGTCCTATATCCTGCGCTCCCCTCGTGCCTCCCGCCCCAGCCCGCCCGCTTCGCTTATCTCTCTCCTGTTATGTTCGTAATTCACGGTTCGAGTGAGAGAGAGCTTAAGAGAAACGCGATTTATTTACTGCCGGTGCGAATGGGCCGAGAGAGTTCTCCGAAAACTAAACAAGTATGGCCAGCGCCACGCCTAGTCGCCCGCGCCAGTCATGCCGCTTGGCGCGCACGATCAGCTGAGCGTCGGCAGGGGCGCTCCCAGGCACACAGAGGTGGGGCCGCAGAGGCGGTCCAAGTACACACCCCCTATACCCGAACACAACATCCCCCCTCGAGACAACAGTCGTCAAAAACACACAAAAACACAACAATGCACGACGTTGTCTCACAGTCACTCCGCATACGAGGTCGCACCCCATTGAACTCGGAGCCGACCAGGAGCGCGGCGCTGCCGTCGAGAACGACGCGGGAGAGCGGCGGCGGCCGTCTCCACCTGGGGTGACCGCACCGGCGACGAGCGGCACACGGCCGGCGCACTAGCGGCGGGTCGGACCGCCCTCTCGGCGGCGACCGCGGTGCGCGCTGGCGGCGGCGGCGGCGGCGGCGGCTGAGGCGCACCCGCAGCGGGCGGGCGCGGGGCGGACGGAGCCACAGGCGGGGTGGGTTCCGTCAGAAGCGGCCGGTATGGGCGCAGGTAGCGGCGGTTACGCCACAGGACCTTGCCACTGGCCGTCTTGACGAGGTACGTGCGCCGCTGACCGACGCCCACGATCACTCCGATCCGGTTCCATCGGCCGGTGGCGGGGTCTTGAAGGTCGACCCGACTGCCGATCTTGAGCGGTGACAGCCGGCGCGTGCTCTTGTTGTAGCACCTGACGGCCTGCTCCTGGAGCTCGGCAGCCTTTTCCTCGCAGACATCGGCCGCCCGCTGCCACTCAGGAGCGAAGGCGCGGTGGTGCGTGGGAACACCAGAGCGAAGCGGGTGACCAAACAGCACCTGTGCCGGCGACCGCCCGTCTGCTCGGGGCGTGTTACGGAGTTCGAGCAGACTTCGGTCCAGTTGGTCCTGGTCGAGCCGGCCCGATGAGGACGCAGCCAGCACCAGCTTCTTCGCTGTCTTCACGCAGGCCTCCGCGTGCCCGTTAGCGCGCGGGTAGTGCGGTGACGACATCTCATGTCGTACGTCCCAGCGCTGGAGGAACCGGCGGAGCGTGCCTGATGCAAACTGGGGTCCGCCGTCTGACCGGAACACGGTCGGGACGCCCGTCTGCGAGAACATCAGTCGGAGCTGCCGCGTCAGATGGTCTGCCGAGGCCGTGCGGGGACACACTGTGACATACGGCCACCCGGACAGCCGGTCCACGTACACCAGGTACGTGTGTCCTCCAGCGGAGAAGTAGTCGGCCGAGACCGACTCGAAGACGCGTGTCGGTGCGCCGTCCTCCTGCCACATCGGCTCCCGGGCGTGGCTGGGCAGGCGCTGACGGCACTGAGCGCAGGCGGCGACAGTGTCAGCAATCTGCTTGTCGATGCCCGGCCAGTACACACTGAGCCGAGCACGGCGCTTGGTCCTATCAACGCCCTGGTGTGACTCGTGGAGTTTCTCCAGCACACCGCGTCGGAGGGCGGACGGGATGACCAGTCGAGCGCCGTAGACCACCAGTCCGTCGTCGATGGCCAGCTGATGGCGCACGCCCCAGTACGCTCGTACTGCAGGGGGCGTCTCGTGCCGGTTCTCTGGGAATCCGGCCAGGATCAGCTCGCTGAGAGTCTGGTACTCGGTGTCGCGCTCCGCGGCGGCGCGGACTCTCTCCAGTGTGGCGTCGACCAGCGGAGCCAGCTGGGCGCCCTCCTCCGATCGGGTGGAGGCCTGCAGCGCGGCAATGACGCTGGCGTGCAGCGGGTCGTCCTCGGTGTCCACCGCTCCGTCGTCATCAGCGGCGGGGTCGCTGGTGGGCGCTCGCGAGAGCGCGTCTGGGATCACGTGACTCGATCCCTTCTGCCAGCTGGTGGTGAAGCTGTAGGCCAACAACTTCTCTCTCATCCGCTGCAGACGCGGGTTGTCGATCGAGTTGAGCTGCTTGTAGTTTAGGATGGTCACCAGCGGTCGGTGGTCGACCACCAGGTCGAAGTGGGGCATGCCAGCCAGGTAGACATGGCACTTCTTGCAGGCCCAGAGTACAGCAGCCAGCTCCAGCTCGATTACAGCATATCGGCTCTCGGTATCGGTCAGGAACCGTGAACCATACTGGACCACACGCCAGTCCTCGCCGTGCCTCTGGAGCAGTGCAAAACCCAGTCCTCGGGTTTTAGCAGCGTCCGTCTGTAGCACGGTCGGCAGCTGGGGGTCGAAGAATGCCATCACCGGCGGTGACGACAGCACAATCTTGGTGTGCAGAAACGCTGCCTCGTGCTGCTCAGTCCAGCGCCAGACCCGGCGCGACTTGAGGAGGTCTCTGAAGGCCTGAGTCGAGTCAGCCAGCTCCGGTGTGAGGCCGCTCAGCTGATTTACCAGACCCATGAAGGACCGCAGGTCGGTGACGTTCTCCGGTCTCGGGAAATCAGCGATGGCGCGCGCCTTTTCATTGTCGGTGGTGTAGCCGGCCGGGGTGATCTTGTAGCCGCAGAATTTGACCTCATTCTGGGCGAACTTGAACTTCAGCGGGTTCAGCGTGATTCCTCGGTCGTCACAGCGCCGGAGGATGTCGATCACCTGCTGCAGGTGCTGCCGGTACGTCTGTGCCACGGCCAGGATGTCGTCGACAATCTTGACACAGTTTGGGATGTCGCCGAGCGCGGCATCGCCGCGCCGGTTGTACTCGTCTCCAGACGCACTGCATCCCATCGGACAGCGGACGAACTTGAACCTGCCCCACGGCGTGATGAAGCAGGTGAGGTCCTGACTTGACTCAGCGAGCGGCACCTGGAAGTAGCCCATCTTGGCGTCCAGAGTCGACATCCACCGGTGCCCGGCGGGCAGACTCGTCACGGCATCGTGAGGAGACCGGCAGGGGTACGTGGGTCGATTCACGTACCGGTTGAGTCCCGTCAGGTCCACGCAGAGTCGAAACCCGGACGGGTTCTTCGGCACGCACGAAATGGGATGGCACCATTCCGTCGGGTAGTCCACAGGGACGATGACGCCGCGGTCCAGCAGGTCGTCCAGCTGCGCCTTTACCTCGGCACGCCAGGCGAAGGGGATCGGTCTCGCAGCGGTGACCGACGTCGGACACGCGTCGGGCCGGAGTTCGATCGTCATCAGACCGCCGTCCATGACTCGAAGAGTCGAATCTTGCCCGAACACACGCGGGAAACACTCCACCAGAGCGGCTGCATGAGCTGCACGGACCGCCTCCGGTGGGTCTGAGTCGCTGTCCCAGGCCGGCAGCGGACCGCTGAGGCCGGCGGCCGGCCCGGGTCCATCGGCCGGCGGCGCCGGCGCGCCCGTCTCGGTCCCGGTGGCCGGACAGGGCCTGTCACGCGGCTCCTCATACGGGGCCGAGCGGCCGCTGGCGCTACGAGCGGAGCCGGCAGCGGCCGGCGGTGCAGACGGTGTGACGTCATTAGAGGGTGTGACGTCACCAGCGGATGTGACGTCAACAGAGACCGTGACGTCATCAGCAGGGCGCGGTGCGTCCTCGACGGACCGGATCTGTGCCGGAAAATCCCTCGGCAGAATCCCCAGCGCCACACAGTCGAACCAGCTGAGTAGCAGGCCAGTCAGCTCCCTGATGACGAACACGGCAGCGGTGGTCGATCGGTCGCCCAGCTCCAGAGTAGCCCGGAACGACCCGACGCAGGTGAGCGGCTGTTTCCCTACTGCTGAAAATGGCTGGCCGATGCAGGGCTCCAACTGCGCTGGTTCCACGCAGATGGAAGACAGGCTGTCTTCGCCGATGACTGTCGCCTCGGCGCCGGAGTCGGCCCGGGCCGGCACGGTGAACACACCAGCCGGCGTAGACAGTCGGACAGTCACAGTGGGAGTCGGCCGCGTCGAGATGCCGTTCACGTAGACGTCTCTGATGACACGGCAGATGCGCGGCTCTGACGGCTGCCCCACCGCGGGCCGCGCGCGCTCCGGTGCTGCGCGCTCGGCGGGGGCAGCGGCGCTCTCGCGCGCCACCTGGGCGCACACCACTGCAAAGTGGCCGCGCTGGCCACACGAGTTGCAGATGGCGCTAGTAGCGCGGCACGCCGCCGGGTCTGCGTGGGCGGCCCGCCCGCAGCGGCAGCAGCGCGCGCCGGCCGCGCCCGCGGAGCGCCCGCCAGGTTGGGCCGCGGGGCGCGCCTGGGGGCGGCGCACGCCGGCCGTACCCGCGGAACGCCCGCCGGGTTGGGCCGCGGGGCGCGCATCGCGCAACCTTGAACGGCGGTATGCCGACAGACGGCTCACTGACGCCGTCGGTGAGCGGAGGTCGGAGCAGGTAGCCCGGGCGTTCTCTGACGCACGGCAGATGTCCACCGTCTTCTTGAGGTCCAGCCCCGGATCCTCCAACAGACGCTTCACCGTCTCCTCGTCCCGCAGGCCACACACAATCTTGTCACGCAGGCGTGAGTCGTAACAGTGTGTGCAAAAGTCGCAAAATGCCGCGAGCTCCTTCACTTCGCACAGAAACTCCTCAAAATTCTCGCCCTGCTCCTGGACACGGGCGTAGAACGCACGGCGGTCGACCAGGACACTGCGCTGCTTACGGAGATGACTCTCCATGGCGTCTACCACCGCGGAGAGGGGAGAGTCGTCCGCTATCGTCAGTCCATAGCGCAGCACCCGGTGCCAATCTTCGTCGAGAAGACTGAGAAGGGCAGCTCTCTGGGCAGTGACGGGCAGCGCGGACGCGCCGGTCAGAAGCATGTACCCGTCCAGCTTCTCCCTCCATACAGCGAAGTCGCGCAGGGATGTGGAGGACGACAGATGAGGCGCCGGCGTTGCAGCAGCAGGCAGGCGCACGGGCGGGGCGGCAGCCGACGTCCGGGCGGCTGTCGCCGCCGAGGCATCGTCGGCAGCGACGGTAGCGGGTGGCTGTCGGTCGGCGACCAGTCGCTCCACCATCTGAGTGAGCCGCTCCTCGCGCTGCGCTGAGTCTCGCTCCCGCTGCGCCGACAGCTCCGCCTGCTGCAGGAGCAGCTGCGTCAGTTTCTCAATGTCACTCATCGTCACAGATCACGGCGCGCTATACACTAATTACTGATACACTGATACACCGATCACTGCGCGCACGCACGGAACCATCTACTGACCGCGCCATGTTATGTTCGTGATTCACGGTTCGAGTGAGAGAGAGCTTAAGAGAAACGCGATTTATTTACTGCCGGTGCGAATGGGCCGAGAGAGTTCTCCGAAAACTAAACAAGTATGGCCAGCGCCACGCCTAGTCGCCCGCGCCAGTCATGCCGCTTGGCGCGCACGATCAGCTGAGCGTCGGCAGGGGCGCTCCCAGGCACACAGAGGTGGGGCCGCAGAGGCGGTCCAAGTACACACCCCCTATACCCGAACACAACACTCTCCCTCCCACCCTCCCTCCCTCTCCCTCGCTCTCTCCGGCATCTGTCTGCCCTCGCCCAACGCCTCTTAGCCGGGGGCCGCTAAGTTGCCAATACTGGTGTTGAGAATAAAAGTTATTGAGAATAAAACAACCGCGCATCAATTTACGGACACCCCGTAAACATTAAATGCCCTCTTTCTGAGAGGAATGACAGCCGAAGGTTGCACTGCCGGCTGGGTCACTGGGTAGTGGTTAACCTGGACGGTGATGATATTCAGCTCACCTGGCACTCGATGAGCTGGGTGCAGGCGGCGCCGATCGCCACGCCCGGTAGACACTCTGTCGGACTGTTGAGCCAGTGGTCGCTGGTGCACTGGCACGTACTGCTGGTGCACTGTGCGTTGGTGATGGACGCGGCGCACACGGCACTACTGGTGCAGTAGTCGCCGGCCACGGGCTCTGCGGGCACACCGCACAGCGTCAGTCGGTGCTGCGGCGCCTACAGCTGGGGGGCACGCTAGACCGGTACCGGATGATAACACATGTTTGAATGGTGCCACGAGCGTTTGGATATTGAAGTCTAACCATCGCCAGCCCAGAGTCTTTTTCATAACGCAGACAGCCAGATGGAAGCCGGGAGGGGGGGGAGGGGAGAGATCCCTTGGGGTCTGGCGATTGGCTCCATATGGCGCTTAGGACCACCAAAGTTACAGGGTAGGTGGACCCATAGGAAATCTCTCCCTACGCAAACTTGGTGACGCTAGGTCAGGGGTCGGCAAACGGGGGCAATGATGGGGCAATGCCCCTTTGGGGGTAAAGGACCTCTGAGAAAGTCCATGTTTTTAGAATTAATAACTCTCTTGATGGGACAAACATCGCAACTGTTGCACCCCAGGGTTCGAAGATACGTCCAGGCTAAACGCACGCAGCATGAGTTGATTCACTGGCGCATACCAATTTTCATGTAGCTGCTTACCGTTCCGTACAGAAGTGTAAAAGCAACTGCAATGTTTTAACTGTCGCCCTTCTATTGCAATTATAAACGACATGGCGTTTTCGCAGCCGCTTAAGTAAGGGGGGGGGGGCGGAGACGATTGGACCCCTAACCTCTCGGCCTCTGAGCTGGAGCTTTGCAGGAAAACGAGCGTGTTGTCCGTGGCAATAAGAAGCCGCTGCTATATCTAGTTTTAACCCGCGCACCGACGGGGGTCTGCGCCAACTTCGCACCGACGGGGGGGGGGGGCGGATGACCGCCCCCCTGAGATCTCGAGAACGAAGCAAGATAGCGACAAGCGGTAAACGGCATCGGATACGCACGGCCAAGATCTACAATTTTTACTAAGGTCATTTTCAGGTCAGGTCAAAGATGACGTCACAGGGGTCGAAAAAGTCAAAATGGCGGCGCTAGATATGGAGAGAGTTTTTCTCGAATAACTTTCGAATTAGTCAAGATAGGAACAAACTAAGGGCATCATCGTGATCCTCTCGTCAATCCGCATCGAATGATGTATATGTTGACCTCGAAAGGTCAAGGTCAAAGGTTGACCTCAGGTCACGTGACCTCAAGGTCATCATGTATATCATTCGATGCGTCTTGACGAGCTGAACACAATGAGACCATCAACGCGTCTGTATCTTGTTCCTGTACGGAGTTATTGGCCAAAAACCTTTAATGACCTTTGATGACGTCACTTGACCTCACAGCTGCCCAACAGCAAAACAGACCTCAAGGTAGTGAAGGTTAATCGTATATGAAGTCATGTATGGTATATGGGGCCATTCCGACCCGTTTTAGTGGTAAAAACAGGGAGTTGATTTTTCCCCCATTGACTTATAATGGGGAGGTCGCGAAATTGACCTGACCTTAGGTCACCGATATCAAAATTCCGAGATATACAAATTGTAGCTACTAATGACCTAATAATATCCTGCGACTTTCAAAGGCCTCCGACATCTACTGTAGCTCTGGCACGGTGACAAAGTTGCAAAAAAGTGACTTGAGGTTGGGTCATTCAAAGTGACCTGGTGACCTGACCTTAAAAGGTAGGAGGTTCAAACTTGCACACCATGTGTAAAATTAATGAGATTATAGTCATACCAAATTTCGCGGCGCTACGCGCCGCGGTTTTCCCGCTATTCGCGAAAAACCCCAGGGGGGGGGCGGATATCCGCCCCCCGTCGGTGCGCGGGTTAAGGTTCTACTTCTTGGTCATTGAGTCTCATTCAAGAGGTCAATGACAGGTGGTGAGAAAATCGGAACCTACCATAACCTCTTGAAGTGACATTTTATGACCCAACATTATCTCCAAAAAAGCTCAAAGCCATCGGTCATCTGGGTCCAGGTCATGATATTTTCAGGGCAGGTAAAAACAAAATGTTCGGCTCGAGGATACAGTTTTGTCGTGATCCAACGCCGTTCGCGTGAATTTATCACGACCCCATGATAACCTTAAGTCAACCGAATTTGAAAAACCGGGATACATATGAGTCGTTTTCACGATGGCTATCTGGTACACATTTAGTGCATATTAGGTGCATATTTGGTCAAATTAGGTTCGCACTTGTTTTAGTAGGCATCGAGCTTAGGAAGCTATCGTTGATCAATGATCATTTGAATGATTCATCAAGCTATCAGACGTTAATTTACATTAAAACGTTCCTTGGTCACGCTCGTTCGTTAGATGTCTGTACTGCACCACAAACGAATGAAATATGTGCGGCGTGGCAGCTTAGTATTAGGTATTTGTGACTACGCTAACTGAATTGCGAATTTTATGTTTTTCAACACATATTTTAATTTCATTTATTTATTTCAGTGTTTTGAATAAGCATTTACATCTGATACCTTGATAAATTATTCAAATGATCAACGATTGCTTCTTAACCCACGCCATGCTGCAGGGGTTTTCACGCCCTCTCCCCCTCAGGTTTTTCGCCAACGCGCCGCCACCATTTTTGGTACACCTGTTGATACATCTTTTCCGCACATCTTCTGAAAATTTCAGACCCGGGTCGTTCAAGGTCAGGTCACCTGGTCACGTCAAGTGACCTTACCTCAGAAAAAAAGGTTCAAAGGCTCGCTGTAGCTACACCGACTGAACGATCACTTCGAAACTTTCAGAGATTGATAGAAGTAACAGTATGTATTAAATTTATACCTCGGATTTTTGACGTCTGTGGCCTAAGGTCAGGTCAATTTTGCGACCTCTCCGTTAGGGATACCTAAGTCAATGGGAGAAAATTGAAATGCGCCTCTTTTGGCCGAATGCCGTTCTAAATCCTCTCAAACATCGGTTCATCGATTCAACCATGACACACTAAATTGGGAAATTGCAGCTGTGACCCCTCTGTGTGCCCCTGAGGTCATCTTAGGTCATAAAAGGTCACCAGCAGTTTTTACTATGAATTTTGATAGAGACCTGCTAGAGCGGTGAAAACAAGTCAGATATGTTCAGCTCGACGATACGGATCGATTGATATGCAACATGACCCTTTCCGGTCAGGTCATGACCTTGACCTAACGTCAAATTTTCAAAATGACCTTTAAGGTCAACTTATATTTCATTCGACGCGTCTCGACGAGGGGAACACGATACTGACATAATTAATGTCGTGGCTCTCTTGAGTCAAAAGTTATTACCGAAAAGCTTATTTCGTGAAAACGGCAATTTTTAATGTTTGCCCATTGGAGGCTAAACCGTTGATCTGAGGTCAAATCATAGAACGAGAGTCAGAAAGCCCTTTGAAAGAGCTATCGAATGCGCTTTTCCGCGATGCTGTAGCTCTGTTGGTTCCCGAGTTAGCCGTGGAGTGTTTCGAAAATTGTTAAAATAGACAAAATGTGACTTTTGATGACCTCTGGTGACATGACCTTTGACCCGACCTTAAACATGACTGAAGTATTTCCGCCATTATTTTTGACGCTCTTGCGATTGCCACTTACCGCGTGTCGCTACGTGGCCCAGGAACCGAGTTAGACGGGGGGCGTGAAAACGCCTCCCCCCAGCACGACACTGAAAACTCAGGCCACCAGCACCGGCGCGGGTTAAGCTGGCAACCTACTAAATGAACCTATGAACCTGATTTTGCCAAATCTGCACCAAATGTTCACCAAACATGCACCAAATTTGTATTAGCTAAGTAGGCGTCATGAAACTGGCTATTATGGCACCCGGTTAAGCTTAATATATTTTGCAAGTTTGAATCAAATCGATGTAAAACTCTAGGATTCATGGAAACATTTCAGTGCTATTTTGACAGTGTACCGGTTTTGGTGACCTGATGACCTGACCTGAGGTCATTGGGACTCAAAATTCACAGCGTACGTGTCAGTTGAATGCCCCAAGCGATGTCTGAAATTTGGTGGCGCTATAACGTACCACAGTGCTCACGCTATTAACGAGAAACTTTGTGATTCTGTTGCCGCCAAACCAGTCCAATTTTACCCTCACCTTGTACCGTTTTTTTTTCGACCCTGGTGACCTGAATTGAAATGAATGGAACCTGAAATTTTCAGGAAATATGTCAAAAGGATGCTTTAGAAGGTACGCACAATTTTGAAGCGCTATGCGCTGTCATTTTTACGCTATGTGCGAAAAAATATCTAGGAGTTGCATCAACTCTCTGGCCGGGCGAGGGGGAAAGAACATATTTTGATATCATGTCGACAACTTCTGACACATTCTACGGTTAGACAAGCATTGTTGATGAACTCAAATTCCAGCATTATTTCATTTAGATCACAATTAATTAAGTGTTCTATATATCCGTAAAAATATACTTTTTTAAGCATACATAAACCGCTCTATTTTGCAAATGTGGTCTATCCCATAGGGTAATTTCGTAAAGGCGGTCTTGGATGCTGCAAGGAAGGGGATGTTTCACCTAATGGCTGATTAAAAAAAGCACGGATTTCTTCCTCTTGAGAAGCACTGATGTACATTTTAAAACAGTTTTTTCCTACCAAAGTTGTTCAATATTCCTTCTACTCTAGAAAAAACGGTACATTTTCATCGATTTGAGGCGTCGCAGGCATTCGCCACAAATGCCCCTTGGATCCGCCAGTGGTTAATCCTGAATTTGAATCGAAAGTGTCTGCCAACGTCAGTCATTAGGTATACACTTCAAACACTCTTCTTCCTACATTATCTCATTCTTCCTATCTTCCGAGCTTATCCCCATACCATATATTCCACACCGTTTGACTTCTTCTTCATCATGTCTGAAATTTGTGGCCAAACAAACTCGCCAGGTTTATATTCCAACTGTAAATGGCTTGTAGCATGCCGACATTGTTTCAGGGTTGAGGGACATTAAAGTTCTTAACGTCCCGAAGAAATGACGGGACTTGCTGATTTAATGGACGCTGAATGGCAAGTTATGCAAACTTATCTACCTTATAGCTCTGTGGGTACTTTTGCAAGTGCATGCCACACGGCTTTAGAACGTCAAGTGTATAATCAGTACACTGGTAACCCGGAAGTCATTGCTAAACAGCGCTGATTGGAACTAATATCGTATATTTGCAGAGGGGGATGAAAGGATTCCTTGCTTTTTTCGAAAAAGTTTGTCCTGTACGAAACGACTTGACCATTGGGTGAAGACAGCATAGGCAGATCCAGAAAGGCGGTATCGGACGCTGTGGGGGTGGCATATCCCTAAAAAGTTTCTACAAATTCCAAAAACTCCTCGGATTTCGGTTCCTTACGCATTGTTGTGCAGTTTAGACTACCGTAAAGTGGGGCTATTTGAGACAGTGGGGCTATTTGAGACAGCATTCAAAATCGCTATAAAATGAAGATCGTTTGATTTTTGTGTGATATTTTTGCTTAGGGAGGTGTGGAATCGAGCAGTTATTCGCCTGAGCAAAAATTAAGCATAAATTTCAGACGGTTTTTATTTTATAACAATTTTAAATACTGTCTCAAATAGCCCCACTGTCTCAAATAGCCCTACCTTACGGTATCCCTAATGAAACTTGTCAAGTTATCTTTCTATTCTAGAAAACACGACACATTTTAATCGATTTCGGGCGCTCCGAGGGGGCATTTGCCCCACGTTCCCCCTTGAATCCGCCAGTGGGTGAAAGATGGCAAATGTCACTTCATTGGATCATTAATTCAATGGTACCTAACTTGTACATTGTTCACTGTCCAGGGGTACAGGGGTGAGTAGGTACCCACATAGGTACACTCGGGGGCAGATTGATGTTCCACCACTCCCTACCCATCGGACTCCCATGGATCAGCAGTGGCTGCTGCCAGTGTTGCCTGCCCTCAGCACTGCTCAGCACTGCCTGCTAATGCCAGTGCTGCCAGTCCTGCCACTGACAGCAGCCAGTGCGGGAGCCATGGGAGCCCGATGGGTAGGGAGTGGTGGAACATTAATCTGCCTAGTGCTGCCAGTCCTGCCACTGACAGCAGCCAGTGCGGGAGCCATGGGAGCCCGATGGGTAGGGAGTGGTGGAACATTAATCTGCCCCCTACCCATCGGGCTCCCATGGCTCCCGCACTGGCTGCTGTCAGTGACAGGACTGGCAGCACTGGCATTGGCAGGCAGTGCTGAGCAGTGCTGAGGGCAGGCAACACTGGCAGCAGCCACTGCTGATCCATGGGAGCCCGATGGGTAGGGAGTGGTGGAACATCAATCTGCCCCCGAGTGTACCTATGAGGGTACCTACTCATCAGATAAATAGCTTTGGAACTTAGAAGAGGTTGGCCACTAGAAGAATGGTTCATCACGTACGTACGAACTAATGTCTGCTTTTACACATCGTTTGAAATCGGTAGTTGTGCGAAATTAATTGAAGACTCTTGGCGTCATTAAAGGAGTTATACCTTCTACTGTCCTCAAATAAGTTTTTTTTTTTTGCTACAGTTTGACGATTTTTTATGCTTAAAATGATCAGAAAAGAAAATATTTACAAAAGGAATGTTTAAAATATTGTCATATAAGAAGCACTAAATTCCATCTTCACTAGAGGCTAAATAGTGTTTGCCGCGAACAGTAGCGGCGGAACACCTTCAATTAACAATCGTATTGCGTAGTTCAAAACCAACTGCATCCTGATTGGCTGAGCTTGGCCTCTGCGACAGGTGGCTGCATTCTTGGCATTCTTCTACGAGTGACACATTCCTGCACGACGCACTTTTTCGGACAAAAAATGGAATATCTTTACCTTCATAAGGTGATCGTTGGGCTGTAAAAGCTCCTGATTTGTACGAGTCCCAGCTCAAGCTACAAAACTGCTCTTCCACTTTAAAACCCTGTGCTAGAAGTAGTATATTTCCTTTAACCCTCGCCCCGCTGGGGGGGGGCAATTTGCCCCCTTGTGTTTTTTCCTGAAAAGTAAGAAAACGGCGGCGCGCAGAGCTGCTAAATTTTCGGTACTTTTCCGGGCTTCAATTTGACACCTTCACACCAAATTTCAAGTCTTAGGTCACCTTAGGTCAGGAGTTATTGAGGTCAAACTGAGGTCATGTTCGAGCAAAAATGAGCAAAAAACATGAAATCTTGAAACGCTCACAAAAGCTACAGTTACCAAGCAATTTCAAAGTCCTTTATATGGTCATGTAGACAAAAGACAGCGCTACAACACTGCTATCTCGGATTTTCAAAACTTTGGGATTTTGACCCCTAAAAATAAAAAAAAATTGTTTTTTTTAAGAAAAACTCAAAACAATTCTAGAATTTACGGGATTACGAAAAAAAACAGAATATGTGTGATATTCCCTGCGTTTTTCTATATACATAGCAAATTTTAGATCAATGCCTCCTTTTTTGGCCAAGTTATAGCGAAAAAACTGTTCAAAATTGATGACGTCATATTTTAAACTCAATTTTTAGCAATTCTAGACCACGTAGCGCAAAACAAAAACCACCATTGAACTCCCCGTGACAAGCTGCATCGAATCGATACCCATTTTATGCAAAAATATCAACTTTGAAATTTGACCTAATTTGACCTGACCTCTGTGACCTCACCTGGTATGGGTGACCTCAAATAGCACAATATGTGTTAGGCGAACATTCCCCCATCGATGATTTTCAATTAAATGCATTTTACTCGATTTTACAACGCATTTCTTGAAATGCCTGTAAACGGTGAAAATTCGACATTTGACCTGACCTGTGACGTCATCGGTTTGACCTAGGTCAACGAAATTTAGTCACAAGGTAGTTCCCTGATGGGGCTATCCAACACCGTTTGCCGCTTGTCGCTATGTAGCGTGGTTCTCGAGATCTTAGGGGGGGGGGGGCAAATTGCCCCCCCCCCCAGCAGGGCGCGTTGATCGGCAGACCCCAGCGGGGCGCTGTATTATTCATTTAGTCTTTATTCAAGGTATATCAAAATAGGCATACGAAAAATGGTCGGTACGGTAGTCAGTAAGTAACGTTGGCTTTTGGCCGGGGTGTAATTCTATGTATATCTCTTTGTGGGGGCAGATGCACCCACAATCCTGAATTGTGCCCCCACAGTGATGAAAATTCACCCACAAGTCTTTGACAAGCGTCCTTTCGAGAGCACGGCGCCCTTCGCATGATCTAACGGCGTCCTCCTAGTCCTGACCGTCTCGCGTTCCTGGATAATATAGCGTTTTTAATCACTCGGCGCCTTTCTGGGAGAATGGCGCCCTTTTGACAGCACCGCGGTATTCTCATGGTCTACGGGCGCCCTCCTGACCGTCTCGCGCCCTTATGTCCATGTCCACCGTGCATCGCTCGACTGTGCGGCGCCCTTCTAAGAGAATGGCGCACTTTTCATGGTCTCACGGCGCCCTCGTCACCGTCTGGCGCCCCTACATTTGGCGCCCCTCCAACTGGATGTTTTTTTTTTGACGCCCTTCCGGTCACTTTACACTTTTAACCGTGTATTTGCTTAGTCAGACATGTCACTTAAAGCGCCCTTCGGCTAGCAATGTTATCAAATTTGGTTGTTTATTTAGGCTCCCACATAAAGAATATCAATTGTGCCCCAAAACGGCCTCGCGCCCCAACAGCTGGGCACCCACAATCATTTTAGGAAAATTACACCCCTGGGCTTCTGGTAAAAATGATTTGATGCTCACAACACTGACATAACTGACAAAGCACCAGTCCCCATTTGCATTTTTCAATGGCCCCATTCGCTCATCGCATTCGGCAACAACTCGGCATTATCCGCATGAGTGAATCGTGGGTATCGTCTACTTACGCAATGATTACGTATATTTAGGTGATGCTACTGTGCAATAAAATAGAAATAAAATGTACGGATAGTAAAAATAAATTACAAAATATTAATGTTATTGCATAAAGACTGAATACTCACGACAAAGCGGTACCGCACAGCGTCCCGTCGTCTCACACTCTGTCCACAGGGCCGCCTGGGCCATCTGAAACACACGACACACGACACACGCTCAGTTTTCGTTCGTAGTGATCCTCCCTTGGGTCATCCGCAACACACGGCGCCGGGAGGTTCTGTTTTTGCATTGCGCTGCTTACCGCTGCTAATGACCGATTCGCATCAAAATAGCTGTAAAGACTTAAAAATATACATGCAATCTTATGGTGAAAGACATACGAAAATCACCAGGTAACCTTTTTGAGTCACGAGTGTGAAAACACAAAATTGTGACTAAAATGATTCCCGCGTCGGCTGTTCCTCGCCTCAACCGAAGACATCTTACCTACTCTTAGAAGAGTTTTAATTCCCATTATTTTGTCTTGATAACTCAAATGAATGCAAACCCAAATGCTTACTCAAAATTATAATCTATATGTGCCTTCGTAAAGTGAAAAAAAAAATAGGCCGGGATCTCTTTGAGGTATGGGCGTATAAACACAGAATAGACCCTCATCGGGCAAATATGATCCAGTTTGACCTCAATGGAACCTGAAGCTATTGACCAAATGCCATACAAATAGCATGCAATAGACCCCACCGCTCCCACCCACCCTTCAAATTCCGTCTTTCTAGCTTCAGCGGGAGCTGAGATCTTAGAGGTGGTCGACATTCCTCCCCCTTCTACTGGGCGTAGTTCTCAGAACCCTTCCACTGCGCGTGTTAACCCTCTTCGGCCTATATGTTTTCCACATACCGCGAGGGATGGTGGCAACGCCCTCGTCGTTTTGCTTCTAAAGGCCTCCCCACTCTGTACCTCGCATGCGGGTTGCAAGTTTGTGGTTTGACGTTTTTTTTAAGTTAGAGAATACATTCTACGTTGAGTGATCCACACTGCCAACTAGCGAGGGAATCGGCGAGCTTTTGACTTGCGAGCGACCTCGTGTCGCATTTCAAAAGTTGACTTTGAATCAACTTTCGGTCTTCCTCCCTGCGAGGGCTGCGAGTTTTGATGTGTTTTGTTGTAGTCGGTCTGGTTCGTGGTGCTGTTATTGAGATAATACGTGATTTTCTGAAGATGTATCGGCTTCACAGCATTCATGGAGTCTTTATAAGAAAATAGTGTGCTCACTCCATGAATGAACATTGGGTATGATACCCGCAAACCCGTAATTCACAGACTCGCAAACCGCATGCGAGCTCCAGTGTGGGGCGGCCTTAACTTAGCTGGAGACTCGTGGAAAACACGAGCGTGTGCGGCGATACGAGATGCAGCGACTGGTACCCGATAAACCTCGACTTCGGGGACCTCTGAGGTCAGTTCAAGTGACCCAAAATAGGGGTTTGGTTTTTGGTGAATAATTTCGCAAAAAAATGGTTGCTGATCCGCGATTTTGTCACTATCTGTCATGATCGGGCACGTCGACTGGTGTGCTTTTTGTTCGGGACACGTCACCCTACGGGGTTCGTGTTGACCTAGGTCAAGCTGAGCTCAGCGGCTCTCATGTCACGAAGCTTGTCCAATAGAGTTTTTATTACCTGGATATCTATAAATGCAGTTGTAATGAGACTCAGAAGTGGCCGTGAATCTAGCAAACAGTCGCGGTTCACAGAGTTTCCTCCGGTGAGCTGTGCTGCTATCGCACAGCTCACCGGTGCTGTGCGGTGAGCTGTGCTATGACTCACATCGTTAAAGTGAGTCAGAAAACTCAAACTGTGCTAACATTTTTTACAGTATACTGGTGTGACCAGTGACCTTTCCCGCTCAGTGCTCAGTGCTCAGTGCTTACCTCAGCCGCGCCCACCGTCGAGCCGCGGTACACATCAAAGTAGTTGACGCCGGCGTCCCTCTGGAGCTCGCTGAATCCGCCGCCGGCCTGACAGAGCGCCTTTCCAAGCAGCTGGCAGCCGGCGGTGCCGTCGGGCAGCTGGCCGTAGTTGAAGCTGACACAGTCGGCCCGGCGCACACACCGGGCCAGGCAGTGGGCGCGCCGCGCCAGCGTCGGTCCGGCCGGCACTGTCTGCAGCGGGGTCAGCGGCAGCAGGCCGGACCGGTGCAGCCCGGCAGCCGAGTGGGACTCCACGGCGCACCGGCCGTCCTGCAGCATCAGCACCAGCGCCAGCACCGCCACCAGCAGCCGCGGGCGGACAGTCTCCGGCGACATGGTGTTCCGCGCGGGCCGCACTGCGCTGCCGACTGGCGCCCTGGACGGGGCCGTCTGCGCGCGGCCTGCCCCTCTGTTTACCGGACACCGGTCGGCATGGTGCCGCCGCTGTCCAAAGGCTGGCCATGTCACCACACGCAGAAGGTGTCGGCACCTCAAGCGAGGAGGAGGACGACACTCGACCCCTGCACTTATTGCCTACCTCGCACTTATCCCTCGCCCCGCTGGGGGGCAATTTGACCCCCCCCCCCCCTGTGGTTTTTCCTGAATAGTAAGAAAACGGTGGCGCGCAGCGCCGTCAAATTTTCAATACCTTCCTATGCATAAATTTGACACCTTCTCACAAAATTTCAGGTCTTAGGTCACCTTAGGTCAGGAGTTATTGAGGTCAAACTTAGGTCATGTTTGAGCAAAAATGAGCAAAAAACATGGAATCTTGAAATGCTCATCAAAGCTACAATTACCAAGCAATTTCAAAGTAAATACGGCGCTACAAAATTGCTATCTCGGATTTTCAAAATTTTGGAATTTTGACCCCCAAAATTAAAAAAATTGATTTTTTGAGAAAAACGCTAAAAAAGCAAATTTTTACGAATTTCGAAAAATGGAATGTATGTGATAGTCCCTGCGCTCTTCTATACATATACCAACTTTTAGATCGATACTTCTTTTTTTTGGCCAAGTTATAGCGAAAAAAACTTCAAAATTGATGACGTCAACTTTCTGAACTCAATTTTTAGCAACTCTAGACAACGTAGCGCAAAACAAAGACCACCATTGAACTCCCCGTGACGAGCTGCATCGAATCGATATCCATTTTATGCAAAAATATCAACTTTGAAAATCAACAACTTTGACCTAATTTGACCTGACCTTGACCTGAACTTCACCAGAACATATTAACTGACCCCAAGGGCTGCCTGGCCCACATAATCGCATTGAGCATATAAAATGGACCATAAACATGCATCACGTGATATTTTGATATTGACCTTCAGTGACCTGACCTCTGTGACCTGACCTGGTATCAGTGACCTAAAAAAGCAAAATATGTGTTTGACGAACATTTCCCCATCGATGATTTTCAATGAAATGCATTTTACTCGATCGTACAACGCATTTCTTGAAATGCCTGTAAACGGTGAAAATTCGACATTTGGCCTGACCTGTGACGTCATCGGTTTGACCTAGGTCGATGAAAATGGGTCACAAGGTAGTTCCCTGTTGGGGCTATCTAACACCGTTTGCTGCTTAAGTCGCTATGTTGCGTGGTTCTCGAGATCTTAGATTTGGCATAGTGGCAAAGTCACCCCTTTTCAGTTTAACTTTGCCACGACTCATTTTCCTTAAAAAATTATATTTTTAGGCAAGATATAAATACGATAATGGCAAAACCCAAAGAGGTAATCTTCACCCGTGTTTTGAACATATGTAGAGTCATCCCAATAAGTTCACAAGTTTAAAGAATGCAAGCGTCTAAAGTTGAAAACATGGCAAAGTCACCCCCGGCCCCGTTTACGGTATATCATTCGATGCGTCTTGACGAGACGAACACAATGAGACCATCCGCGCGGCTGTATCGTTTCGGTCTCAGAGACCGAGCCGAGGGAGGGGGGCCAATTGCCCCCCCCCCCCGCCAAGAGGGCGCGTTGCTCGGCAGGCCCCGTGGCGGGATATTTGACAATATTTTGTGTTTACTGTTTGTTTCGTGGTTATTAACTGTCGTCATTCATCACGTAATTAATCGGGGGGTGGGGAGCCCCCTCCCCTCCCGTTTTCCTGCAGTATAACTTCTAAACCGCTTGACGTATCGACGCCAAACTTTCAGTATCTTCGACTGCTTCCATTTGACACCTGAGCCTCGTTTCATAAAGCGAGTCCGTAACTTACGCCGGTTTTTGATCTTGTTTTTCAAGTGCATTTGAAGAGATGAATTTATTTCCCGTTCTCCCGTCTGTTCTTGCATGCAAGATCAATAAATTCAACGGTTCAAACTATCGTCATCGCTTCACATGCACTCGCAATACAAGACCAAAAACCGGTGTAAGTCACGGACTCGTTTTATGAAACGAGGCCCTGGTGTCAAAATATGACTTCGTAGCTACCATAGGTCGGCCGTAAATGACATCAGAGTGACCTCATGTTCGGCCGATGTCGACGCAAAACATTGAGCCACGGCAATCGCTCCCAAGAGCTCAGTTTTTAAAACACGCGCACCGACGGGGGGGCGGATATCCGCCCCCCCCCCTGAGATTTTTCGCGAATAGCGGGAAAACCACGCGCCGCGAAATTTGGTACGACTATTCTCTCATCAATTTTACACATGGTGTGCAAGTTTGAACCTCCCAACTTTTAAGGTCAGGTCACCAGGTCACATTGAATGACCCAACCTCAAGTCACTTTTTTGCAACTTTGTCACCGTGCTAGAGCTACAGTAGATGTCGGAGGCCTTTGAAAGTCGCAGGATGTTATAAGTCATTAGTAGCTACAATTTGTATATCTCGGAATTTTGATATCGGTGACCTAAGGTCAGGTCAATTTCTCGACCTCCCCATTATAAGTCAATGGGGAAAAATCAACTCCCTGTTTTTACCACTAAAACGGGTCGGAATGGCCCCACATACCATACATGACTTTATGTATACATGTATACGATACATGTATACGATATACGTACATGTATACGTATACATACATGTATACGATCAACCTTCACTTCCTTGAGGTTTGTTTTGCTGGTGGGCAGGCGGCAGCTGTAAGGTCATGTGACGTCATCAAAGATCACCAAAGGTTTTTGCCAATAACTCCGTACAGAAAAACCATTATCGGTGTTTAAGCTTTAAAATTAGTCTCACTATTGAAACCAGTTTTCAGCCCGATCCCTGCAATTTCGGTCTCACTTGAATCCAGCGTTCAGGCTAAAAGTACATGAGCCCTAAAAGAAAGCCTTACTGAAACCGGTTTTTTAATCAGACACATTTGAGGCTTGTTTCAGCACTCAATTGAGTCTTTATTCAAAAATGCTCTCAAAGTGTTTTCTGAGTGTAGCTTCTTCTAGGACATGAAGAAGATGTTCTTGGTTTTATATGAATCCAACTCAGAGCCAGACATAAAGATGAAACACGGCGATCTTGAGGCGACTTGGTTGATGGTATTTGCCAGGGAATAAACACATTTTTTTAGTTCTCAATATTCGGTCTTGTCTTTTCCACTTCTTTCAGGACGCTTGTGCTATTAGGCGTAAACTTAACGGCATACGGCAAAATAAATATGATCACACTTGGGCCGGAAATGAAATCCGGAATATTTCATACAGGGCCTCGGGCTTGGTTGATTCGTTGATTTTCCGCCCTTGAACTTCGGTCTAGTGCGGCAAACTCAACAAATCCCTATTCCCTCGGTCCCGAATGAAACATTTTACCGGCCGGCGTGTGATGTAGGTACCTTTATACAGCAAGCCCAGCTACAGTGCACTATGTTTTAGGGCCTTGGTGCACAGTAACTGAAATAGTTCCAAGACGCTCCACCAGAGTAGCGCCACTGGTAGCCGTGGTGCAGCATAAAAACTTCACCCGTCGAATATGGTAGCCGCAACTCTCGCCAAACATGACGCATTTCGCTCAAATACAACTTGCTTCTTTGTGGCATGGTTGTGGTTTGGTTGTGGTCAAGATTCTTACAGATAAGGTTGGGACGCCAGTCACGTGACATTTTCTTTCAATTGGCACCCCATGCGAAACTTTTCCCAACCCCGTGTATAGCGCTCGGACGAAAAGGAATAACCTTGGTGCCGGCGGTGCCGGCGCCGTGAAGACATTTAGTATTTTGTATTGTATTGTACACTGATACTGATACTGATACTGATGGTGACGCCCTTATTTATATATAACACAATTGTGTCCTTGCTTTTATTGACAAAAATGCTGGCGCAAGTTTGAATAGTGCAATTCAAATTATCATTGGGATGATTTAGTAGCCAAACACGTTTTTTGCCATTTCTTCAACAAATATCTGTCATAAAAATGACACTGATTCACTGCTCAGTTGTCTTTTGGATCTAAGTAGCATCAGTAAACAAGACTAGTTTATTGTTCTCTAAAAGCTGAAGCAGTTCAAAATGACTTTGATGCTTACCGATCTATTAGATGATACAAGCCTTTAGGGCCTTGATACAAACATTATAAAATTCACTAAATGCCCTGGCACCGAGTTTCTCAGATGTCCATACTATTTCATATGTAAAAAATGGCTCGCATTGTAGACGTGGCTTTATTGTGATGCATTGCTGCTGATTGGGAGTAAGTAAGTACGTACCTTATGCCTTGTACTATTGGTCTCAAGATAAGGGCCCAGTCGACCTGCAGTTTTGATGTGGTGAATACCCTTGCCCTCGCCACAGCTCAGGCTGAGTGTACCCCTCCTTCCACTCAGTGGCCCAGCGCCACCCCCACTCGAGTTGTGGCAAGGGCGAGGGTATTCACCACATCCATACTTAAGGTCGCCTGGGCCCTTATCTTGAGACCAATAGTACCTCGTAGGATACGAGTTGCGATGTCTTCTTCACCTGTCTTGCTTGCTCTTTGATTGAATTTCTCTATCTTCTAGATCATCTGTGATACTGCTGATGCAATAAAATCCTAGTAATGTTGCTCAACAAGATAATGAATGTAGGGATGTATGCACTCTGTTTGCTGTTTTGGTACAAATGCCTCTCTGGTCAATAAAAGCAGGTGTTTTCTTTGCAGTTTGTTAATTTATTGTGCAAGGCAATTTTACTTCCAAATGCCAAAGCTTTTTTACAATGGTACTCAATCCAACACTATTTTCTGAAGGCCATGTTACTGAATACTGACTAACCTAAATACTTGACTAGTAAGGCTCAAAACAATATTTAATGCATTATCTATGCAAACCAGACTCCACCAAGTTACAACCAAAGTGGGGCATCTTACCATACCTGTAATGTAAAATGTCCCTTATCAGTTGAAAGTGTACTTAGATATGTCAGGATGACAACTTGTGGTGTTAAGTTCAATAAGGTTCAGTCAGTCTCCATCTCCAACGTACTACTTCCGAAAAAACAAAAAGCGAGTACCTGTGCCATTTATTGATTACTGGGCTGCAGATGTACAGTGCGCAGACGAACGTTGAAAACGGCGAGCCGTCGCGCTTGGGGAACGAAGCCAGCGGCCACGTATTATGCTAAGTACTTTCCAACTACCTCACTCAAGTTATTTGGTTAGGTCATAATGATAAAACGCAATTCATATCAGAGCAAACTCCAGGCGTAGTTTATATAGCTGTTAAGCATAACTCGTTTTGACACCCTTTAATAGTACAGCATGTGGTTTGGCACGTTAACACCACAAAGTCATCAACAAAGCAAACCAGACTTAGCAGACTGGAGAACAAATTAGGCTCAACGAGGATTCGCCTCGTGACCGATTACAGAAATAATCATTGAAAGAAACCTGGCTATCAAAGCGATATCGTGTGGAAACGTTGGAGTCGGCCCGCCCGGAATCTCGGCTCCCCGCCGAGGATGCAGGGCGACTCCCGGCAGCTCTTGTACCAACGCCAAGCGAGGTCGGAGCCAGTCGCGAAGTGGGCGCGCCGTCGGACAAGATGAGGGCCCGCGCGCACCGTTTGGACGACGGCCGATAACCTGCCACAGGGGGAGGGGGGGGGGGGGGGGTCGTACATGTATGTTAGTGAGTGGTGAAGAAAAGAGCAGAAATGAATAACGTGTACTCTTAACAATTGATCACAAATGTAGTCACTATGATGAGCCATCAAGAGCCATACGAAAGCGTCACGCCGACGTTCACATTCCGGAAATGAGTATACGCAAAGCGAAATACATTTGCAACTACACATACGTTATACACGTCATATAAAAAGTAACATTATCAGCTCCAGATCGACTCACCCCCGTCATCTCGCAGCTTGGCATCTGCGACACCAGCTCCGGGTGGGTTGCAGTACGGCCGGGTGCAGCGGCGTGCGACCGTCACGGCAGGGCGGCCGCCAGCCCTGCAGTACGGCCAGGTACAGCGGCGTGCGACCGTCACGGCAGGGTGGCCGCCAGCCCTGCAGTACGGCCAGGTACAGCGGCGTGCGACCGTCACGGCAGGGCGGCCGCCAGCCCTGCAGTACGGCCAGGTACAGCGGCGTGCGACCGTCACGGCAGGGCGGCCGCCAGCTCCGGGTGGGCTGCAGTACGGCCAGGTACAGCGGCGTGCGACCGTCACGGCAGGGTGGCCGCCAGCCCTGCAGTACGGCCAGGTACAACGGCGTGCGACCGTCACGGCAGGGCGGCCGCCAGCCCCAGGTGGGCTGCAGTACGGCCAGGTACAGCGACCGGTAAGAGCGTCGCACAGCCCAACGTCAGGAAACGTCAGCAGCAATGAAGCCGCTCACAGGTGGGACGCTCCGCGTGCAAACTGCTTAGCTTTCAAGAAGCGCCGCTTAGTCGCCACCACAGGCTTCGAGGATGTAGATGGCTTCTGAGCCTGACGGGCCACCAGCATCTGAATGTGGTCGTTCCGTCGGAGTCCCGCCGCATGTCGCAGTCGAATGAAGGTTCGCAGTCGTGAATACAGGGTGATGACGCGAAGGTCAAGCCGTGGCCACTTGAAGCTGAGCAAGTAGCAAGTAGCAACATAATGAGTATTGTGATACATCTGAGATCTGATGAAATGATTGAAGTCATGAATTTCCATTTCAGACTGACCAAGGATCATCTAAACTTGATGCAATTTCGAAACTGACAAACGTAAGACAATATGTGCATGAACATGAGAGGAATTTAATAATTTGAAGCTCATTTAATGTTAAGCTGTTTGGATTAAATTATTAGCATTCAATTTGACCTTCATCTTAGCATTACCATTATTGAATTATTCTAGTTTACAAGTGATGAGTATGAGGCTAGTTACAACAACAAGATTACCTTCTCTTGAAGTCATTCCAAGCAAATAGGGTTGGACCAGCTTCTTTCTTGCCATTCCTAAAATGACAAGAGCACACTCTTGAATGCTCATTGGGCTTTGCATCTTGTCTCCTGTGAAAAAGCAAAGCAATAAAGTTGGTTCTATTAGCAGAAAATGAATCAGACAGCATGGCCCTGCTTCACGGCAAGCCGTAGTTTCCTACTCAACGCAGCTGGACATTGGTGCTCATTTTCAAAAGAATTTAGAAATGTCAGTGAAATATCTAAACAATTTTGCCAGCATTTCCATTTGGACAGAATTTTGTCAGCATTTCCATTTGAACCTGAATGTGGGTAGCAGCGTGCAGTGAAACAGGGCCCTGCTCAGCAATGCTAAGCAAAGGGTGGAAACAAACAGTTGAAAATGAAAAGACAAACGAGCTAGAGCAGCATCTCCACACCAGCAGACTTCCTACATCAACCAATCTACAAATACACACCAGCAAGCACCAAGCAAAATCAGCAATTTTTACAACCAAATGTACCTACCTAGAGATTTGGGTAGGTACAAGTGGAGCAGACGTCACACGAAGGTTTTCCAGCTAAGGAGAGGCGCTATACCCGGAGATGCTTCTTTCTAACCTAAACGCTGGTGGTGTTAGCGCCTTCACCCACTGTTCTGGAGGCACCACCGAGATCCGAACTCAGGATCTCCTGTTTACCGGAAAACAAACATAACCTAACCTGGCCTAACCTACAAACCTACAGCGCCTATCTTTGGTTGGAAGGCCTTTGCGTGACGTCTGCTCTACTAATGCCAAAATTTGTACTTTTGGTAAGATTAACTGCAACAAAAGGTATTGTACCATTTGAGAAACAAAGAAATGTGCCGACTGAAAAAATATTGATACAAAGAATTGCAGGGACAAACATTTTCCTGACAAGTAATTGCGCAATGAAGAAATAGGTAAGGTACTATATCTAAAAAGTCATAAAAGCAGCAATATCACGATAATAAACAAAAGGAGATATCACAATGTCGCATGACGAACCTCATCAGTGTAGTCCATTTCTTCAACTCCCCCTCGTCCCGGGGCAATCGGAAGAACAAGGAGCACTTGGACTGGGACCTGGCGCTGGAATGACTGCATTGAGGCACAAAACAAAAAGGCATATTTGCTCCTTAGATGTAAGACTGACTCATCTCCGAGATTATTCGCCCCATTCCCCAACAGCACTCAAACTCGATGAAAAAAGCGGGAAAAGCCAAGGAAAAGCCAAAAGGGCGACTCAATGCACATTCCTGATTAGCTGTTCAAAGTGCACTTTCATAAATATACGGAATGCGCTGATTGGCTTTAACGTGATGCGCTAACGTCAATCAGCGTGAAAAAGCAGCCGTAAGCGGTTTTTCGAATATATATCGAATAAATGTATTGTTTGCGCAGTATTTGTAACAACAAAAACTGAGGCTCCTTCTTGCCCTTGGAATGTGCCATCGTTCGAGTGGTGCATCAAAAATTATTTTTGTTTTTATGGGATGAATACGTAGTTCTGTTCATCCTTCTATGAGATAGGGAAGAAAATTAGATGTCCCCGGCAGTAAAATGAAGATTTTTGGCACCTTGCAACACCCTGACAAAAGTCCATAGGATTTTCATAATGTTTTAGAAGAAGAAAAAATCGTTGAACCCCACCGCCATTTTCTGGTCACGTGATGTCACCCACCTGGTTGTGGTATACACTGTGGTTGTAGTTTGTCTGTTGTAGGTATTATATGCCTATGCACAGCATTTTTTTTCAGGAGCCAAGGAGCAGCCTGATCTAGGAGCCTGATCAAGGAGCAACCTGATCTAGGAGAAGTTGCCATCTCCATCTCTATCTAAGCGATTCGTCCTAATTCGATTTACGGACTAAGGTAAGCGCCACCTGGCATCCATCGTCCCTCCCGGATAGCAGTAAAGATCGTTTTGTGTTATACGATGCTTTAAACATGCGTCCTGTCCTGTGACAAGTCATGCTACCCTGGCCGTTTAGAAATATAGATTTGTGCAAACAGGGGTGGCATTCCATGATAGATCGTACCACTTTTTTCCAATTTGACACCCTCATCTCTCGGATTTTAACTATAGTTGGTCTAAGGGGTAATCAGGGGCTCTGAATCCTCCTGTAACAATTTCAGGCTAATCAGATGAGTGGTTTTTGAGTCATAGTGTATAAAATATTTTGGATCTTGCGTTGCAGCCCCAAGTTTGGCGGGCTGTAACTCTAAGACGGATAATCCAAATGCCAAATGCTATATGGCATTGAACTTGCATGGAAACAAAGAATAATATGCATTTTAAATTTTTGAAATTTACAGGGGCGGTTCTCCCATATAGGCAAGGTAGGGGTAATCAGGGGCTCTGAATCCTCCTGTAACAATTTCAGGCTAATCAGATGAGTGGTTTTTGAGTCATAGTGTATAAAATATTTTGGATCTTGCGTTGCAGCCCCAAGTTTGGCGGGCTGTAACTCTAAGACGGATAATCCAAATGCCAAATGCTATATGGCATTGAACTTGCATGGAAACAAAGAATAATATGCATTTTAAATTTTTGAAATTTACAGGGGCGGTTCTCCCATATAGGCAAGGTAGGCAGTGCCGACGTCATTTGCCGTCTCCCTGCGTCTGCACCCTCACTAGACTGGCTTTTGATTGCTTGATTTCTTTTGTTAAAGATCTTTTTATTTTCGTTTTTTTTTTCAAAATGTGTTGAAACGAAAGAGAATTACTAGACTTTTCAAAAAACGTCACACAAATATCGTATTATAACATCAACTTGACAAAAACCTTTGCCTAATTGTGCCTACCTCGTCCTACTAGATTATCGACCATTGCCATGTTGAGGCTACTGAGCCTTTTGGTAGAAAAAGTCTGGATGGTCGGCACATCGGCTAGGTGCTACCTTCTAACTTTCAAACTGAACTTTTTATTTAGTCCATTTATCATAAAATAAAACACATTTTACGTTATCAATTTTCATCATTAGTTTAGGGTACCTAGCGTTGTTATGCTTGTTGTGTTATTCAATTGTTTCTTAAAAATTATATGGAACGAACTAGACTCCTACTGGGAGACTAGCTTCCCTCTGGCGGCAGACGTGTAAGCTTTAGTTAGGTTTTCATATATGACGCTGCTTGTGCTGACTGAGCAATAAGGCTGTCTTTTCCCTCTTTAAGCTTTTCTGCCTTACCTACCAACTACCAAGTGCCTACCTACTTTCAAAGGGTCAGCTTTATACTATTTTTGATATATAACGCCTCGAGTTTCCTTTCATTTGCATTTTTATGCCTTTGGGACCAATTTTTTTTTAATTTTTATTTGCTTAAAAACATTTTTGGATCATTTTTAAGTCGTATGCAAAAAATTAGGAAGGTGTTCTTTCTATAAATGTACTTATTTTGCGTCACCGTAATGGTCTCGAATTGTGATTTCGGAAGAGAGCCTACAAATGGTGTGGTAAAGCTGCCTAGTGACATCACTGGTTACTGAAAGTTCAATTGAAGTCATTTTTGCCTCACTTTTGCATTGCTGACCTTGCGTGACGTCATTCGTACGTCACTAGGGTCATAAGAGTTTTTCGTCAATAACTCTCGATCAAATTGAGCTAGAGAGACGGAAAAGCTACCAATGGACTCGGGAAGACCTTGCGAATCGAACGATGTGCAATATGATCTCATTCACCCAGCTTCGTGGCCTGACCCGACTGTTAACCATCTCTGTAGCGGCGCTGTTTGTCCAGCGCCGCGCTGCACACTGGTCGGAAACGCCCTCACGAGAGGCCACGGGCGATTCCGGAGTTTCGGATTATTTTTTATATAGATCGATTTGAAATTGATCAAATTATTATAATTATGCCAAAAAAACTAATCCGAGTGACCAAAAATAACTGTAATCAGCCCCCGAAGATGGGGTATCCCAGAACTCGGAAACTGACGCGGAGCAAGAGGTTTCTTGAGCCGGATATTCAGAGTCTTATTGCTGATAGACACCAAATTGAAATCCCACATATTATGCATCAAAATGTTTGTTATGAAGTTGCCGACTGGTCAGTGCAAATTTTTTGGTATACTTTTTCCCCAACTAAGATCTACTGTAACTTTTTGAGGGCTCTCCTAGAGTGATTCTGGAATGTAACTGCAAAGTTTAGGTAAGGAAACAACAGGTAGTTCCATCTAGTCCCACTCTGATTTTTTGTGAGTTGAAGCAGGATTTAAATTTACACCAGGGCAACATAAAAGCTAACTGCGCATATTTGCGCAAAATTTGCAGGAGCCGCTATTCCTACCCAACTACCGCTCGCCCCGCCCCAGTTTCGGCTCGGCCGCCACGCCCGGCTTACGCTGACCTGTGTGGCCTGCACGCATCCATGCGTAGTTGATTGGTCATTAAAAACAGACGCGCTTGAGTTTATGAATTTTGTGGAAAGCGCATACAATATGGTTTTATTATTGCATTTATGTATGTATTGACATCAAAAGCCTTCCACATATTGCGTGGCGATTACGGCTTGCATTTAGAGAGCCTTGCTATTAGTAACCATCACTCGGCTGAAGAAAGTGGAAATTGAGACCTTCGTGAATATAAGACGCTGCGAATATAGGACACCTGTCACTGACGTCAGGTTACCTTGGGCCGTCTTTTTACATTAGATCACAATTCCGGTATTTAGCCCTGGCCGGACCGATTGGTTTTCTATATTGACCGGGGAGGGTTGATACAACTCCCTCGCCGTTTCGCCTCTAATTGAGCTAGAGCCTCGCGGAAAAAAAAAAAACGAGCTTGTGTGCCGTTATAAGACGCAGCAAGTACTACCCGATTTAAGGTCTTAGGTCAGCCAGTGACCTCTTAGGTCAGGTAAGTGCCACAAGGAACGGGCTCGGTTTTTGGTTAATTACTTTGCCAAAAATGGTCGCACTCAGACTTGTGCCGTGACCAAAAATCAAGGTCCAGGATCCTCAAGGTCCCTCGGCAAATTCAATTTCTAGAATCCAAGGTTTCCAAGGTCCCACGGCAAATTCAATTTCTAGAATCCAAGGTTTCCAAGGTCCCACAGCAAATTCAATTTCTAGAATCAAGGTTTCCAAGGTCCCACGACAATTTCAATTTTTAGAATCCAAGGATTCCAAGGTCCCACGGCAATTTCAATTTCTAGAATCCAAGGTTTCCAAGGTCCCACGGCAAGTATACATTGCAGGATCCACAGTCCCCAAGTTCCCACGACAAGAATGCATTGTAGGATCCACAGTCCCTAGAGTCCCACGACAAGTGTAAATTTCAGGATCCACAGTCCCCAAGGTCCCATAACAAGTATACACTTCAGAGTTCAGGGTCCACAGTCCTCAAGTTCCCACGGCAAGAATACCTACATCTCAGGATCCAAAGTATTCAGGGTCCCACAACAAGAACTTAAACTAACATTCTGATGAGCAGACTTACTTCTAAATATTCTGCCAACGGATGCCCAGCAACATTGAAAGGGGCAGAACCTATGCAAACCTGTGGTGGTTTAGGGGAAGCTTCAACACAAGTTAAATATGAATCATAATATCAATCTCTCCTTCTTTAGCTTGACAAATTCATAAAAATATAGGTAGGTAAAAATATAGCCAATAGGTACCTTGCATTTTGTATTGTCATGTCCCTTTCAAATCAATCTTACCTGATCATAAGGAATGTAGGATAGCACCTTACAGTTATTGAAGACAGACATCAAAGTATTATTTCAGGCAATATCAAAAAACCAGAAATAAAACCTACAGGCTTCATAAAAATGGAAAAACTGAATTGGATAGGTATATGCTTTCGATTTTCTGCACATTACATAATACCTAGGATAAAAACTCAAATATGTTCTAAGTCTTGTTTGCGCGAGCGCTAACAGAAAAACTGATCGACTAAGCCAATAGAATTAGAGTATCAGCGAGCGCAAAACTTTCTTACTGTTCATTCACAATAACTTGAAGGCTCTGAACAAAATTCCATCTGACAATTTTTTCGTCCGACGGTTCTTCGTCGGCAGATTTTCGTCTGACTTTTTCGTCTTGCATTTTTTCGTCTGTAGGTACGAATTGACTTGGTACATTTTTCGAGTATTTTTCTGTCCGGCATTTTTTCGTCTGGACGAGGCGGAAAATGTCCTTACGAAAAAATGTGCGGAGTTAAAAATGCTCAGATGAAAAAATGCATAGACGAAAGTCTGCGGACGAAAATCTGCAGACGAAAAATTGTCCGACGAAAACCTGCTAAACGAAAAAGCTGAACTGTCATGGATTCATTGCTTATATTGGATGCTCATTGCTCAATGGTGATTTGATGACTTGCAAATCAAATAAGTTTGACACTTACTTTCATGTATCTATCTTAGCCCCTTGCAGCTGGTGGCTCAACCATAGATATTTATTGAAGTGTCTACAGACAAAACCTAGTGCAGGGTCCTTAGTGGCCCATGTGCAACATAAACCTCATGGTCCAGCTTCCAGGATTATTGAGATCCCTCAACAAAATGATGGTGTAAGTCCCGGCCCTTCTCCTAAGATCCCATGACAAATGATAAAACTGGGACTGAAGATCTGCATTCTGCAGGGTCTTGCAGCATACCAAAATTTTGAGGTCCTACTCCTGTCCCCTGGGTTTCCATGGTTTCACAGCATATGAAATGTTGAGGTCCTGGGTTTCCAAGGTCTCATGTCACATGAAATGTTGATGTCCTGGGATTCCAAGGTCTCGCGGCATATGCAAATGTTGAGGTCCTGGGATTCCAAGGTCTCGCGACATATGCAAATGTTGAGGTCCTGGGATTCCAAGGTCTCGCGACATATGCAAATGTTGAGGTCCTGGGATTCCAAGGTCTCGCGGCATATGGATGTTTTAAG